TCTCCTTTGGGATTTTTCTGTTTTGAAACCCATCCAGGGTTTGCCACTGCACACAGACAGACGCTGTGTCAGCAGAAATGCCCTTAATGGGGCCATTTCTGCCATGCCCCTTTCAAAGAGGAACGAGAGCCCAGCTGGCAAGGGCTTTCGGCAGGCCAGCACAGCTTTACGCCTCTAATTATTAGAGAAATGGGGGAAATGAGCCTGCCCAGGAAAATGGATTGCCCATCTGCGTCCTCTAAATGTCAGCAGAGGCTCAGCGATAAGGGCCCACTTCCCCCAAGCCGGCGCATTGACGCAAACTGGAGTGCAGCAGGTCGAGGGCTGAGATAAAGCCAGATTTAAGGGGAAGTTCTTGTGCAAGTTCTCCTGGTCTGATTTTGCAGCAAAGAGTTCTGCTTTCCCTAAGGTGGCTTTGTAAACATTCCCAGCTATGGGTGTTTTATTATTTTACTACAACTCCCACTAAGGGACACGGGTGGCGCTGTGGGTTAAACCACACAGCCTAGGGCTTGCCGATCAGAAGGTCGGCGGTTCGAATCCCCGTGATGGGGTGAGCTCCCGTTGCTCTGTCCCTGCTCCTGCCAACCTAGCAGTTCGAAAGCATGTCAAAGTGCAAGTAGATAAATAGGTACCGCTCCGGCAGGAAGGTAAACGGCGTTGCCGTGCGCTGCTCTGGTTTGCCAGAAGCGGCTTAGTCATGCTGGCCAGATGACCCAGAAGCTGTACACCGGCTCCCTAGGCCAGTAAAGCGAGATGAGCGCCGCAACCCCAGAGTCGGTCACGGCCAGACCTAATGGTCAGGGGTCCCTTTACCTTACAACTCCCACTGTGACCGTTGGCTGCGCTGCCCAGGGGGGCTGATGGGAGTTGTAGTCTGAAACAGCTTTAGGGCACCAGGTTGGCAATGACAGTTTAATTCATCTTCTATTCCACAGCTGAAGGCAGTAAACCTCACTACTACTACTATCATTATTCATTCATTTATTTATATCTCCCCATCCTCATTTATTCTGCCAACCTAGCAGTTCGAAAGCACATCAAAGTGCAAGTAGATAAATAGGTACCACTCTGGCGGGAAGGTAAACGGCATTTCCGTGCGCTGCTCTGGTTCACCAAGAGAATGCAGCAAGTTGCTGAGCATTTGAAATGTGTTATATTAGGGACACGGGTTAAACCAGAGCCTAGGGCTTGCCGATCAGAAGGTCGGTGGTTCGAATCCCCACGACGGGGTGAGCTCCCGTTGCTCAGTCCCTGCTCCTGCCAACCTAGCAGTTTGAAAGCACATCAAAGTGCAAGTAGATAAATAGATACCACTCCGGCGGGAAGGTAAATGGCGTTTCCGTGCGCTGCTCTGGTTCGCCAGAAGTGGCTTAGTCATGCTGGCCACATGACCCGGAAGCTGTACGCCGGCTACCTCAGCCAATAAAGCGAGATGAGCGCCACAACCCCAGAGTCGGCCACGACTGGACCTAATGGTCAGGGGACCCTTTACCTTTACCTATCCTCACAACATTCTTGTGAGGGAGGTTAGGCAACAACTGTCCCCCAAGTTCACACCACCCAGTGAGCTTCACAGCCAAGTGGTGATTTGAACCCTGGTCTCCTGGGTCCTAGTCTGACACTCTAACCACTACACCACACTGCCTCTCACACGGCAAAGTGGAAATTTGAAACAAGGATTAACTTGTTTCAGTTGTTACCAGCCGAACGCTAACCAACAAATTCAGCCTCCCAGTGCCCAAAGAGTTTCTCAGAATTAAAATTCTGGAAACTCTGGATTCAAATACAATGAAATTTAAATGTCGGTGCGATTTCACGGCAGTTCTATTTGCCAGTCCAGTCCTGTTTGATCGTTCAACCTGCTTTTCATAAGCTTTGCCGCAAGCAGAAAGGATCTCTTGATCTTCTGAGGTCTAAGCCAGCTGGCAGGATCACTTCTGGGGCAGTTGGGCGAGGCTGCTTTTTTTTGGGGGGGTAAAAATATTTATATACTGCTGTGTCATGGAAACGTATCACAGCGGTTTACAACAATATAAAAAAGTAGAACAAGTTAGGTCTCAGAATTTCGGGTCCACCAGCCTCTGGGCGGCTTCCCACATGCAGGGACAATGGGGGAAAGCCCGTCTTATTATGGGAATCTATTTTAAGAGCGTTAAGAATAGCCTGAGGCTGGATCAGGCCCAAAGGCTCATCTAGCCCATAATACTCTTCTCTCAATGGAACAACCAGATGTCTCTGGGAAGATTGCAAAAAGACTTAAGCACAACAGCACACTAAGCACTTGTGATTCCTAGCTTTCAGAGGCCTGTTCGGTTTTAGGATTCGGCTGTGGCATGTCGCAGAACAAAAGGCACGGCTCTTGAGCACATGCAGAGCGCTACTGACTGAGCAACCCCAGCCCACTACCTCAGGAATCCGGGTTCAAGGGGTGAGATTTTCAGCTCGTGTGTTGCAAGGCAGGTTTAATTTCAGCGGGGCTTCTGCAGAAATTGATGCAAGCAAGCCGGCACACGACTCCAGAGAACCACCTTTGTACACACTTCTTCAAGTGCTGAACCAAATATTCCTGCGCTAACAAGTTCCTTCCTGGGAGGTTTGCCTGCTACGCCACACCTTTCTGAAACCAGGCAGCTAGGCTGCAGAGTTCTGCATGCTTCCCACTGAACTGAGCAGCCTGTTCCGCCAGGAACCTGCGCAGGAACCAGATGTGTGTCTTCCTGTTCATTGCTGCTGCAGAGGCAGTGAGAAGAGTCACCCTAGCCAGGAATGTCTGCCCTGGAGGACTAAAGCTTTGACCCCCCAAAATACAGATGATAATAATATTTTTTTATTTATATGCCCCCCATCCACTCTGGGTGGCTTTCAATAATTAAACTCTCTCTATATATATTAGAGGGACGCAGGTGGCGCTGTGGGTTAAACCACAGAGCCTAGGACTTGCCGATCAGAAGGTTGGCGGTTCGAATCCCTGCGACAGGGTGAGCTCCCGTTGCTCAGTCCCTGCTCCTGCCAACCTAGCAGTTCGAAAGCCCATCAAAGTACAAGCAGATAAATAGGTACCGCTCCGGCGGGAAGATAAACAGCGTTTCAGTGCGCTGCTCTGGTTCGCCAGAAGCGGCTTAGTCATGCTGGCCACATGACCAGCTGTACGCCGGCTCCCTCGGCCAATAAAGTGAGATGAACGCCACGACCCCAGAGTCGGTCACGACTGGACCTAATGGTCAGGGGTCCCTTTACCTTTATATATATTAGAGTACACCCTATTTTCTGGACTGTAATTTGTTTTAATGGATTTTAATACTATATTCAGGCATGTCCAACTCACAATAGACTGCGATCTACTCCCACTAAAAAAAAAAAACCCAGCAGTGATCACGTGATCTGACAGGGACGCCCCGCAATCGACCGGTAGATCACAATGGACCGGTTGGACATGCCTACTGTACTGTATATCAGGCATGGGCAAACTCCAACCCTCCAGATGTTTAGGACTACAATTCCCATCATCCCTAGATACCAGGACCAGTGGTCAGGGATGATGGGGATTGCAGTCCCAAACATCTGGAGGGCCGAAGTTTGCCTATGCCTGCTGTACATTTAAAATGTTGTGTTCTGTCCTGTAACCCCATGGTGAAGGGTGGGCAATAGTCTAAATAACAATAGAAGTAATGATCTAATAAGTATAATATCGCTTCCCCTGACTTAGTACAGTTGGTATTAAACTTGTGTTTCATCTTTTTTTGCCAAAGCTGTCGTAAGCTGTTCCTGGAGTGTTTCCCCATAGATTTCAGATATCTGGTGGCGGAGGTGGGCTTCTTGCTCAAGTGTGCAAAGGCATGGCACTCTGCAGATGGTCAGAGGCAGCCAGTGGTGGGTGGCCAAAGCTCTGGGACGGAGTCTCGCCGCAGCACGTCTCCACCAGACACCAAATAACCCAGAGGAAACGCTCCTAAAAACCACTGTTGTCGTGTTTAAAAGATCCCACGTCTTAACGATCAATTAGCACCCGCTCCTCCAGCCGTTGGAGGCTTAAAAAAAGCCCCCCCCCTTGGCCACATGATCAGCGGGTGCCTGGATCCCAGTGACCAACTGCTGGCGAGCTCTTCCGCGACTCGGATGTCATGCCTTTCTGGCAGTCCAGCGGCGCACCAGCAGGGAGTTCCGCAGGTTTTTCCCAAGGCAAGGAAAAAAATAATTAAAAAATCCCAACCCGCTTTGCTTTTTCGGTGTGTTCCAATACAGGCGTCCCGTTTGCAGCCGCGTCACTTTAAGAAAATGCTAAATGAGCGTTTTTGCCTTTGAGAGGCTGAACAAAGCAGGCCAAAGAAACTGATTGTTACCTGGCGCTGAGTAGCTCAGGGGACGGGCAGAACCTCGCACACTTTTAATTACGTTTAAAAAAAAATAGGCCCGGGGAAGCTTCCTTCCCTTCCTCATTCCAGTATATTTGAGTGTAAGCTACGTGCGGTTCCTCAAAGAAAAGCACTCTGCACATGCTCAGGAGCACGCTCTTCACTGCGCCTTCCCGCGGGTCGACATCCTGGCTTTGAAAATGGCAGGCCCCAAGAGAATTGGCCCCGATCTCCCTGCGCTCTCCTTTGCTTGGCGCGTTTGCTTCCCGTTTTCCTCTTACCCCGGTCTTGGATGAAGCGGGGCGCTCTGCCCATGCTCAGCGGCACCCTTCCTTACCAACACGCGCCCTCCCCATAGCCTGTGTGGTGGGGGGGGGGGGAGAAAAAGCTCCTTCTTCTCCTGGCGCTCCAGGGCGGCGTCCCTTTCCAACAATCCCCATAATTTACCGTGCGCCCTCGCCCCGCTGCGCGTTTTTACGCAGGCGGCGGCGGTGGCGACGGCGCCTTTAAGCGGCGCCCGCTTCCTCCGCCTGGCGTGTGTGAGTCGTCCGGCCCAGCCCAGCCTCCTCCTCCTCCTCCTCCTCGGCGTCCTTTTTCCTTCCCCTTTTCCCCCTCTGCTCCTCCTCCTCCTCCTCTTCCTACCTCCTCGCGGTCTCCCGTCGGCGTTGGCAGGCTCCTGCGGGGGGCGCTCTCTTTCGGCTTCCTCCCCAAGCCCCCCTCCCCGCCCCGACCGCCTCCAGCCCGCCTGCCGATGGCGGGGAGCCCCGATGGCTCCCTCTCCGCCCGCCCGGAGCCCCGGCAGCCTTAGGTGAACCCCGCCTCGGCCGGCGCAGGAGCAGCGGCGACGGCGGCAGCAGCAGCAGAGCCTCCGAGCTTTGTGCTGGCGGCGGCGGCGGCAAGGACGGGAGGGGGCCTGCCGGTGGCTCGGATTGCGCCCGCCCGCCTTGGACGCCCGCATCCCGGGCGGACCTCTCTCCCTCCGCAGCCCTCCTCCCCGCTCGGGAGCCTTATGGGGGGTGGCAGGAAGCGCCTCTGCCCTTTCCTGCCTGCGGGGAGAACGCGGCGGCCGGGCTGGGCGCGCAGGCTCTGAGAGGCAGCCCCGGCACCAGCAACTGACCAGTGGCCTTTGCAGCAGCGGCGGCACCAGCAGCGGCGGCGGCGGCAGCCTGCCCCCCACCCCACTCCAAACATGAGCCCCCCCTTGGGGAAATAAGCTCCCTTTCCTCGGGGGCGCACGGAACGCCTTTCGCCCTCTTCCCCCACCCATCGCATCTCCCTTTCAAGCGCCCTCCGTCCGTCCGTCCCTCCCTCCGCCGGCCCGGTGCTTGGAGGCTTCTATGAGTGTCCGCTTGGGGGGAGGCCAGCAGGAAGGTAGCCCCCCTCGCCCCCGCGGCGGCCCGGCTCCGGGAGGAGGAAGAGGAGGAGGACGATGTCTTTGCGCACCGCGCTGGCGACGGGCAATGAGCGCAATGCCGAGACGGTGAGTCCCGTTTGTTTACCGGGCGCTGTGAGTGTGTGTGTGTGTGCGCGCGCGTGCAAGAACCGGTGGGGTGTGTGTGTATGGGTGGGTGGACGGGGTGGGGTCGGGGTGCGCCGGTGGCCCCTCGTTTGGCCGGTGCGCGTGCGCGCCCGCTGGCTAGCCAGATGGGGGGCTCGCTTTTGCGCCCCCAGCCACGGAGCTGGGCACTGCGGAATGACTGGCAAAGGCAGGAACCTTCTCTCCACCCCACCCCCCACTGCCCCATCCCCCAATCACTAGGGCGGGCAGCAAAAATCATCACAGGCTTTTTTCTCCCATCGATCCGTTCCGGGACGGCTGAGCCAAGCCCGGCGTTGTTTTCCGGAGGCGGCTCTCGAGGTGACCCACCGGGCCCGGCTTCTTGGATCTCTCTCTCCGGGGGATGGAGCGCGCGACCCCGAGACCTCCTTCACCCTCTTCTGATGCGGCCTGAAAACACGGGTGGATAAGCCGCAGGGGGAGGGAGGGGGGGATACCTCACCCTCCTAACATTCTCCCTCGATTTGGCAAAGGATCCGCCCGCGAGGAAGGCCTGATGCCATTGGGATGGGCATCGTGCCCAGCCCTGAATGCCCGTTTTGCTTCCTCTGGCCTGCTGTTGTTAGGTAACATTTGGGTCTGGCAGCCAGGAGGTTTGGTGGCTCTGGGTTGCGGTGGTGCCTGCCGGTCAGTCGGGCAGGGTGGGCTTTCTCCCATGCGCACACCCCCCAGGTGGGCAGTCAGTAGGGGATATTCGCGCGGCTGGTTGGCAGAGCCCCAGAGAGATGCACCTGTGTGTGCAGGGGGGGTCCTCTCTGAGAAGGCAAGGGGGTTCTCCTAATCTCTGCAGAGCTCCATGCGGCGGCGGCTCATTTTGATGTGATTCAAAGGGCCTTTGGCTGCTGTCCGTGGGGCCCCGGAGGGCAATCCTTTGTCAGCCATGGAGGGTTTAAGTGGGTGCTTTGGAGGCAACGTGCAGACACTCAGGCTGGGGCCTGTGTTCAGGATCCAGGTCCCGTCCCGTCCCCCCCCGCCATGCCAGAAGGCCCTTACACAGTGGCAGGCCTACACAGAGAGGAAGCAAGCTGTGAAGTCGAGGGATTCTCAGCCTTCATTCATCTGCCTGTTGTGAACCCCCAAAAACAGCACACCAAAGGCACCCCGGAGATTACAAGAGGAACGTTTTCCAAGCCAATTTGTTCAGAGTGCTTGGTCTTTCTGCTCTGGGGGAAACGCTCTGTTCCAAAATATTATTCTTCAAGGCTGCAAGATGGATGGCTACTTGGTGGATATTGTGTGGAGCTCTGAATGGCCACATATTGACCCACAAGGTTCACACCTCCCACACACAGCTGGCAGTAGTCCCTCCCTCTGCCAAAATATGCCCAGTGGCACTACCAGAATCCTTCATCATGGCCAGCTCTACATCTTACTCTGAATATTAGGCATTTGGCCTTCCGGAAATTTAACACACGCATGCACACACAAGTACCTAGCCCTTATGATGGCTTAGATAAGCCAGGAAACGGAATACATAGCTTGAGATCCCGGGCGCTGCAGTGTGTTTGGGTGAGAAAGCTCAGGGTGGCAGCGGCTGTTCGGGGGGGGGGGTGAGTTTCTCCTTCCCCTCCACCCGTGTGGAGCACAGGGTCCTGGGACAGGAGTCCAGAGCAGCCTTTCTCAACCTGTGGGTCCCCAGATGTTGTTGAACCACAACTCCCATCACCCCTAGCTAGCAAGGCCAGAGCTCAGGGATGATGGGAGTTGTAGTCCAACATCTGGGGACCCACAGGTTGAGAACTGCTGGTCTAGAGGCACCTTCCTTTAGCGCAGGGGGTGAGAGAGGGCCGCCCCAGGTTATAAGAACATAAGAAGAGACAGGTGCTGGATTAGGCCAGTGACTCACCCCCGTCCAGCTTACTGTTTTGACTGTGGCCAGCCAGGTGTGTCTCCTGGAAAACTCTCGAGCACAACTACAACTTTGGAGGTGTTTTTAAGCAGAGGTTAGATGGCCGCAGGTGGTGCTGTGGGTTAAACCACAGAGCCTAGGACTTCCCGATCAGAAGGTCGGCGGTTCGAATCCCCAGGACGGGGTGAGCTCCCGTTGCTCGGTCCCTGCTCCTGCCAACCTAGCAGTTCGAAAGCACATCAAAGTGCAAGTAGATAAATAGGGACCACTCCAGCGGGAAGGTAAACGGCATTTCCGTGCGCTGCTCTGGTTCGCCAGAAGCAGCATAGTCATGCTGGCCACATGACCCGGAAGCTGTACGCCGGCTCCCTCGGCCAGTAAAGCGAGATGAGCGCCGCAACCCTAGAGTCGGCCACGACTGGACCTAATGGTCAGAGGTCCCTTTACCTTTACCTTTACCTTTAGATGGCCGCCTGTCGTGTATGATCTAGCTGAGATCCCTGCATTTCAGGGGGTTGGACTAGATGACCCCTGGCGTCCCTTCCAGTGCCACAGTTCTGTGATTCCATGGCATAACTTTCACTGATCTTGGAATGAATTGCTTTGGGGTTAGGGGCTGGGAGGGGGGCACAGACCTAACAACAGTTCTCATGGATAGAGGGGTGAGAGAAGGAACCCCCGACAATTTCTGCTCTTTTAATACAACAACCCCAGTCTTAAAGCATACGCTTTTGTTCTTACCCAGAAGTAAGTCCACTGGGTCTTACGACCAAAAAAGTATACAATAGGTTCTGGTTTTCGACTTTAAAAATCTCAGGTGAGCCACGGGCTTCCTGGGCATGTCTCTCTCAGCCTCAGTTCCCCAGCGTGCGAAAATCGTAACGTGAGCGGCCTACCTCGCAGGCTTGTGGCAGGAAGGGACTGGAAGGGCTGTCGCTCAGTGCTTGGCGTGCAAAGGGTCCCTGGCAGCATCTCTGGGTAGGGCTGGGAGAGAGAGCCCTTGCCTGAAACCCCCGGAGAGCCCATCTAATCAATCAAGAGGGACAGAGATGAGCCAGTGGTCCAATTCAGCGTGAGGCGGCTTCCTCCGTTCCTCAAGAAGGAAGCGTCATTGGCCAGGCAAGCCGCAAATGTACATGGTGATGATAATGAAGATAGCAGTAATAGAAGAAATCTGTTATCCAGTCTGATAGGCGTGTGATTCCAGTTGCATCTGGCATGCATGAGAGGGGGGGGGGGGAAGGCCTGTCTTCCTTCTCCCCCAGACGGTTCATTGTGAAATCCAGCTCTTCAGCCGTCATGGCCCACGTGGCTTTGAACGCACAGGTGAGACCGGCTCCCAACCCAAACAACGCTAGTTCACACCTTTGCTGTTGTCATCGGAGGCATTTCAGGATCTCGGGCCCCACCCTGTGCTGCTGCTGCTGCGGCGGCGGCTGTTGTTAGCCGTTCTCGCCAACAACAAGAGCTCTTCTCTGTTGCAACCACCATCACTGCTGTGTTTCCATGGAAGCGAAATCCTTGCCACGGCAGCCACGTGGGCCTCGCCCCACAGCCCGTCCTCAGTGGCAGCCACGCTCAAACTCGCAGGGCGGTGGCGAGGAGAAGGGTGCCTCTGAGCATGCGCAAAGCCCTCACTGCCGAGCTCGTCTCTGCCCGCCTGAGTTGGGGGCTTGGGGGCTCTGCAGAAACAATCCCTGCGGGTCCCAAAGGACAGCACTGGCCACCGATGCGGATGGCTTTGAAAGCGGATTGGGCAAGTTAATGGAGGACAGGGCTATGGTTTTCTCAGGTTTTGGGGTGGCGCTGTAGAGAAGATGCAGTCCTGGTCCTTGCGGTTGGCAGGCGTTGCGAAGCCAGGATGAGGCCTTTTCTTCTGCCAGAATCAAGGGAGTGGGAACTTCCTCCTCTGTTTCAACAGCTCTGAGGCTCAAACCTTGAGATGCAGCCATTGACCTCAAGGAACCTCAGCTGGAGAATATTTCTCTCCCCGCTGACCCATAGACCGCGGCATGGCTGCCCACTGCTAGCGCTGACCTGCTCCTGACATATTTGGTTTATCCTCCTGGCCTACTTCGCATGGTTGTTGTAAGCATTCCGGCGGTGGTTACGTGAAGTCTTTTACACGCGCAGAAACTGAGCATGAAGAAGATTATGATGATGGATCAGCGTAGGGGGCATGTGCAAGGGCCTCCCCAGAATTTCTTTGACCTCCCAGCCAGCAGGGAGTTGTAGTACATCTAGAGGGTGCAGGGTTGGGGAAATCTGATGTCAGATTTCTGATGTCAACCACTGAGCCTAGGGCTTGCCGATCGGAAGGTCGGCGGTTCAAATCCCCGCAACGGGGTGAGCTCCCGTTGCTCGGTCCCTGCTCCTGCCAACCTAGCAGTTCGAAAGCACGTCAAAGTGCAAGTAGATAAATAGGTACCGTTCCGGTGGGAAGGTAAACGGCGTTTCTGTGTGCTGTTCTGGTTTCGCCAGAAACGGCTTAGTCCTGCTGGCCACATGACCCGGAAAAACTGCGGACAAACGCTGGCTCCCTCGGCCAGTAAAACTAGATGAGCACCACAACCCCAGAGTCGTTCGCGACTGGACTTAACTGTCATGGGTCCTTTACCTTTAATGTCTCTCAGCACCCTCAACAAAACTGCACTTCCCACGATCCTTTGGGGGGAAGCGAGCCATGGCTGTTTTGAAGTGGTGTCGTTGTGCTTTAAAGGCATGGTGTGAATGTGGCCGTAGACTGAGGGCAACCCACAACTGCTGCCTGCCTGTGCGCTGGGTCCTTAGCCTTGTTCCCTTGGTGGTGCATTTATATGCCGCTTTGTGCCAAAATCTCCGTGCCTCCCTTCTCCAACGAGGCGGTCGCTGTGTTGCGCTGAGTGTCGGCAACCTCCCCGCAGCGAGAGGTGACCCGAGTGCCATACCGGTTTCTCTTGAAATTGCAGCTGGTTTTGCGGCCTCTGCGTGCAGTTGTCTTTCGGGGTGAGGTGTCAGGGCAGGGCCCTGTTTCCTGGCCGGCCTCCCTGCTCTGTTGATCTTCCTGAATGAAGAAGCCGATAGCATTTCATCAGTTCGGCGGAAAGCACAGCTCTCCTCCCACAACCTCGGCCAGACGCTTTGGCCGACTACCCCCCAAATCCGCTGGGCTCCTGTTGCGGCTTGAGGGCTCCCTCTGCACGGAAACATCCGCGGCTGTCTGGGCAGGAGAAAGCCGGATCCTGCCCCAAGGAGACTGGAATCCTGCGCTCAGCAGAAATCGCGTGAGTCAAGGGAACTTAATGGGGCCTGTTTGTTTGCTCCAGGGTTTCCCCTTTTAATAACTGCGACGGCTTCGTAAGGAAAGCAAACCTGTACTTTTAGTTTATTTATTTTTTTAAAGGTGTCTCAAAAGTGGGGGCCGTTTTGATCCCCAAGGAAAGCCCAGGGTAAAAGCGTACCTTTTTACTGGGACAGCTTAGATTGGTGTGAGAACATCTCAGCCCTTGAGTTGTGTTTTCCTTGGGAAGGATGCCAATGTTTATATCTCCAAAGCTATACAAATATATATAATTTCAGCCTTGTCTTTGCGTCTCCGAAAAAGCCAGGAGCTTTTCAAACTTTGAGCGTCGGCCGGAATGTCTCATCCAAGTCTTGGGATTTGCTAGGTGACCTTTGAGTATCACGCTGCCTCTTGAACCTCGATCTGCAATGTTGGCAAGGCTCCTGGACTACCCTCCAGGGCTCTACGGAGACCGTGGTGGTGTTTGTGAAGTATGTTGAATGCTGTGGAGTGCTCGATGAACGCTGAATGTGCTTGGCCTAATCTGTGCTTCGTTCTCCAGTCCCAACCTGGTTATTGAGTTTGGGGTGGGTTTAAAAACTCAGCAGCAACCATGGCAGTGGAGCGGTGGTGTTGTTTAGTCATTTAGTCGTGTCCGACTCTTCGTGACCCCCTGGACCAGAGCACGCCAGGCACTCCTGTCTTCCACTGCCTCCCGCAGTTTGGTCAAACTCATGTTTGTAGCTTCGAGAACACTGTCCCACCATCTCGTCCTCTGCTGTCCCCTTCTCCTTGTGCCCTCCATCTTTCCCAACATCAGGGTCTTTTCCAGGGAGTCTTCTCTTCTCCTGAGGTGCCCAAAGTCTTGGAGCCTCAGCTTCAGGATCTGTCCTTCCAGTGAGCACTCAGGGCTGATTTCCTTCAGAATGGAGAGGTTTGATCTTCTGGCAGTCCATGGGACTCTCAAGAGTCTCCTCCAGCACCAGAATTCAAAAGCGTCAATTCTTCAGCGATCAGCCTTCTTTATGGTCCAGCTCTCACTTCCATACATCACTACTGGGAAAACCATAGCTTTTACTATACGGACCTTTGTTGGCAAGGTGATGTCTCTGCTTTTTAAGATGCTGTCTAGGTTTGCCATCGCCTTTCTCCCAAGGAGCAGGCGTCTTTTAATTTCGTGGCTGCTGTCACCATCTGCAGTGATCGGAGCGGTGTTAGAAACTCAAATATATAAGCTAGGAGCCATCTGGCTCCTTAAACCAAGGTTGCAGTTGCCAAAAATGGAATGTCTAGTTGCCATTTAAGGGCAAGACGGCTCTCAATTCTTATTTTTTGAATGATGGACTGACTGTGATTTATTCTCAGTTAAACATCTGGCTAGTTCAGATGACAACCTTGAACTAGGGCACAAACTTTGAGAACTTAAAGAGGAAAATCACTTCATCCAGGGACAGTCCACATAGATATTGGCCTATTCCAACCTCTTTTTCTTGATGGCAACTGCTCCTGCTCAGGCTGCACAGAAAAAGCAATATGGTTCCAGAAATTCATTCCAGTTGTGCAGATAATATGTAACTGATACAATTCTACAGGATAGGGTATTAGTGTGTGCAAACAGTCCAGATCCAATGGTCGCCAGATGGTGGAGATGTTGGGCACTATCCTGGCGCCCAGGCATCTTCACTTGGTCCCAAGTGATCAAGGGTAAAGGTAAATCATTAGGTCCAGTCGTGACCGACTCTGGGGTTGTGTGCTCATCTCGCTCTATAGGCCGAGGGAGCCGGCGTTTGTCCACAGACAGCTTCCGGGTCATGTGGCCAGCATGACTAAGCCGCTTCTGGCGAACCAGAGCAGCGCACGGAAACGCCGTTTACCTTCCCACCAGAGCTGTACCTATTTATCTACTTGCACTTTGACGTGCTTTCGAACTGCTAGGGTGGCAGAAGCAGGGACTGAGCAACGGGAGCTCACTCCGTCGCGGGGATTCGAACCGCCGACCTTCTGATTGGCAAGCCCTAGGCTCTGTGGTTTAACCCACAGCGCCACCCAAAAGCCAGGTGCAAAATGCGTCTGGTGCCTGGCTAATTTTGAACACTGCAGTGAAGTAAGAATGGAGGACTCAGTACATCACTGGGCATGGCTGTTTGGGGCTGGGGCTTTGAGGGCAAAGTTTACTACGAGGGAATAATCAGGAAACTGTGGTGGCTTGGCTTGGCAAAGGGCAGGTGTGGCCTGTCAGTTTCTGAGCATCTCCGCTTGTGTCTAGAGCAGAGACAGATTTTTGTGGAGCTCGGCCTATTCGCCTACACCGGGTGCTGAGCCGAAAGGGCGCTGCGACAATGATGTGGAATGGAAGTCGAGAGGCAGGGGGTTGCCGAATTTTGGCGTCTCACAGGGCGCTGCTGAAATTTGAAAGCCCAAAGTCTGGCACTGTCCAGAGCTGTGTTCTAGGCAAAGTGTCACAGAGATTAGGCTAAGAAGCACCAGTCTGAAACTGAAGAGGGGTAGGTGTCGCGCAGACTGTGTGTGTTGCCAACACATAGTTAATCTGTGGGACTCCCTCCCACTGGAGGCAGGGATGGCCCCTAATGTGGATGGCTTTAAAAGAGGATAGGACAGGGAGGAGAGTGGAATTGGTGTCAACCAGCCATAATGGCTCTGCTCTGTCAGAGGCAGCGATGTTTCCGAATCCCTGTTGCTGGAAAGCACAGAAGGGGAGCGTTCCTCTTGTGCACGAACGCTGCTTCCTGGTTTCCCACATCTGAATCCTAGGCTCCATGGGCCATGTGCAGGATCTTCTTACGTTCTTAATGCTCAGTTCAAGTTCAGCTCCACCACCCCCTTCCTGGAAGATGCCAGGACCGTGGAGAAGGAGAGATCCCCTTCTGCGTTGTGTGAGGACCAAAAAGCTTCCTGAGCCAGCCCTCTCCTTCTCTGGGGTCCTTGCCCATCCCCTTGGCTGCCAGGGGAAGATCCATCAGATCCACCTGAACCTTGCAATCCCCACCTGCTTTCTCCCTGCCTGAATTGCCCAACCTGTATATCTTTCAGTCAAGTTACCTGTGATTTGGCTTGGACTTGATGAGCCTCAGGAACCCCATTCTGCTGCTCCATGATTCTACGTTAGTGGAAGCTGTTTGAGTCGATTCCGCGGCCTTTTCCAATGTTTTGTGCCACGTCTAATGTGCATTTGGTTGTGTTGTTGTTTTTTGAATTTCACACAGTGCAGCGCCTTCAATCCTTCTCTGCCTCGCCTTGAGCAGATTCTAAATGAATAAATCCCCTCTCTCTCGCATGCAACACAAAAGCAGCCTCCTCTTTGCACACCTGTGTGTGTGTGTGTTTTCGTCCGTCCCCTGCTGGCACCCAGCACATCCCCTCGCCTTGCCCTCCGTTCCTTGTGGCGCACGGCGTGTTGTGTTCCAGTGCATTATTGATGGGCTTTGAGGTGGAGGTTGCAGAGGAGAGTGGGGGGGTGGGCTGTGTGTGGTGCTAGGCCCCCCCCCTTTGCTAGCCTGACAGGCGTCCTTCCTCGACGTCCCACAATGCAGCGAGGCATTCCTGAATAGCCTCCCGTGGGAATGCAGAGCAAGCTTTTCAGAAAGGCCAGGCTGCGACAGCGAGCATGTTAACAACACCAACTCTCCCACCCCCCCCCAAAAAATCTTTTCCAGGCGGCACAAAAACCCACAAACTCCAAGATGTGTTTTTTTTCCAGGGCTTGTGCGCCAGATAAATTTGGAAGCAGGTTCTCTCACCCCCTCCCTGTCACCTGCCTCCGTCTCCGGAACTAAATTTGCCCTTTCCTTGCTGGGGAGCGAGCCAGATTCCTGGTCTGCGCACCCCCCTGGAGACCCAGCAAGTTGCATCCCAGAATGCATTGCTGCCGGCCAGCGCCGTCTCCTCTGGTTCACGTTGGCACCTGTTGACCAGGGCGCTTAATTTGGGGAGATCTCTAATTCTTCCCAGTGAGTCTCTCTGTCTCTCTCTCCTTTATTTTGAAAAAGTAAAAAAACAACCCGAAACCACCAAAATAAGTAATTGGGAGTCTGGAGCTTTGATTTGGGCTGAGTTTGGCCTCTTTTGAGTAAGCCAAGGCATGGGGCACTCCCAGAAAGAAAGAACACCTGCCTGGGTGGGAAAGGGGGCTTTTGGCTGAATCTTAGCAGAGTCCCCTTTCGGGAATCGCACCTGTTTTTGCTGGGAAGCGATTCTGGTTCGAGATGGCAAGAGACATGGATGGTGTCGGTTTGTTTGTTTTTTTGCTCTTGTTTCCCACTTTCTTCTCCAAAGAGCTCAAGATTGGCGTACGTGGTTCTTCTCCCCCCTCCTCATATACAGTGGTACTTCGGGTTAAGTACTTAATTCGTTCCGGAGGTCCGTTCTTAACCTGAAACTGTTCTTAACCTGAAACACCACTTTAGCTAATGGGGCCTCCTGCTGCCGCCACACCACCGGAGCACGATTTCTGTTCTTATCCTGAAGCAAAGTTCTTAACCTGAAGCACTATTTCTAGGTTAGCAGAGTCTGTAACCTGAAGCGTATGTAACCTGAAGCGCATGTAACCCGAGGTACCACTGTAGATTATGAGGGGGAGATTTGAGGGATGAAATAGCATTTCGGTCAGGCCAAGTACCCCCACCAATTAACCTGTGAATGCCTCCCTCCTGCCATCCTCAACCTGGTACCTGTGGAGAAGGGCATGAAGGCGTCGTTCTTCTTAAAGCGACCCTCTTCGTCCAAGAAGTGGGATGGGTTGAAGTTCTCGGGGTCACTGAAGCACTCGGGGTCTTTCAGCACAGAGGTCAGCAAGGGAATGACATCCGTGCCCTAGAGGCAGGTGAGAGAAGGAAGGACAGAAGTGGGTCGGGATCTGCCACAGCCTTAACTCAGAAGGCAACTGGAAGCCTCTTCAAGGTAAAGGTAAAGGGACCCCTGACCATTAGGTCCAGTCGTGACCGACGCTGGGGTTGCGGTGCTCATCTTTCTTTACTGGCCGAGGGAGCCGGCGTACAGCTTCCGGGTCATGTGGCCAGCAGGACTAAGCCGCTTCTGGCGAACCAGAGCAGCGCACGGAAACGTTTACCTTCCCGCTGGAGCGGTACCTATTTATCTACTTGCACTTTGACGTGCTTTCAAACTACAAGGTTGGCAGGAGCTGCGACCGAGCAACGGGAGCTCACCCCGTTGCAGGGATTCGAACCGCCGACCTTCTGATTGGCAAGTCCTAGGCTCTGTGGTTTAACCCACAGCGCCCCCCGCGTCCCATTAAAGTATTAATTAAAGAGATTAAGTAAAATAGTAAAAGGGCAAAAGAAAGGTGATATATAAGAGTTTGGCACTATTAACCGCTGCACCACCGTTTGGAAGAAGAGGATGTACAGGAAAACACATAACCAGCTCTGTCGAAAACAGATGAAACTAGGAATGTAGGAATTTGCCTTATACTGAGTACACCATTGGTCCACATTGATGTGTACACTGACGGGCAGCAGAGGCGCTCCAGGATTTGAGGCAGGGAGGCTCTGCCAGCCCTGCCGGGAGAGGCCAACGGGGTTTGAACCCGGACCTTCTACTTGCAAGGGAGATTCTGTGTCACTCGGCCATGTACCTTCACCTCGAATACCAGGTGGACTTAAAATCCACCATGCCATCTGCACTGCCTGTGTTTCCGCTGAGATTTAGGTATGTGTCCTGCTTGTTGTTGCTGGACAGATAGCCTGTAAATGTTGGCATAGGCCAAATACTATATATATATACAGTAGTACCACCCAGAAGCAAACGTAACTAGCAAAGGCACGTCTGCGCACATGCGCGTCACTTTTCGCCGCTTCTATGCATGTGCGTAACGTCATTTTGAGTGTCTGCGCATGCGCAAGCGGCAAAACCTGGAAGTAATGCGCTCTGTTACTTCCGGGTTGCGGCGGAGCGCAACTCGAACGCGCTCAACATGAAGCATATTCCTGTTTTATTCCCTGTTTTATTCTCGCAGCAACAATTTGAGGAAGTTTATGTTGAGAGAGTTTTTGTATATATAGTGTTTATACACACACACACACACACACACACACACACTCTCTCTCACAGTGGTACCTTGGGTTACAGACGCTTCAGGTTACAGACTCCACTAACCCAGAAATAGTACCTCAGGTTAAGAACTTTGCTTCAGGATGAGAACAGAAATCGCGGTGCGGCGGCAGCAGGAGGCCCCATTAGCTAAAGTGGTACCTCAAGTTAAGAACAGTTTCAGGTTAAGAATGGACCTCCAGAACGAATTAAGTACTTAACCCGAGGTTACAATTTGAGGAAGTATATGTTGAGAGACTGAAGCAGGGATTCGAATTCAGGCCTCTCCAGTCCTAGACCAGCGCTCTAACCACTGCTACGGCTTTCTTGGGTAAGTCCTCCTATCAGCTTGTGAAGCCAGAGCTCTGTGATCCAGGGAACAACTCCTTGTTGCCAAATGGAGTATGCAGAGATACCAAAGGGCTTAGTTCTTAAGGGCTTCAGCAGGGGTACAAAAACATTTGCAAACTTCAGGGCCTGAGCAGAGATTAAAGAGCAGCAGGAGGAGGCACTGCTAACTCTGGTTTTTTTTTACACATGCCCCACAAACTTTTATGCACTTCCTACTCTCTTTAGCCACCTCCCCCACATTTCCTGTCTGCCCCCCACCAGCCTGAACTTCTGTAATTCTAGTTCACAGCCTACTTCAGTGCCGAAATGATCAGTGTGTAGTTAACCCGTGGAACTCCCTCCCACTGGAGGCAGCGATGGCTACCCGCCTGGATGGCTTTAAAAGAGGACCGGGCAAATTCACAGAGGAGGAGAGAGCTAATCCAGTGTCCGCTTGCCAGGATGGCTCTGCTCTGACTCTGCGGCCGGAGGCAGCAGTTGCAGGAAACCACAGGAGGAGGGGAGACTTGTGTTCGAATCCTGCTTGAGGGTTCCCCATGATGGGCATCTGGTTGGCCACAGTGAGAACTAGATGGTCCCCCTTTGGCCTGATCCAGTGGGAGAGGAGATGGAGGCGTGGAAGGCAGGGTTATTAATAGCTCCTGGTCATGATGGCCGCCAGGATCAAAGCAGTGCTAGGAACCCCAATATTAAAGCTAGGTTATGGTCAACGCAACAGAATATCTGTTCGCCAGGGGGTTGGACTAGATGACTCGCTGGGTCCCTTCCAACACGCTGACCACTGCACCAACCGACTAGCTAGGTCAGGGGTTGGCAACCTAAGACCTGGGGGCTAGATGCGGCCCAATCGCCTCCTCAGTCCGGCCTGCGGACGGTCCACGAATCAGCATGTTTTTACATGAGTAGAACGTGTGCTTTTATTTAAAATGCATCTCTGGGTTATTTGTGGGGCATAGGGATTCGTTCATTTCCCCCCCCAAAATATAGTCTGGCCCACCAAATGGTCTGAGGGATGGTGGACCGGCCCACGGCTGAAAAAGGTTGCTGACCCCTGAGCTAGGCCTTTGGTCTGATCCATCTTCTGGACTCTTCTTGAAGTCCTGTCAGGGTTTGGAGAGCATCATAGGCACCTGCAGCCCTCAGTTTCCTTCTCCCAATCTAGGGTTTTTTTTACTTGAAGGAACTGAAAAGTAATTGACAGGTGCCACTTGCAATGAGAAAGTAACGTGGGGTGCACATTCTGCCCGGACGCTGAGGTCCAGCGCTGAGGGCCTTCTGGCGGTTCCCTCATTGTGAGAAGCAAAGCTATAGGGAACCAGGCAGAGGGCCTTCTCGGTGGTGACACCCACCCTGTGGAATGCCCTCCCTTCAGATGTCAAGAAAATAAACAACTTTCTGACTTTTAGAAGACATCTGAAGGCAGCCCTGTACAGGGAAGTTTTTAATGTCTGACATTTTAGTGTATTTTTGGTCTCTGTGGAAGCCGCCCAGAGTGGCTGGGGAAACCCAGCCAGATGGGCGGGGTACAAAAAATAAATGATGATGATGATGATGATTATGAAGTTCACTGTGCAGAATGGAGCAGGCTTTTGGTGGTTCCAATTTTTTAAAATCATTTTTATTAATATTCCAGTTAAAAACATCCAATTAATATATCCACTCATAATCCAATTAAAATAAAAAACTAAAATAAAAAAGACCAAATTATAATTATTGATTTTTCGGAGCTCCCCATAGTCTGGACCTCTGAAGCATATCTCCACATCTCAGTCCTGTCTCTCCTTGGTGGTTGCAAGTTACCCCACTTAATTTATGGCTTTGGGGAGTACTGCCGTGGGCACCAAAGGCGGCACCTCCTGGCCCCCAGACAAGTTGCCATCTTATCAGCCGCTTCCTCCCAAAGCAATCTCCGCTGCCCCAGAGCACGGTGCGTAATGGGTCACAGAAAGGCGCTTTGTTCTCATTGGAAACAAGTAAACCGAAGAGTTGCGCATCGTTGAGGCTGCTTCTTCCCAGAAAACCTTCACTGCTGGTGGGAAAATGGTCTCTTGAAACCCCCCAGGGCCCGTCGGCTGAGCAAAATGCAAAGCGTAGTGTGGCCTTCTGCATCACAGAGAGAATCTCTTATGCTCCCCCCGCCCCAAAAAAATCCCAGGCAAGCAGAAAAAAAGGCGAGGTTATTTATTTATTTCTGTATTGCATTTATAGCCCACTTCCCCCCCTCCAAGGAGCTCAAGGTGAGCGCACATCGCTCCCCTCCTCCCCATGACATTCTCACAACAACCCTGTGAGGTAGGTTAGGCTGAGAGATGCAGTGACGGGCATCACCTAGGCCACCCAGTCAGTTTCATGGCCTAAATTGTGCGTGGGGCAGGATTTGAACTCTGCTCTCTCCCAAGTCCTAGTCCGACTCTAACCACTGCCCCACACTGGCTCTCAGTGGCTGGTAGGCTGTGCCCGGCTTGGTGGGCACCACCTTGGGCAGGCCTGGGTACAGTCATACCTCAGGTTACAGCTGCTTCAGGTTGCGTTTTTTCGGGTTGCGGACTGCCGAAACCTGGAAGTACCAGAATGGGTTACAGTGGTGTCCCGCAAGACGAATGCCTCGCAAGACGAAAAACTCGCTAGACGAAAGGGTTTTGCGTTTTTTGAGTCGTTCCGCAAGACGAATTTCCCTATGGGCTTGCTTCGCAAGACGAAACGTCTTGCGAGTTCTTGCGAGTTTGTTTCCTTTTTCTTAAAGCCGCTAAGCCATTAATAGCCGCTAATAGCCGCTAAGCCGCTAATAGCCGTGCTTCGCAAGACGAAAAAACCGCAAGACGAAGAGACTCGCGGAACGGATTAATTTCGTCTTGCGAGGCACCACTGTACTTCTGGGTTTCGGTGGTTGCGCATGTGCAGAAGCGCTAAATCACACTTTGCACATGCGCAGAGGTGCCGAATCGCAACCCACGCATGTGCAGACTCAGGTTGTCCACTGTATTGGTAAAGGGGCAGGTGTCTCAGGCCATGCACAGAGGTAATAGAATCATCGAATTGTACGTTTGGAAGGGTCCCCAAGGGACATCTAGTCCAGCCCGCAGGAATCTCAGACAGATGGCCATCCTCCCTCTGCTTAAAAACATTCCCACGAAGTCCATTTCCCTGTCCAACAGACTCCCTCGGAAGGTAGTCTTCTCCCTCCCAAGACAGCCACCAAGGACAGACTCCGCACCACCAGACAAATTAGATGTAGCTGAGATTTCGGAACAGGTGTAGGCCCCGGTACCTCCCTCTGGGGACTCAGTGGCTGAACAGCTGCTTGGCATGTAGAAAGCCACAAACTCGAACTCTGGCATTTGTAGTGATGCAATCTCACTTTGCAAGTCTGGCAAAGACCCTCCATCTGCAAGAGACCCCATGGAGCCTGTGGGAGCAAGCAGTTCTGGACTTGATGGACCAGTGGTACGAGTCAGTATGACAACAGCAACACAGCTATCCCTGCTCTGTTTAGCTGGTAGGGTCATAGTCTATTATTATTATTATTATTATTATTATTATTATTATTAGAACAGGACACTCTAGCGCAAGTTATCTCATTAGTTATCTCTCGCTCTAATGCGAGTTATCTCATTAGTTATCTCTCGCTTGGACTACTGCAATTCGCTCTATGTGGGGCTACCTTTGAAGGTGACTCGGAAACTACAACTAATCAAGAATGCGGCAGCTAGACTGGTGACTGGGAGAGGCCACCGAGACCACATAACATCGGTCCTGAGACCACCTATATTGGCTCCCAGTACGTTTCCGAGTACAATTCAAAGTGTTGGCGCTGACCTTTAAAGCCCTAAACGGCCTCGGTCCAGTATACCTGAAGGAGCGTCTCCACCTCCATCGTTCTGCCTGGACACTGAGGTCCAGCACCGAGGGCCTTCTGGCGGTTCCCTCACTACGAGAAGCCAAGTTACAGGAAACCAGGCAGAGGGCTTTCTCGGTTGTGGCACCCACCCTGTGGAATGCCCTTCCATCAGATGTCAAGGAAATAAACAACTATTTGACTTTTAGAAGACATCTGAAGGCAGCCCTGTTTAGGGAAACTTTAATGGTTAATTGTTGTTGTTTAGTCGTGTCCGCCTCTTCGTGACCCCCTGGACCAGAGCACGCCAGGCACTCCTGTCTTCCACTGCCTCCCGCAGTTTGGTCAAACTCATGCTGGTAGCTTCGAGAACACTGTCCCACCATCTTGTCCTCTGCCATCCCCTTCTCCTTGTGCCCTCAGTCTAATAGGTTATTGTATTTTAGTGTTCTGCTGGAAGCTGCCCAGAGTGGCTGGGGAAACCCAGCTGGATGGGTGGGGTATAAATAATAAATTATTATTTTTATTATAATGGAACCTCCAGGTCCAGAGGAAGTCTAGATAGACTTATTCTGGACCTGGAGGTTCCATCATAATATAGTTCTAGGCTCTTAGGGGTATTTGGCCACTGTGAGAAAGGGATGCTGGAGTAGCAGCCAGGCTCTTTGTGGGTTCTTAGGCCAAGGAGAACGGCTGTTCTCTCTCGGGTTCATCAGCACCTGCCCTCCCGATAGGCCCATGGCAAGAGGGGCGCACGCCCTGAGCTCAGGATCGGCTCTATGAACCATCAGCGGAGGAAGATGCTGCCGTTCTTTCCCCAGGAAGGAGCTGCTAGCTGCAGAGTTTTACGGTGGGGGGGGGGTTCCCCAGGAGACTGCAGCGAGTTTTCGGGGAGCTCAGAGAGGTCGTGGCCGCAGCTGCCACAACCAGTGGAGCCGTCCTGGCAGTGGTCTTAAGAACCACCCTTGTGCAGTTAAGAGGCTGCCGGCTGGGTGCACGGCTAGGTGACCTGTGTGATGCAAAGGCTTCCTTCCTTGTACCTTTGTGTGATGTTACTGACCTCTGAATGCTCCCCAGTCCCCACCCTGTTTCTCTGCCACCTGCAAAAGCAGCAACACCAGCCAGTTGCAGCTGTCACGATGGCTTGATTCTGCCAAGCCCTGCCTTAAGCTGCCCTTGCAAGAGCTGAGGTGCGTGGCTGCTCAGGATTAGCAAAGTTGCTTCGCAAGTGAGCCTTGTGCTGGCTGTTAGGTATATGCAGAGAGAGAGAGGTGGACTTAAAACACAAGGAAATAAAAAGTCACTCTCCAGTGTATCTGCCAGTCACCGATTTATCCAGCTCAATTTACTTCGCGGTCGATACACAAATATGTCACTGTGACTTAATACACAACAATTGCCTTTTTAAGAAAGTGAGATTTCAGAATCTCTGGCTTTAAGTGTTGCTTTACATGATTATGTGTATTTCCCCCCCTAGCATTTTTAATGATGATGTAACAGAAGCCGCGGGACGCGGGTGGCACTGTGGGTTAAACCACAGAGCCTAGGACTTGCCGATCAGAAGGTCGGCGGTTCAAATCCCCGCGACAGGGTGAGCTCCCATTGCTCGGTCCCTGCTCCTGCCAACCTAGCAGTTCAAAAGCACACCAGTGCAAGTAGATAAATAGGTACCGCTCTGGCAGGAAGGTAAACGGCGTTTCCGTGCGCTGCTCTGGTTCGCCAGAAGCAGCTTAGTCATGCTGGCCACATGACCTGGAAGCTGTATGCCGGCTCCCTCGGCCAGTAAAGCGAGATGAGCGCCGCAACCCCAGAGTCGGCCACGACTGGACCTCTAATGATCAGGGGTCCCTTTACCTTTACCTTTAACAGAAGCTGCATGTGGAAGATTCCACACAGATAAAATAGAGCATGTAGTTAAACTGCGGAACTCCCTGCCACCAGCCTAGATGGCTTTAAAAAGAGGATGAGACAAATTCATGGAGGAAGAGAGGGCTATCGAAGGTTACCAGCCAGGATGGATATCCTCTGGCCTCCACAGTCGGAGGCAGCAGCGCATCTGAATACCAGTTGCTAGAAAGCCCAGTGCTCAAATCCTGATGGCCAGGTTCCCATCAGGGCATCTGGTTGGCCACCGTGAGACCAGGATCCTGGATTCGATTGGCCTGTGGCCTGTTTTTGTGTTCTCCTTTCCCTCCTTTTCCAAACACATTTAGGAACAGGATGATGATAATAATAGTAGTAATAATAACAACAACAACAACAACAACAATAATTATTATTATTATTATTATTATTATTATTAATAATAATAATAATTTGTTATTCTTTATACCCCACCCATCTGGGTGGGCTTCCCCAACCACTCTGGGCGGCTTCCACAAAGACCAAAAATACACTAAGATGTCACACATTAAAAACTTCCCTTCAGATGTCTTCTGAATGTCAGGTAGTTGTTTTTCTCTTTGACATCTGGTGGGAGGGCGTTCCACAGGGTGGGCGCCACTACCAAAAAGGCCCACTGCCTGGTTCCCTGTAACTTGGCTTCTTGCAATGAGGGAATCGCCAGAAGGCCCTCGGCGCTGGATCTCAGTGTCCAGGCTGAGTGATGGGGGTGGAGACGCTCCTTCAGGTATACTGGACAGAGGCCGTTTAGGGCTTTAAAGGTCAGCACCAACACTTTGAATTGTGCTCGGAAACGTATCGGATGGGAGTGAGTAGCCTTGGGACTGGGATTGTCAGCCACAGACCACGAGCCTCTGAGCAGAGCCGCCACTGAGACGGCTTGCTTTGAAAATAACCATTGCAAGGATGGCTAACCCTCCCTTTGTCTGCCCAGCCCGTAACTTCTTGCTGCTACTGATGTCTTGCAGGCTGGCCTTGTGGAGAGCAGCAACGGGCTCCGGGCTCCAAGTCCAGGCCCTGATCCTTCACACAAACGCTCTTGTGGCATTTACCGTCCTCCGCTGTGTGGCGAGCAGAGCGACTGGTGGCTGCACCAGCAAAGCTTGCCTCCCTGCGCCGGGTCTGCCTTCTCCACCACGCTCAGAGAAAGCGCCTTCTGAGGCAGAAAAATGCGCCTCCCGGCTCTCTCGTTCGGTCCACTCAAGGAAGAAATGGGGCAGAAAAGGGTTCCTTTGTGTGTGCGGAGAAGGGAAGGCCAGTGTGTGTGTGTGTGTGTGTGTGTGTGTGTGTGATGCAATGTGTCCTTTTGAGACAAAATTTGCTTGCACAGATTCCTGTGGTCTTACCGGGGACGCTGACAACATTTCCATTTACGGTTCCTGCTGGAATAATAGCAGTTTTGGAAGGGGCGAATCTTGTCCGATTCACGCTTGCCTGTTTTGAAACTAGGCAGCAGGTTTCATAGAGTTGTAGCTTTGCAAGCCACCCAAAGGACATCTAGTCCAACCCCTTTGCAATGCAGGAAATGTTGCCATCCTCTCATTCCCTAAGGAGTATCGAAAGGGCGCCTGCTCCCACTCAGCCCTTGAGGTCGTTCCTTCGGGGGGGAGTGGCTCCCCACCCGCTGAGGGGTTCCAGCGAGATTTTGTGAGATTTTGGGGCCAACCTGAAAAAAAAATATTTCATTTCCCCCAGCCAATTTGGCCAACAGTGATGTGGCTTTATCTGCCTCCTGTGTTTATAGCTTTTAATAGAGGGCTCTCCATCACTGGAGATTTGCAAGCAGAGGTTGGACGGCCACCTGTCAGGGTTTATTTGTGATTCTTGCATTGCACAGGTTGGACTAGATGGCCCTTGGCTTCCCTTCCACGATCCTGTGAATATGATTTTTAATGCTGCGTCGACTGCTGACATTCCTTTTGCTTTCCAATTGTGGTACAAGGGCCTTGTTAGCCGCTTTGAAACCCTGTTTTAGAAAACCAGGTATAAATACGTAAGTGGTTTTAAAATAGGATTAGGCTGATTAATTCGGGATAAGGCTATCGATGGCTGCTCACCACAATGGCTGTGTTCTGCCTACCTGGCCCGTCAGAGGAGGGGAGGAGTCACAGGTGAGAACAGAATGCTGGATTAGATGGTTGAGCCATTGGCTTGATCCATCCAACAGGCTCCTCTCAGCTTCTCATGCCAATCAATCAATCAATCAATCAATCAACCATTTTATTATACGGTCACACACCTGCTAACAAATTCTTACATCCCCAAGTTGGATTTCTGAGATCCAGCTTCCCCCCCCCCCCAACCTGGTACTTTGCCCTCTTAGTGCCATGGGGGGGTTGGGGGTTTGTCTAGTCCAGGCACCCCCAAACACAGCCCTCCAGTTGATTTGGGACTACAGTTCCCATCATCCCTGACCACTGGTCCTGTTAGCTAGGGATGATGGGAGTTGTAGTCCCAAAACAGCTGGAGGGCTGAGTTTGGGGATGCCTGGTCTAGGCCTTTGGAAGCATCAACATGAGCAGGTTCTGGGCTCAGCGAAGGGTGAAGGGGATGGCTGTCGTTTAATTTGATTAGGTGGCAGGGACAGAGAGCGCATTTGAAGATATCTAGCGGCCATAATGCAGTTTTGGGTGGGAATACTCCGCAGTGATTCAGCAGTGGGGTTAATGCATAGCTGTCAACTTACAGATTTGAAAATAAGGGACCAGCAGCCTTGAAAATAAGGGACCAGCAGCCAAAATAAGGGACCTGCAGCCTCACCTGTTCCAGGCACTCCAGTCTTCCTGTCCTCCTGCAGTCTGGTCAAACTCATGCTGGTAGCTTCAAGAACACTGTTCAACCAACTTTGTAACCAGAGGTTCAACTGAATAGAATCTGAATCACATGCACCACAAGGCCTATGCAGCCTCAACTTAAGATGGCTCCCCAGCCTGGCTTTGCACTGCAAAGTTTGCAGCAGCACATGCAACAAAATGGCGTCCAGCATTCAAAAACTCCATCAGCTTGCATTAACTAGCCACACACAAGGCATGCAAGCTCCACGCCCCAGTCGTTCTTAGACTTCTTATTGGGTGAGCAACACAGCCAAGCAACACAGTTGGAGCCTCCCTCCTCCCTGGCTGGCAGGGAGGAAGGAAGAGCAGCTGCTTCCTTTGAAATTTAAGGGACATTTAAGGGAAATCCATCAATAAGGGACAGCAGCGGGACATGGCGCTGGAATAAGGGACTGTCCCTTCAAATAAGGGACACTTGACAGCTATGGGTTAATGGCATTTGGGGGGTCATTTATCTGCCCGGAGGCATAGAATGAAGAGCGACTGCTGGCAAGTACTGGTCAGACTCCTAGGACCGACCCCCTCAGACAGCAACTGCTGGAGGGGGGTGGACCTGTTGACAACCCCCCCTCCCAGCCGTTCCTCCTAACTTCCCTGTCAATTGTGCATGGTTAGGGGTCAGAGTAAGGCTACCCCACCACCAGGGCTGAAAGAAGATGCAACTGCTGGTCCAGTTGGCTTCCGCATGTGGAATTGAGAACGGGTGGGCACCATCTTGCCCTTCTCAGGGAGCAAAACACCCTGGGCTGACACTTCTTCCTCCACATTTTCCATAGTTCAGCTTGGACTACTGCAATGCGCTCTATGTGGGGCTACCTTTGAAGGTGACCCGGAAACTACAACTAATCCAGAATGTGGCAGCTAAACTGGTGACTGGGGGCGGCCGCCGAGACCACATAACACCGGTCTTGAAAGACTTACATTGGTTCCCAGTGTGTTTCCGAGCACAATTCAAAGTGTTGGTGCTGACCTTTAAAGCCCTAAATGGCCTCAAAGGCCCAGTATATTTGAAGAACGGTCTCCACCCCCATCGTTCTGCCTGGACACTGAGGTCCCGCTCTGAGGGCCTTCTGGCGGTTCCCTCATTGCAAGAAGCCAAGTTACAGGGAACCAGGCAGAGGGCCTTCTCGGTAGTGGCACCCGCCCTGTGGAATGCCCTCCCATCAGATGTCAAAGAGATAACTACTTGACGTTTAGAAGACATCTGAAGGCAGCCCTGTTCAGGGAAGTTTTTAATGTGCAACATTTTAATCTTTGTTGGAAGCCGCCCAGAGTGGCTGGGGAAGCCCAGCCAGATGGGCGGGGTACAAATAATAAATTATTATTATTATTGGATCCTGCTTGCAGGTTTCCTACTAGGGCATCTGGCTGGCCCCTGAGGGAACACGATGCTGGACTAGATGTCCTCTGGCCTGATCCAGCAGCCTCTTCAGGTGGCCCCACCCTGCCTGGGTTGGTAGACACATAGTTCAGTCCATAGAGTGCCAGGCTCTTAATCTTAGGGTAGATTAATGCCACGTAGAGCGCATTGCAGTAGTCCAAGTGGGAGATAACCAGAGCATGCACCACTCTGGCAAGACAGTCCAAGGGCAGGCAGGGTCTCATCCTGCGTACCAGATGGAGCTGGCAGACAGCTGCCCTGGACACAGAACGGACCTGCGCCTCCATGGACAGCTGTGAGTCCAAAATGACTCCCAGGCTGTGCACCTGGTCCATCAGGGGCACAGTTACCCCATTCAGGACCAGGGAGTCCTCCACACCAGCCCGCCTCCTGTCCCCCAAGAGCTCTCTCATTTTCTGTGATTTCCAGCAACTGGGATTCAGAAGCATTTCTGCCCCCTCCTTCTCCATGAATTTGCCCTTTCCTCTTTTAAAGCTGTCTAGGTTGGTGGCCATCACTGAATCCTGTGGCAGGGAGTTCCACTGTTTAATGTTTAGCCAAAATACGAACGTTGAGCTGGAATCTGGTTCCCTGCCACGTTCGCCCTCTCTTGGTTCTCCTTCTGCCCCCGGAGGGCAACCCAGAGGGGCAAGCCTGCTCTTGCCCTGTGCTGGGGCGAACGGGGAGGGTCTCCTTGTGTCGTGGCAGCAGATTCGAGACCGAGGAAAGGAAATTCGGGTGCCGCGAAACCAAGTCATCTCCTACAGGACGTCGTGGCGGCTGCTTCCTTTGGTGGCTCTCTCTTGAAAAAATGTAGACAAAGTCATAAAGGACAATGTCTGTCGATGCCTATTAGTCATGATGGCTAAGAATAGAACCTCTGTATCCAGAACCAGTATACCTCCCACATCAAGTGGGCTTGCGTTTGGCTGCTTTTACTTCCTGCTGTTGTTTCAAGGGATGTTTTTAACTGTTAATTGATGGTTTCGTCTTCGTCCGCCCCTTTGAGCTCTTGGAGGAGAGGCAGGGGATAAATGTGTTAAATATTCCCTCCCCCCCAATCTTAATCGTCTGTTTCCTAGCCCAAACTTAGCCCAACCTTTTCAACTATTCCTCCGAGGACTTCAGGCCTCGTCTATTCTGGTCTCCCTCCTTCTCACAAGTGTTGACAGGCAGCTACAATGAGGAGACAGGCTCTACCAGGGTTTCTCTTTCCTGTGCCCCCCCCCAAAAAAATACATGTAGGGTTGCCAACATTTTTGCTCGCTTTGCTCCTGTGCTGTTGCCAGCTGCCTGAGATGCAGATAGTTTAGCAGGCGAAGCTTTTCCTGGCCGCTTTTCTCTGTGCCTCGAAAAGTTTCACTTGCTGAACTGTCAACATCTAAGGCTGCTTTTAAAGCCAGCTGAGCAGAACCCACTAAATAAAATAAAATAAAATCAACTTCGCAACTATGTGGTCTTGCGGCAAACCAAGCAGGAGAGGACTGCGGTGCAGGGGGTGGTGGTTTAGATGACTCTTGGGGTGCCTCTGTGATTCTGTGACTGTCCTGGGTTTTTATAGGGGCAAAGACGAGCCCTCGGTTTATCTGCCAGGCTTCTACCGAAGCCTCCTTTTGCTTGTTCAAACAAGTTCGAAAGTGGGATGGAACGTAGATGTGAATCTATGCCTTGGTTCTAGTCCAGGGGTCAGCAAACTTTTTCAGCAGGGGGCCGGTCCACTGTCCCTCAGACCTTATGGGGGGCCAGACTATATTTTGAAAAAATAAAAAATAAACATGAACAAATGCCTATGCCCCACAAATAACCCAGAGATGCATTTTAAATAAAAGGACACATTCTACTCATGTAAAAACACGCCGACTCCCAGAACGTCCGCGGGCCGGATTTAGAAGGCGATTGGGTCGGATCCGGCCCCCGGGCCTTAGTTTGCTTATCCATGTTCTAGCCTAACCCTCACCCTCACCAGATGTTTGGAACTACAACTCCCATCAGCCCTAATTGGCATGCCCAGAGGCATGATGGGAATTGTAGTCCAACAACAGCTGAATGGAACCAGGATGGGAAAGACTCCCCTGCTGCCAATGGGCATAATGGACTCATAGAATTGCAGGGCTGGAGGGGACCAGGAGGGTCATCTAGTCCAACCCGCTACAAGGCAGGATTTTTTTTTTTTGCCCAACATGGGGCTCGAACTCACAACCCAAAGATTAAGAACTCCATGCTCTGCCGCCCGAGCTATAATCAAGAGGCAGCTGTGAGGTGGAGGCTTCAAGGCCTTTGGGGATGTTCGTGTGACTTGTGACTTTGTATGCTGAAGGCTGCGGGTTCAACCTCCGGATAGGGCTTCAAAAAAAGTCCTCTTCTGCCTGAAACCCTGGGGAGCAGCTGCCAGTCTGGGTAAGCATCACTGGGTTCGATAGGCAGTGTGGTGCAGTGGTGAGAGTGTTGGAGTAGGACCTGGGAGACTGTTGTTGTTTAGTCGTGTCTGCCTCTTCGTGCCCCCTGGACCAGAGCACGCCAGGCCCTCCTGTCTTCCACTGCCTCCCGCAGTTTGGTCAAACTCATGCTGGTAGCTTCGAGAACACTGTCCCACCATCTCATCCTCTGTCGTCCCCTTCTTCTTGTGCCCTCCATCTTTCCCAGCATCAGGGTCTTTTCCAGGGAGTCTTTTCTTCTCCTGAGGTAGCCAAAGTCTTGGACTTCCAGTGAGCACGCAGGGCTGATTTCCTTCAGAATGGAGAGGTTTGATCTTCTTGCAGTCCATGGGACTCTCAAGAGTCTCCTCCAGCACCAGAATTCAAATGCATCCATTCTTCGGCGACCGGCCTTCTTTATCACTGCCTTGCCGTGGCGAAGGGGCTTGAGTAACTTAGAGGAGCTATGAGCTATGCCGTGCAGGGCCACCCAAGACGGACAGGTCATAGTGGAGAGTTTTGACCAAATGTGATCCACCTGGAGCAGGAACCGGCAAGCCACTCCAGTATCCCTGCGAAGAAAACTCCATGGACAGAGACAACGGGGATATAAATACAATTAATAAACGAATAATAGCAGAGGGACGTGATTGATGGCAGCTTCCTTGGGCAGGAAAAAAAGAAAGCAGTGCAGAGTTGAACTGTGGAACTCACTGCCACAGGAGGAGGCAGGGAAGGCCGCCAACCCAGATAGCTTTAAAAGAGGATTAGTGGGGAGTGCTACCGATGGCTACCTGCCATGATGCCAATCTGCAGTTGGAGGCAGCCGTGCTTCCGAATCGCAGTTTCCGGAATCCACAAGAGGGAGCAGAGTAGAGTGGTCCTGTGTTTGAGTCCTGCTTTCTGGTTTCTCCCAGGCACCTGGCTGGTCGCTGGGCCATTGGCCTGATCCTGCAAGCTCTTCACTTGCATCTCCTGGGGAAAACCTGAGTGCTGGGTCCCTGCTCCCTGCTCAGGGTGGCAAGTGGTGCATCTCTGAACCTGGCCAGGATCCAGCTCCTAATAAGCACTTTCCCACCTTTCGACAAGCTTCCCTCGGATGGGACAAAAGGGGACCCGCCTTTTCTCTTTCCTGTGAGCTTTGTGGCTGTGCCCTGCCTTTCAGGTTGGTTTTCATACCAACCCACTCTCTTTGCACGCCAATTTTTGAAAGAGCCAGGCTTGCCTTCCACAGGCCTGGATTCATAACTGGTTGGTGGAGATTTTTCTTCCCCCTTTCCGCAGACAAGGCTGAGTCAAAAGGAGCGAAGCGGTCGGTTGGCAAACCCACTGGGGATCAGGGTGTGTGTGTGTGCGCGCCTTTCTCAGCTGCCACTCCAGAAAGAGCAAAACTTCATTCAAGCAACTCAGCAGTCTGGCACTCTGAGGTTGCCATGGTCTCTATCGTGGGTAGGCAAACTAAGGTCCGGGGGCCGGATGCGGCCCAATCGCCTTCTCAATCCGGCCCACGGACGGTCCGGGGATCAGCATGTTTTTACATGAGTAGAACGTGTGATTTTATTTAAAATGCATTTCTGGGTTATTTGTGGGGCCTGCCTGGTGTTTTTACATGAGGAGAATGTGTGCTTTTATTTAAAATGCTCATTTTAGAGCATTTTAAAGCATTTAGAGATTTTATTTAAAATCTCTGGGTTATTTGTGGGGCATAGGAATTCATTCTTTTTCCCCTTCAAAATATAGTCCGGCCCCCCACAAGGTCTGAGGGACAGTGGACCGGCCCCCTGCTGAAAAAGTTTGCTGACCCCTGGTCTCTATGGCCAAGGCAGTGCGCTCCACTTGTTGCTGAACTGCATCTCTCTTCACCCCTGACCATTGAGCATGTGCTGCCTGGGGCTTATGGGAACTGGAGTCACATGGAAGAGGGAACAAGCTTGTTTTCTGCTGCTCTGGAGGGTAAGACTTGAACCCGTGGCTTCAAGTAACAAAAAGGGAGATTCTGATGAAACATCAGGAAGAGCTTTCTGACAGTAGGAGCTGTTTGACCGTTCGATGGAAGGTGGTGGACACTCCTTCCCTGGAGGTTTTTAAGCAATCGTTGGGTGGCCATCTGTCATGGATGCTTTAGCTGAGATCCCTGCATTGCCGGGGGTTGGACTGGATGACCTTTGGGTGTCCCTTCCAACTACAGTTTTGTAGCTCTATGATTCTAGCTGCCCATGAATGAATGGAGCTGCATGCCGGGAGATTCGGAACAGATAAAAGAAAACCCTTCTTCACACAATGTGTAGTTAAACTGTGGAACTCCCTGCCACTGTAGGCAGTGATGGTCACCAGCTGGATGGCTTTAAAAGAGGACAAGACAAACTCATGGAGGAAAAAGCTGTCAATGGCTACTAGCCGCAATGGCTATGCTGTGGTCAGAGGCAGCAATGCTTCTTAATACCTACGGGACCGCCTCTCCTGGTATGCCCTGCGGAGGACCTTAAGGTCCACAAATGACAACATTTTGGAGGTCCCAAGTCGCAAGGTGGTTAGGCTGACCTCAACTAGGGCCAGGGCCTTTTCAGTACTGGCCCCGACTTGGTGGAACGCTCTGTCACAAGAGACCAGGGCCCTGCAGGACTTGACATCTTTCCGCAGGGCCTGCAAGACAGAGCTGTTCTGCCTGGCCTTTGGCTTGGACTCAGTCTGACCCTTATGTTTCCCTCCCCTTATGGTCTTGATCTATGGGCTACTTTTAAAATGAGGTTGCATTTAAATGGCATTTTAACCTGTATTTTAAATTGGCCCCCCACACACTATGTTTTTTACTGTGATTTTATTGGTGTTAGCCACCCTGAGCCCGGCTCTGGCCGGGGAGGGCAGGGTATAAATAAAATTTAATATTATTAATATTAATATCTGTTGCTGGAAACCGAAGGAGGGGAGTGTTGGTCTTGTGTTCAGGTCCTGCCTTAGGGGTTCCCTTTGAGGCATCTGATCGGCCATTTGTGAGAACAGGATGCTGGACTAGATGGGCCATTGGTCTGATCCAGCAGCGTCTTTTGATGCTCCTAAGCTTATTTTTCCCATCTGAGGTTTAACCCAAAGTACCCGTGGGAGAAAGGGGATGCGGGTGGTGCTGTGGGTTAAACCACAGAGCCTAGGACTTGCCGATCAGAAGGTCGGTGATTCGAATCCCCGTGACGGGGTGAGCTCCTGTTGCTCGGTCCCTGTTCCTGCCAACCTGGCAGTTCGAAAGCACGTCAAAGTGCAAGTAGATAAATAGGTACCACTCCGGCGGGAAGGTAAACGGCGTTTCCGTGCACTCCTCTGGTTCGCCAGAAGCGGCTTGGTCATGCTGGCCACATGACCCGGAAGCTGTACGCCGGCTCCCTCGGCCAATAAAGCGAGATGAGCACCGCAACCCCAGAGTCAGTCGCAACTGGACCTAAAGGTCAGGGGTCCCTTTACCTTTACTCGTGGGAGAAAGGGGACGTGGGTGGCACTGTGGGTTAAACCACAGAGCCTAGGACTTGCCGATCAGAAGGTCGGCGGTTCAAAGCCCCATGACGGGGTGAGCTCCCGTTGCTCGGTCCCTGCTCCTGCCAACCTAGCGGTTTGAAAGCACATCAAAGTGTATGTAGATAAATAGGGACTGCTCTGGTGGGAAGGTAAACGGCATTTCCGTGCGCTGCTCTGGTTCACCAGAAGCGGCTTAGTCATGCTGGCCACATGACCCGGAAGCTGTCTGCGGACAAATGCCGGCTCTCTCGGCCTATAGAGCGAGATGAGCACGCAACCCCAGAGTTGTCTGTGACTGGACCTAACGGTCAGGGGTACCTTTACCTTTACCCATGGGAGAAGCTCTGTTGAATTCGAGTAGGATTTCAGAACCACAGTTAAAACGATCTCCTGGTTGTGGGTGCCCATTGGAATTTGATTTTTGAAAATGCGTTGGCTGTTTGAAGCTAGTTTCGAACCGGAGGTCCCGTTTTTAGAGTGTGTGTGTCTGATTCGCAGATTCAAATCCAGGTTTTCTTGATTCCTAAAATGATGTTATGTGCTGGGATTCCTCCGGCTTGCCAAGGGGAAGGTCTCTGGGATGGGGCACCCCTTGGCAGGAGCTGGGATGGGGCTCCTGGCAGCCTCCTCTCCCGGCCTGTGCCAGGCGGTTAAGATTGGGCCTCGGAAGCATCGTGGTGGCTCTTGATCTCCATAATCTCCTCGGACTTAAAGATCTTTTGCTGTCTAAGCTTGTTAAGGCGAACGGCCTCCCAGGGGAGTTTTCTGGGACATGGGCTTGCCAGGCCGCGATGCCTCCGTGAACCTGGGCCGGGTGCAATTGCAGTCCCGCCAACGGTGCTGAGATCGCAAGCAGGCACAAACAACACCTTTTAACCTTGCCTTGCAGTTTATTATCAATTGGAGTTGGGGGGGGGCTTCAACTTAGCTGTCAACTGTCCCTTATTTGGCGGGACAGTCCCTTATCCCAGCACCGTGTCCCGCTGCTATCCCTTATTGATGATGTCCCTTAAATTTCCCGGGTTTCAAAGGAAGCAGCTCCTCTCCCTCCCTCCCTGCCGGCCAGGGAGGAGGGAGGCTCCAACTGTGTTGCTTGGCTGCGTTGCTCACCCAATAAGGAGTCTCAGAACGACTGGGGGGTGGAGCTTGCATGCCTTGTGCCAATCAAATCAGCCGCGTTGCCTGGGGACTCGCCTTTGCTCAGCGCTTCCCAGCAGAGAGGTGACGGTGGTTTTCCTTGCTGCATCCCCTTTGCCGGGTTTCTGCGCTGTGGGAACCACCGCTTGAGGCTTCCTTTGGCTGCTGGTTGACTAAAATCCCTTATTTTGGCTGCTGATCCCTTATTTTCGAGGCTGCTGGTCCCTTATTTTCAAATCTGTAAGTTGACAGCTATGGGCTTCAATGGATATCTATCTTTCTCTCATCATGGGACCCAAGGCCTTGGACAGGTAGTTTTGAGGGCGTCACCTGCTAGTAGATTGACAGGACACATCTCTGGGCCTGGGTAATTTTATGGTCACATGCAAGGACCAACGTGATATTTATTTATAAAAGATATTGGTGCACCGCTGTGCCAAAGAATATGAAAGTATTAAAGCAGTTGTTTGTTTTGTTTAGTCGTTTAGTCGTGTCTGCCTCTTCGTGACCCCCTGGACCAGAGCACGCCAGGCACTCCTGTCTTCCACTGCCTCCCGCAGTTTGGTCAAACTCATGCTGGTAGCTTCGAGAACACTGTCCCACCATCTCGTCCTCTGTCGTCCCCTTCTCCTTCTGCCCTCCATCTTTCCCAACATCAGGGTCTTTTCCAGGGAGTCTTCTCTTCTCCTGAGGCAGCCAAAGTCTTGGAGCCTCAGCTTCAGGATCTGTCCCTCCAGTGAGCACTCAGGGCTGATTTCCTTCAGAATGGAGAGGTTTGATCTTCTTGCAGTTCATAGGACTCTCAAGAGTCTCCTCCAACACCATAATTCAAAAGCATCAATTCTTTGGCAATCAGCCTTCTTTATGGTCCAGCTCTCACTTCCACACATCACTACTGGGATGTATGGAAGTTAGCAAAGCAGTTAGCAGCAGCCAAACACAAAAACCATCTAATAAAATCTGTAAAGAAGTTAAGAGTTTAAAACAGGTGTCAAATAACCGGTGTGGGGAAGATGTATTCTTAATCACCTGCCTAGGCCTGGCAGAACAGAAATGGGCTCTGTAGGAATCTAAAAGTTGGCACAGAAGCCGCCTGCCAAATCTCTAGTGGCAGAGAGTTGCACAGGACTTGGTTTCTTTCTCTGATCTTCTGGCGGGGTCTGTGTGTCCCTCCTTGCTGCTGCAGTCAGTAGACCATCTGCTGCACTGCTGCTATGATACAGATGGTCCTGAGTTCAAAACTCCATGACATCTCCAGGCAGGGCTTGGGGAGAGAGCTGCGGCTGTCAGTCAGAGCAGACATTACTGAGTTCGGTGAGTTAGTACAAAGCAGCTGTCAGAATGTTCCTCCGACCCTAACACTATACCCCACCAACTCCTGGACAACTACAGTGGCACTGGTTGGCAGAGGGGAGGAAGATTTGGCAAAAAATGGGGGGTTGGAGCTCGTGGGCAGAATGAATGACCCCCCTACCTATAAATTTACAGCGAGAAGCGTGAAGAGGGCCAACTGCCAGACTGGCCCTGCTCTGAATCCTTTGCCCATTTGTGGGGGGTTTTTTTAATCTCTTTTATTCAATTTTACATTATACATTTAAATTCAAACATTGATCATAATCATCAACATTTAGCATTCCCTGAATCCTTAGACTCCACCCCCCATGGTTTCCATTATCAAACATTTTCTACTGCATCATATATTTTCTCTATTTTTCTTAAAATAACCCATTATTACCTTAGTTTTTAATACATTACAAGCATTACTCTAATCCTGCCAAAGTCTTTAGTTGTTTTACAGTGTTCTCTTTAGTAAATTGTAATTTCCGCCCCCCCATTCCTTCTTAAAGTTTCTGTCTGGTTTCTGATTTTCCCAGGCCATTTCGGCATAGTCCATTATCTTCATCAACCATTCGTCTCCAGTCAGGACTTTATCTTCTTTCCATCTCTGGGCCAGTATCTGCTGTCATCGCATACACAAATAATCATTTCTGCTCCTTTGGTATCTCTGCATCTAGAATTCCTTGTAAAAAAGGCTTCTGGTTTCCCCCCACAAATGTTATTTTAAATATTTTTTTTCAACTCATTATATATTACTCATTATATATTGTATCAATAGGGACGCGGGTGGTGCTGTGGGTTAAACCATAGAGCCTAGGACTTGCCGATCAGAAGGTTGGTGGTTCGAATCCCGGCGACGGGGTGAGCTCCCGTTGCTCGGTCCCTGCTCCTGCCCACCTAGCAGTTCGAAAGCACGTCAAAGTGAAGTAGATCAATAGGTACCACTCCGGCGGGAAGGTAAACGGCGTTTCCCTGCGCTGCTCTGGTTTCGCCAGAAGCAGCTTAGTCATGCTGGCCACATGACCCGGAAGCTGTGTGTGGACAAACACCGGCTCCCTCGGCCTATAGAGTGAGATGAGCGTGCAACCCAGAGTTGTGTATGACTGGACTTAACTGTCAGGGGTCCTTTACCTTTACCTTATACAGTCATACCTCGAGTTACAGACGCTTCCGGTTATGTTTTTTCAGGTTACGGGCTGCCAAAACCCGGAAGTACCGGAAAGGGTTACTTCCGGGTTTCGGTGGTCACGCATGCACAGAAGCACTAAATCGCACTTGCGCATGCGCAGAAGCACTGAATCTCAACTCGCGTGTGCACAGCTGCAGGTTGCGAACGTGCACCCCGCACGGATCACATTCACGACCCGAGCGTCCACTGTATATTGTATCCCATGTGGTGATAGACGTGCAAGATAACAAAAGCATTCTGGGACATGATATATCCTTTGCCCCTTCGTATGTAACGTCGCCGTCTTCCATTTCTCCCCAGCACCAGCGCTGCCCGGTGGTCACCCTCGACCCGCCCCCCGCCCCGGCGACGCCTCCGCTGTCCCCGCAGCCCTCCACCCTGGCCAGCAGCCGCTCAGAAAAGGGTTCGTCATGGTCCAGCCGCTCTCTGGGCGCCCGCTGCCGCAACTCCATCGCCTCCTGCGCCGACGAGCAGCCCCACATTGGCAACTACCGGCTCCTCAAGACCATCGGGAAGGGAAACTTTGCCAAGGTCAAGCTGGCCAGGCACATCCTGACAGGAAGGGAGGTAAGCGGGGGCTGGAAGGGGTGGGCGCAAGGATGGGCGAGAAGGGTTGATTGATTGATGGATTGATTGATGGATGGATGGATGGATGGATGAGTTAGGCTCACTCGCAGGCCGCTTCCCACCAGCTTACAGCAAGCATTCGAAACATCGAAATGCAAGCAGGTGAACACAGAGCACATCAGCAAATTCAAAAATCAGCTACTTAACCGGCACAGAATAAATTGAATTGCACATATACACACACATAAACATATTTTCTGGGTTTAAGTACAACATACAGTGGTACCTCGGGTTGCTGACGGGATCCGTTCCGGAGCTCCAGACGGATCCTAAGGAATTTGCAACTGGAGGCCCTTGCTCTGCGCATGCACGCGGCGCAATTTAGCGCTTCTGTGCATGCGGCGAAACCTGGAAAAACACTTCCTGGTTTGCCGCGGACGTATTCCAAAGGATACGTAACCAAAGGTGACCACAAGCAGTAATATGCTGTTGTTATGTGGGTGAGGCAGAAGGGGTCTCTGGAGGAAAAAGGAGGGGGAAGGTTGCCTTTGGCAAGAGCCTAAAAACACTCATTGCAGCAGGAAACCTTGTGTGGTGGGCTGCCGCAAGGCTGGGTCATTGTGTCCCCCCTCAGGGGACCCCAAAGCACAGGACTCCGGTTGCCGATTTATAAACCAGCTCATAGCCTACTGAAGCAGTGCAGAACAAGCCAAGATAAACTGCGGAAGGTTACTAACTCGGTGAACTAAGAGCAATAAAACCCTTTCTGCAATTGTGGCAGTTAATATTCCATAAAATGACTCCGGTCACACTCCAAAGGAAGCCTTCTTGTACAAAATGTCTTGAGCAGACACCTAAGATAGCAAGGCGCTTGTTGAATCTCGGTTTCTGGACTGATTCTGAAAGTCCACCTGTTGCCGCAGTTCTCGCGCCGCCAAATTTTGGAGGAGGCAGTGGCGATGCTTCTGAATCCCAGTGGCTGGAAACCGCAGGAGGAGAGAGTTGCTCTTGTGCTCGGATCCTGCTCGGCAGCTTCCCTGGTTGGCCACTGTGAGAACAGGAATCTGGCCTGATCCAGCAGCAGGATCTTTGTATCTTCTCATGGAACCTCCAGCTTCACAGGCAGTCTATCTGCGCGAACAGGATGCCAGGCCTCTGGGAAGCTGGGTTGCTTCCTTGTTTGTCCAGAACTCACGCCCTGCCTTCCGTCGCAAGGGCCCTGATTACCACAAATCAATGCATAGAACAAGTTATCGGAAATACCAAATGCAGTGGTACCTCTGGTTGTGAAAAGTATCCGTTCCGGAGGCCCGTTCGCAACATGAAAAGAGCGCAACCCGCAGCGGCGACTCTGTGCATGTGCGGGTTGTGATTTGCCACTTCAGTGCATGCACGTGACGTCATTTTGCGCTTCTGCACATGCATGCACGAGCAGCGAAACCTGGAAGTAACCCTTTCCGGTACTTCCGGGTTGCTGCAGGACGTAACTTGAAAAAATGTACAGTGGTACCTCGGGTTAAGTACTTAATCCGTTCCGGAGCTCCGTACTTAACCTGAAACTGTTCTTAACCTGAAGCACCACTTTAGCTAATGGGGCCTCCTGCTGCCGCCGCGCCGCCAGAGCACGATTTCTGTTCTCAACCTGAAGCAAAGTTCTTAACCTGAAGCACTATTTCTGGGTTAGCGGAGTATGTAACCTGAAGCGTATGTAACCTGAAGTACCACTGTAACATGAAGCAGATGTAACATGAGGTATGACTGTACTTTCAGGGTCTGTCAATTTCTCACACAGACCAATATTGTCCCAGCCTTTCTGAAAGCCAGTCTTCACCTGTTCCCTGCTGCTGCACTGGGTGGGTGGGTGTGTGTGTTCCACAACTGGGGTGCCAATCCTGAGGAGAGCCTCAAGATTTCACTTAAGGCCAGAAATCGGCTTCAGTTTATTGTCCCGCACAAGAAGAGCTTAGCAGACCAGGCCAAAGCATCTCGCGGTGGCCAAATGCCCCAAAGGACCTGGGAATCTAGGTAGACTGCGCCTGAATCTGGAGGCTCCATAACAGCCTCAGAAGATCCAGTCCTGTTCTCACAGCCTGAATGCGAAGTCTGCAAGGCACAGATTCAAGCACCTCCCCAGCTTACCCTTCTGCCGGGGAGAGTTAGAGCAGTTAACATTTTTAGTGCATGTGCGAATGGCGTTCTGGGTCCTCTGCTATCAAGGCACCCCAGAGCCACTTGGGGAGAGGTGATCTGAGGGGTTGTACCCCAGGACCAATCGGACACTGTCCTGGCACCCTCCTCGACGACGTTTTTGCAGCCATGGGGAAGGGGTGGAGCAAGCCTCAGGTGCGTCTGTCCTGAGCAGGTGAGATGCAGGTGCAACTTATAGGTGGCAAGGGGGCAGGTGTATAGGGCTCCACCCTTAGCCACTGGCTACTTCTGGTGCTGGGGACAGTCTAGATGGGGGTGGAGAGGGAGAATGAGGAAAGGCAGAAAGGAAGGAGCAGGTGGAAATCACAGGGTGGGGCTGGATTTGGAAAGGAGGGTTTAGCGAATTATTGCTGGCAGGAACCAGCTATTGCAGGGCCTTTTAAAAAGTTTTTATTTATACGTTTCAAGTTTATACATATCATTAGTTTTACAATCAACTGAACATTTCAGAATTTGACTTCCTTCCCCCTCTTTCTGCGGTTCGTTAAATGTATTTTTTTAATACCTTCTGCGTATCCAAATTGATTTGATTTGCTCATTTAATTATAATAATAATAATAAATTTTATTTATATCCCGCCCTCCCCAGCCGAAGCCGGGCTCAGGGCGGCTAACAACAATAAAACAGTACAAAAGTACAGCATAAACAACACTCTAAAATCATTCATTATAAAATTAATTAATTCAATTAATTAATTAATTATCTGCTTTAAATATACACGCTTATGAAACTGCAGGTTATTACAATAATCCTGCCAGTGTTTTTATCTGTTTGCAATTTATCTGTAAATATCCAATAAAACCCTTTCCATTATTTTATAAAAAAAGTTTGCTATCTTGATTTCTTATTCTTCCCAGTAACTTTTGCCATTTCTGCATATTCTATGTTGTTTTTTAATCCGTTCTTCCTTTGCTGGGACTTCTGCTTCTTTTCATTTTGGGGCAAGTCGCATTCATAAGTCAATTTCTATACAATTCAGGTCGTTCTGTCCCTATAATTCCCAAAATTGCAGGGCCTTTCTCTCTCTCCCTGCCCCCGCTCCCGGCCACCCCCACTTTTTCACCAGTCTGATTTTCTGGCATTTCATTTCTTCCAGGTGGCTATAAAAATAATCGACAAGACGCAGCTGAATCCAACGAGCCTCCAGAAGGTGTGTATGTTTGTTGCTGTTTCAAACCCACCAGCTCTTTGATCAGAATCGTAAGAACTCTAGATTTGGAAGGGACCCCTAGAGTCATCTAGTCCAACCCCTTTGCAGTGCACGAATGCCCCAAAGGGGGTTTTGGCCCTGGAGGGGGGGGGTATCAGGGACTGCAGGGGTCGGCTGTGGGGAACACCATTACCCAGAGGGGATTCCCCAGGAGGGCGCTAAGAGGCAGAAGGCAGCTGGGGGGGGGCGGACTCTGGAGGTGTAAATAATAATAATAATGATAATAATAATAATAATAATTTATTATTTGTACTCCGCCCATCTGGCTGGGTTTCCCCAGCCACTCTGGGCGGCTTCCAACAAAGATTAAAAATGCATCAAAATGTCACACATTAAAAACTTCCCTAAACAGGGCTGCCTTCAGATGTCTTCTAAACGTCAGGTAGTTGTTTATCTCTTTGACATCTGGTGGGAGGGCGTTCCACAGGGCGGGTGCCACCACCAAGAAGGCCCTCTGCCTGGTTCCCTGGAGCTTTGCTTCTCGCAATGAGGGAACCGCCAGAAGGCCCTCGGAGCTGGACCTCAGTGTCCGGGCAGAACGATGGGGGTGGAGACGCTCCTTCAGGTATACAGGACTGAGGCCGTTTAGGGCTTTAAAGGTCAGCACCAACACTTTGAATTGTGCTTGGAAACGTCCTTTCAAGACTGGTGTTATGTGGTCTCGGTGGCCTCTCCCAGTCACCAGTCTAGCTGCCGCATGGCAGAAGAGAGGCCCAGATCCATTCCTTTCCACCTCGTGGTGGCATAGAATCGCGGAACTGCATAATTGAGAGGGACCTCCAAGGGACATCTAGTCCAACCCCCTCCCACCAGATGTCAAGGAGAACAACAACTACCAGACTTTTAGAAGACATCTGAAGGCAGCCCTGTTCAGGGAAGCTTTTAATGTTTGATGTATTACGGTATTTTAATATTTTCTCGGAAGCCGCCCAGAGTGGCTGGGGAAGCCCAGCCAGATGGGTGGGGTATAAATATTATTATTATTATTATTATTATTATTATTATTATTATTATCTGGTTCATACAAGTGCTTCCCCCCCCCAAATAAATAAATATGTTTTGGGGTACTCTCATTTTGACTCAAGGCAATCACCATTTTATAGATCAAATTGGGAAAAATAAATACAGTAAATGGACAAAAGTATGAAGATTCACAAAATGTTTAGGGGTATGCGTCCCCCTGTGTACCCCCCCCCCAGGAAAAAAAGCACTTGGTTCACGGGGACCCCCTTCTCTCTCTCCCTCTCTCTCTCTGGGATCTCTATCTCCCTCACGCCACTGACCCCCACCCCACCTTTCCCTCCACTGGTGTGCTCATTGCCAAAGACACCCATCGCTCTTCATTCCCCCCCCCCGCTTTCTGCCCCCCCTTCCCTAATTAGCGCCTGGAGTCCAAGTTGGTCGCTGTGGTAACGCCACCTCCTGCCAGCATCTCGCTGTGGGGGAGGTTGTGGGGGGTGGAGCTGCTAATTAGCGGCTGGATTTTCCAGGCCAAATGAGCTTGGGGAAGATTGGGGGGGGGGAGAGATGGATATTGAAGGCCTTTCCTCGCCCCCCCTTTCAAATTAGTCATTTCCCCTGGCAAGGGGCTGGAGGAAGCTCCCTGTTCAATGGGAGTCCTCCCAGTTGCAGCTCCCTGTTCAATCCAGTCTTCCCAGTTGCAGCCAGACTGACACTCCCAGCATCCTTTTGGCTGGGGGGGGGGAGGCCCTGTACTCCCTTGAAAGCCTCTTTCTTCCATTCCTCCCCCCCCCCGAAATTCGTCTGCCATCCATCTCACAGCTCCTTTTAAGGGGAAAACCCCCCATGCTCGCTCCCCAACTCCCACTGACTGCCCCCATTGATGGGTTTCATAAACAGATCGCATTCCTAATCCTGACATTTAATTAATAGAATCATAGGACTGAGCTGTGCTGAAGAGGCAGTGTGGGGCATTGATTAGAGTACACAACCTGGGAGAGATCAGGGTTCAGAGTCCCTCAACACGGCCACCCTGAAGCTCACTGAGAGATAGCTTGTTTTCTGCTGCTCTAGAGTGGCTCAAACACTTAATACGATACTAAAGGCAAGAGGGCCTCTGAGCATGCGCAGAATGTTTGTTGTCGCTGCTGTCACTGCCAAATTGTCAGGGTTTGCCAGGATTATGAGGAGAGGCTTCCATGTTAAAGGTCTCTCGCCTTGGCACCTCTCCTCTTTAGAAATTAACCCCTCCTGCCAGCCGCCTTTGGAATAAAGGTAAAGGTAAAGGGACCCCTGACCATTAGGTCCAGTCGTGGCCGACTCTGGGGTTGCGGCGCTCATCTCGCTTTACTGGCCGAGGGAGCCGGCGTACAGCTTCCGGGTCATGTGGCCAGCATGACTAAGCCGATTCTGGTGAACCAGAGCAGCGCACAGAAAGGCCGTTTACCTTCCCACCAGAATGGTACCTATTTATCTACTTGCACTTGACGGGCTTTCGAACTGCTAGGTTGGCAGGAGCAGGGACCAAGCAACGGGAGCTCACCCCATCATGGGGATTCGAACCGCCGACCTTCTGATCAGCAAGTCCTAGGCTCTGTGGTTTAACCCACAGCACCACCTGCGCATAGCTGTCAACTTTCAGATTTGAAAATAAGAGATCAGCAGCCTTGAAAATAAGGGATCAGCAATCTCACCTGTCCCGGGGACAGTCTACAGGATATCTAACAATCCGGGATAGCAGCGGGAAACGGTGTTGGAATAAGGGGATTTCCTGCAAAAAAAGGGAAGGTTGACAGCTATGCATCCACGCCTTTGGAATACCTAAGAGCAAAGTATCCGTGGGGAGGAAATAACTGCCTCCAAAGCAATTTTGGGAACAGAGTTTGCTCGGGGAGGAACCTCACTACCGTTACGGAAAAATCGTTTTCCAAAATATGTTCCTGCAATGGGAGCACGTCCAAAATGTATGTTTGTGTGTGAAAACATGCTGTGACCAGCCCTTGGGGAGGATGACTTGGCTTAACCCACCTTCCTCCTCCCCTTTTTTGCAGCTCTTCCGAGAAGTGAGGATCATGAAGGGTCTGAATCACCCCAACATCGGTAAGAGAGGCAGGAGCCTGGAAAGAGGTCCACCTCCGTTCACAGTGGCAGCTGCCTTTCTCTTAAGGAGCTTGAAGGCAGAACCAGGAGGGAGGGAGAGGGTCATGTTCAAGAAATCCAGGCAGATCTTGCTCCGTGGAATCCGGGGGCTGAAATCTCTCTCTCTCACTGTTGCAGTGAAACTCTTTGAGGTGATAGAGACGGAGAAGACACTCTACCTAGTGATGGAGTATGCCAGCGCAGGTGAGTCTGGGGCATGTAGCGTTCCCAAAACAAGGAAGGATTGGACTCTGATTAATAGAATACACACAAGGCTTTACCAGAAGGACTCTGAGTTGTTGTTTAGTCGTTTAGTCGTGTCCGACTCTTCGTGACCCCCTGGACCAGAGCACGCCAGGCACTCCTGTCTTCCACTGCCTCCCGCAGTTTGGTCAAACTCATGTTTGTAGCTTCGAGAACACTGTCCAACCATCTGGTCCTCTGTCGTCCCCTTCTCCTTGTGCCCTCCATCTTTCCCAACATCAGGGTCTTTTCCAGGAGTCTTCTCTTCTCATGAGGTGGCCAAAGTATTGGAGCCTCAGCTTCAGGATCTGTCCTTCCAGTGAGCACTCAGGGCTGATTTCCTTCAGAACGGAGAGGTTTGATCTTCTTGCAGTCCATGGGACTCTCAAGAGTCTCCTCCAGCACCATAGTTCAAAAGCATCAATTCTTTGGCGATCAGCCTTCTTTATGGTCCAGCTCTCACTTCCATACATCACTACTGGGAAAACCAGAGCTTTAACTATATGGACCTTTGTTGGCAAGGTGATGTCTCTGCTTTTTAAGATGGAGGTGCCAATATTAATTCCTGTCCACCCTTCGGCCCAGGTCGTTTTATTCACAAAAAAACTTTTTACACAGTGTTCATAAGAACCAATCAGATTTCCTCTGAGCATTTCAAAAACCCTACGTGGGACAAAGTTAAAGTTAAAACTACAAAGAAACTATTTCCTACTGAAGCATGCATAGTAGACCAGAGTAAATAAAATAGGAATAAAAGGAGGAATGCATCCAGCAAAACCCAGGAGGTCATAAACAGGAGAGACAGGATGGCAGTATTTACCATCTCTATGTGAACTCTCTTCCTGGCCCTTAAAGGTAAAGGTAAAGGGACCCCTGATCATTAGGTCCAGTCGTGACCCACTCTGGGGTTGCGGCGCTCATCTCGCTTTATTGGCCGAGGGAGCCAGCGTACAGCTTCTGGGTCATGTGGCCAGCATGACTAAGCCACTTCTGGCGAACCAGAGCAGCGCACGGAAACGCCATTTAGCTTCCCGCCGGAGCGGTACCTATTAATCTACTTGCACTTTGACGTGCTTTCGAACTGTGAGGTTGCCAGGAGCAGGGACCGAGCAACGGGAGCTCACCCCATCACGGGGATTCGAACAGCCGACCTTCTGATCAGCAAGTCCTAGGCTCTGTGGTTTAACCCAAAGCACCACCCGCGTCCCATTAAAGAGCTATCTAAAGATTAAACTATATCAAAGTAACCTACTATCTTTATGTACTGAGGATGCCTGATGAAGCAACTGTCCTGTATATCGGAATGCTTATATGTGCCTGTCATGTAGAGAAAGCAAATGTCAGAGGTGGAGAGGCCTGTGGGATTCGATCAGAAACTATTGTCAATGAATCAAACCCAGTCAACGCAGTGCTTTCATAGCAGACACAATGGCTTGCTCCATATTTCATAATTCCTCATAGCAATCCCACCTGACCCCCACACTCTCGATATTTGCTCCCCTACAGGGGCACAGTTTCTTTCTTTCTTTCTTTCTTTGGCGATCCCTCGTAGCCGAGTAAGATTGTCTTCCATAAACATGGATTTTAAGTGACTGTGGAGGCCAATTCTGGATCCTCATGTCCTTCCACAGTGGGGACATTGGTTCCTGGGCGGGAGTTGATCACGATGTGGATTTACCAAGCGTGCCTTCCTCTTAGCACGTTTCTCCCTTGCGTCCTGCGTTCGAGTGTCTTCAAAGCCCAGGACACCTTTGGTAAAGGCTGTTCTCCAACTGGAGCGCTCGCAGGCCAGTGTTCCCCAGTTGTCAGTGTTTATACTACATTTTTTTTAGATTTGCCTTGAGACAGTCTTTAAACCTCTTTTGTTGACCACCAGCATTACGCTTTCCATTTTTAAGTTTGGAATAGAGAAGTTGCTTTGGAAGATGATGATCAGGCACAGTTTAGCTCCATGCCAGCCCTTGCCCAGTGCACTGCCCGCCCACTTCCACAGCTCTGCAGGCATTGCATCCATTTTATGACCTTGTTGCTCAATTCAATATTTTTGCATTTATTTATTTTTTAATGCACTGCGGTATTTTATATTTTGCTGTTACTTTGATTTTTTTTATATATTTATAATTTTACTGAGATTATTATAGTAAATTAAAATGAATAAGAAAACAGAAAAAGAGGGCAGGGAAGAGAATACATTAAAAAACCATATTTTTGTCCTTCCAATGTATCGATATCAATCTTTTTGCAGAAATGAGGTCATGGAGAATCCATTTACGCTCACCAATGATTATTTTTATTTATGATTATTTGGCAATGATTTATAGTAGCTGTTGAGTCAACTTCTGTCCAGTCCTCATTTGCTGATATTTTGAGAATTAATTTCATTCCGCGCCATAATATTCTAATGGATTATCGAATATCACGTTATTCAGTGTAAGTTGTTTACTTTAAGTCATATTTTTAGACATTGTTTTGCATTGGATCGGATTGTTGGAGGACATGGGGGTCTTTGTTCTATGTTTCGTTTTTTCTACGGCTTGCAAGACGCCTTGTGCGCAGCTAGGGATTATTAGGAGAGGAATGGAAAATATGCCGATATCATATTGCTGTTGTGCAGAACTATGGAGCAAGGTGTGCAGTTCTGGTCCCTGTAGAACTGGGAAAGGTTCAGCAAAGGCCACACAAATGATGGAGGGGATGCAGTGAGTAAGAGGCGAAATGATGGAAGTTTTAAATGACAATTTTAGGTTATATTTTAGTGATCAAGATTTAATATACCGTATTTTTCGCTCTATAAGACGCACCAGACCACAAGACGCACCTAGTTTTTGGAGGAGGAAAACAAGGAAAAAAATATTCTGAATCTCAGAAGCCAGAACAGCAAGAGGGATCGCTGCGCAGTGAAAGCAGCAATCTCTCTTGCTGTTCTGGCTTCTGGGATAGCTGCGCAGCCTGCATTCGCTCCATAAGACGCACACACATTTCCCCTTACTTTTTAGGAGGGGAAAAGTGAGTCTTATAGAGCAAAAAATACGGTATATTTTTAACTGCCGCTATATCTGTATTGTCTCTGTTATACCCAATTGCAATTCAATGTATTCCTGTTGTGTTTTTCCTGATATTGTAAGTGACCTGGAACTGGTCTGTGACCGTAATAATAAAATTCAATTCACTGATGGAAGTTTATGAAAAGTGGGGAGGGGAAAAGTGGAGAGGAGAAGTTTTTCTTCTTTTCTCATAATACCCACATTTAATTAGGCTGAATGTTGGAAGATGCGGGACAAATAAAAGGATTTCCCCCCCATGCAGCACATAGCTAACCTTTGGAACTCCCTGCCACAGGAGCCAGCGGTGGGCACCCACTTGGGTGGCTTTAAAAGAGGAATAGACAAATTCATGGAGGAGGAGAGGGCTTCTCATGGCGACTAGCCAGGATGCCACTGGCCTGATCCTGCAGGCTCTTCTGGTGTTAGCCTAACGTCCCTTTCTCTCCGCCTGTAGGAGAAGTCTTTGACTACCTGGTTTCCCACGGGCGTATGAAGGAGAAGGAGGCTCGGGCCAAGTTCAGACAGGTGAGGAGAGGAGACCCCAGCCAGGGGCCCGGTTGCTCTTTGGGTGCCCGGAAAGGGGCGAGGGGTGATTGGCGGGAATGTGGCTTGGCTGATGTTTTGGGTTTTTTTTTAAAAAAAAATTTAATCATTTTTTCAATACAAACAACAACCACAAACAACAGAAACCATGATAACACTAATAACTTGACAATTCAGATTTGAAGACACAGATATACACCATTTTTTCTTTGCATTTTATTTATTTATTAACATTCTTATATTACATCGGTAAACATTGTCATATTACATTACAGGACTTACTGTAATATAATTTCCAACATGTATACAAAAATGATATGCAAATTTTATATACCTGAAAAGAAAATGAAACAACAAAAAAAGAAGGAAAGAACAAAGAAACAACAATTTCCCCCAAAAAATCATATACATACCAACACACTAGACTTCCTCTCTTTCCCATTGTATATTCCCTTTTTTACAAATGAATGTTCTCTTATTATTGTATATTTCTTTACATTTTATCTAATACATTCCTATATCAATATGTGCTCTTAGTCTTATTTCTCCACTCAGTCTGGCTCCAACATCAATGAAACGCTAGCATAGATAGCGAACCTTTACTGTATTTTTGAACATATGTTTTATATCTATCCCACTTTTCCATAAATTTTTGTTTTGAATTGTCTCTCAGGGTATTTGTGACTACACCTTTTTAACAATATTTTCCCACCACTCTCTCCTCCCACCACTATCCACCTTATCGCTTAAATATTCCTTCCAGATTTCTTCATATTTATCTGTTCTTAATTTGTGTTAATTCATTTGTATGCAGCTTATCAATGGATAATTGCGGCTCTTCCAATTCATCAAAACAAGTTTTTTTGCTTCTAATATAGCACGGTACATCCATTTTTTTTTGACCCCTTGCAATCTCCCATGTATTCCGGAATATAATTTAGAATTAAATTCAATTCCCCTAAATAACAATTTCTTTTTGGCTGATGTTCTGGGGCAGAGAGGATATCAGACACTCCCTGGTCCAGATCCATCCCCTATGGCTTTCACACGTGGCCAAGGATTGATTTCCTTTCTCTTTCCAGCCGAGGGGGCGGGGTAAGGATTGATCCTGGCAGCCTGGCCTGTTTGGCTTTAAAAGGGGGGCACTCACGACTCTGGATGGGGGGGAGACAGAGGGAGTCTCATCTCTGCAGGAAGTGGGAGAGCCTTGCAGGGATCTTTCCCACACCCCCGGACATTTTCACCCACCACATTATCTCCCGCTTGGACTACTGCCATGCGCTCTACGTGGGGCTACCTTTGAAGGTGACCTGGAAACTACAACTAATCCAGAATGCGGCAGCTAGACTGGGGACTGGGGGCGGCTGCCGAGACCACATAACACCAGTCTTGAAAGACCTACATTGGCTCCCAGTACGTTTCCAAGCACAATTCAAAGTGTTGGGGCTGACCTTCAAAGCCCTAAACGGCCTCAAAGGCCCAGTATACCTGAAGGAGCGTCTCCACCCCCATCGTTCTACCTGGACGCTGAGGTCCAGTGCTGAGGGCCTTCTGGCAGTTCCCTCATTGCGAGAAGCCAAGTTACAGGGAACCAGGCAGAGGGCCTTCTCGGTGGTGGCGCCCGCCCTGTGGAACGCCCTCCCACCAGATGTCAAAGAGATAAACAACTACCTGACATTCAGAAGACATCTGAAGGCAGCCCTGTTCAAGGAAGCTTTTAATATGTGACATTTTAATGTATTTTTAATCTTTGTTGGAAGCCGCCCAGAGTGGCTGGGGAAACCCAGCCAGATGGGCGGGGTACAAATAATAAATTATTATTATATTTCTTCTTCTCGCTCCTAGATTGTCTCGGCTGTGCACTACTGTCACCAGAAGAACATTGTCCACAGGGACCTGAAGGTGAGGGCTCTGGGCTGCTCCCCTCCATTTCCTCCCCCTCCCCTCCACCCCGTCCCAGTAACTACGATGCCATGAGCACCACGTCACTCAGTAGAACAGCAGGGCTGGCGAAATTCGGGGTGCAAGCCTCTGCCCTGGACTTCACAGCATGGTCTGCAGCAAATCGCTCTGCCTCCATTCCTCCATCTGTAAAATGGGCATAATTATTACCCTGTCGGATGAGCAGGGCAAACAGAGAGGGGCCTTCAGCAGTTCATCTGCTTCGTGCCGGCTCTTAAGAACCCAAATCCAGGTACCCCAAAGCTGATTCAGATTCCTAGAATTTTCTGTGCCCCTCGCCTTGCCGGGGGTTGGGCTAGTTGACCTTTGGGGGTCCCTTCCAACTTTCCAGCTCTGTCGTTCTGTGACTTCATCGTCCATTCTGTGACTCTCCCCTCTGCCACCAAAAACAGGCCGAGAACCTTTTGCTGGACGCTGACGCCAACATAAAGATCGCCGACTTTGGCTTCAGCAACGAGTTCACGCTGGGCTCCAAACTGGACACGTTTTGCGGGAGCCCTCCCTACGCCGCCCCAGAACTCTTCCAGGGCAAGAAGTACGACGGCCCCGAGGTGGACATCTGGAGCCTGGGGGTCATCCTCTATACGCTGGTCAGCGGCTCCTTGCCTTTCGACGGACAGAACCTCAAGGTGGGGCAGAGTGGGGGTCGCCAGGAAGCCTTGAAGGGGGAAGTGGGGGGTTATGGGGCCGGAGCCAGGCCCGGGGGACTGCTGGGTCTCCCAAGCCAGAAGCAGAGATAGGGTGGGGGCAAGGAGGGGGTCCATTTGGGCCCCTTGAACTTTTCTCTTTTTGCAGACAGGTGTGTTGTTTTTTTCAGGTTAAGAACCGTTTTATTCGAGTTTGGGATTTTTACATACATTACAGGTGAAACTCGGAAAATTAGAATATCGTGGAAAAGTTCATTTATTTCAGTAATTCAACTTAAAAGGTGAAACTAATATATGAGGTAGACTCATGACATGCAAAGCGAGATATGTCAAGCCTTTATTTGTTACAATTGTGATGATCATGGTGTACAGCTGGTGAAAACCCCAAATTAACAATCTCAGAAAATTAGAATATTAAATGAAATCAGCAAAACAAGGATTGCAAATAGAGCAATATTGGACCTCTGAGACGTAGAAGCATGCATATGTACTCAGTACTTGGTTTGGGCCCCTTTTGCATCAATTACTGCTGAAATAAATGAACTTTTCCACGATATTCTAATTTTCCGAGTTTCACCTGCATATTATCTCCTTCCAATTTTTAAATTTCCTGTACAATTTTTTTCCTTTCCCTCCCTCCCTCCCTCCCTTCCCACCCCCACCCCCATATCCATATCCATTGGAAGGGTTCAAACAATTATCCTCAGCCACGGGCATAGTGTCTTTTGTTTCCACCGAACGTCTTTTGTTCCAGTAGTTTTTATCCAGTGAAGATAGGGGTTCCATCTGTTCCTTATCGTGGTGGACTTGACCTTCCGCATTGTTTCCTGTGACGTTATTTTGACAATGTCTGACTGAATAAGTTCAGACAAATAACTATTCCATGCCCCTACTTGCAGACAGCTTTGTTGGAATAGCGTAAGGGGTTTCTCTCCCCAAAAGCTTAAGATGCCTCCCCAAACCACACTTCTCCCCTGAATTGTACAACGTCCTGTCTTTTGTGTTCTATGTAATGGAAATGGTTCCCAAATCAATCTTTCACAGGGGCAGACTTCAGAACTCTTTGCCTGTTGACATCAGGCGGGTCGCCTTCACTGTACTCCTTCCTGCTAAAAGCATATTTATTTAGGCAAAGTCTACCCAGACATAATAATAATAATAGTAACAACAACAACATATTCCTGTGATAGATTATTATAAATAAGAATACATTTATTATCACATCGTCACTGGCCATTTCATTGTTTTATCCGTTGTGTGAACCCCTTCGAAGTTCATTTCTTTTTTAACTATCACGCAGTACGTAACTTTTATGAAATAAACTGATAAAAAAAGACCTGAAACAAAAAGATGAGGAACCAGAGAAAAGAATGACTCTATGTGACAAAGTGTGAAAACCGCATATTATGCACGTCCCACCCAGATAATGCCGGTTCCTCTGCCCAGCAGCTCTTTATTTTATTTTTGTTTCATAAAATTTGCACACCACTTGGTTATAACAGCCCTCAGAGCAGCTTGCAAAAGAGATTTTGGAAATAAAGGTATCACCAAGGAAGATGAACAGTAATTTAAAACTTTCGAAAACTCACACCAGCATTCTAAACATCCGAGCAGAACTGTCTAAACAAAAATGGCACCAAATTATATCATCATTACTGTATTCAAATCCCACCTTTTTCCCAGACCAGGAATCAAGGATAGCGAAGGCACTTGGCTGATGTCAATAGGCAGGGAGTTCCACAGGGCAGATCCCTGAGCTCCGAGGTGTTACAGGGTGGCAAGACCTCGCTTGTGTTAGCAATCATGCTGTAGCAATCCTTAACTGCCGCTGACCCCAGATTGTGGCTTATGGGGGGGAAACCAGTGGCGGTGGTGCCCACAGAGACTGGAAGCACCATTAACTCCTCGCGGGTGCCCTTCCGCACCCCAAACCTCCCGTTTGTCTGCCGGCATAGGGCCAGGCGGGGACGCAGGTGGCGCTGTGGGTTAAACCACAGAGACTAGGACTTGCCAATCAGAAGGTCGGCGGTTCGAATCCCCACGACGGAGTGAGCTCCCGTTGCTCGGTCCCAGCTCCTGCCAACCTAGCAGTTCGAAAGCACGTCAAAGTGCAAGTAGATAAATAGGTACCGCTCTGGCGGGAAGGTAAACGGTGTTTCCGTGCGCTGCTCTTGTTCGCCAGAAGCGGCTTAGTCCTGCTGGCCACATGACCTGGAAGCTGGACGCCGGCTCCCTCGGCCAATAAAGCGAGATGAGCGCCGCAACCCCAGAGTCGGCCACGACTGGACCTAATGGTCAGGGGTCCCTTTACCTTTACCTTTATAGGGCCAGGCTGACCCAAAGGTTGGGGGGAAAGAGGGTGAGTTTGAGGCAGGTTGGGGGAACCCGGTTTGGCTATGACTGACGCTTCCACCTGCTCAATTCAGGAGCTGCGGGAACGAGTCCTTCGTGGCAAATACCGCGTGCCCTTCTACATGTCCACGGACTGCGAGAACATCCTGCGGCGCTTCTTGGTCCTGAACCCCTCTAAGCGCTGCACCCTGGAGGTAGGGGCACCTAAGATGGCTGGGCGGGGGGGAGGGAAGAGGGGCTTGGTGAGTGGGTCTGGTGAAGATGGCCGGGGGGCGGCGACTGAGCCGCGTCCCAAGAACCAAGGCTTTACTGTGTGTGGGAGAGAGAGAAAGAGAGGGATTCCTGCACTGAAGATTGAGGTTGAATCCTGACAAGTACTGTTTTTGGGGGACAGGAGGCGGGAGGGTGTGGGGGACTCCCTGGTCCTGAATGGGGTAACTGTGCCCCTGAAGGACTAAGTCCGCAGCCTGGGAGTCATTCTGGACTCACAGCTGTCCAGGGAGGCGCAGGTCAATTCTGTGTCCAGGGCGGCTGTCTGCCAGCTCCACCTGGTACGCAGGATGAGACCCTCCCTGCCCGCAGACTGTCTCTCCAGAGTGGTGCATGCTCTGGTTATCTCCTGCTTGGACTACTGACATGCGCTCTACGTGGGGCTACCTTTGAAGGTGACCCGGAAACTGCAGTTAATCTAGAATGCGGCAGCCAGACTGGTGACTGGGAGCGGCCACCGGGACCACATAACACCGGTCCGGAGAGATCTGCATTGGCTCCCAGTACATTTCCAAGCACAATTCAAAATGTTGGTGCTGACCTTGAAAGCCCTAAACGGCCTCGGTCCAGTATATCTGAAGGAGCGTCTCCACCCCTATCGTTCTGCCCGGACACTGAGATCCAGCTCCGAGGGCCTTCTGGCAGTTCCCTCATTGCGAGAAGTGAGGTGACAGGGAACCAGGCAGAAGGCCTTCTCAGTAGTGGCGCCCACCCTGTGGAATGCCCTCCCTTCAGATGTGAAGGAAATAAGCAGCTATCCTATCTTTAAAAGACATCTGAAGGCAGCCCTGTTCAGGGAAACTTTTAATATTTAATGCTGTACTGTTTTTAACATTTGATTGGGAGCCGCCCAGAGTGGCTGTGGAAAGTCAGCCAGATGAGCAGGGTATAAATAATAAATTATATATTTATTATTATTATTATTATTATTATTATTGGGGTTGGACTAGATGGCCACTGGGGGGTCCCTTCCAATCCTACGATTCTCTGATTCCATAAGTGCCAGCTGGATCAGGCCCAATGGGTCCCATCCAGTCCAGCAGCATCCTGTTCTCACAGTGGTCAAGTGCCCCCGAAGAACCTAGGGATCTAGGGAAGACTGGAAAACATTTATTGAATATATGGGGAATAACTGTGTACAGCTGAAAACTCTGGCAGCATTGAGATCGATTCAACAGTTGCGATGGACGTAATAATGGAATACCGAATGGGATAGTTTCTGCAAAACACGCAGGGATTCAGGATGTGTAAAATGAACGATGGGAAGAGAAGAAAGGAAGTCGTTGATGTTTTAAGGAGGTAAAAATGAGTGTTTTAAATGGTAAAACAGAAAATTGGATAAAAATTACATGAAATAAAAAATAGATAGATGGCCTCTGGGCCATAAAAACATAAGAAAAGCCAGCCCAAAGGGGGCCTCCTCTTAGTCCAGCATCCTATTCCCACATTGGCCAACCGGATGTCCATTAGGAGAAACCCGCAGTCAGGATCCGGGTGCAAGAGCAACTCTCGCCTCCTGCCATTTTTCCCGCAGCTGGCATTCGCAAGCATTGACCCTGGAACCGCTGCTTGCTTTTTCTTCCCTGTTCTCTAAGCCATTGCTTGAGACGTTGCTCATTCCCTGGGGGAGAACGAGGGAGCGCAGCTGGTGCCCCCGCCTCCTCCGAGCCACAATTCCACAGACCCATTCTCCAGCTCCATCTTCTGCCCTCCAACCTGTTTCTCCTTACAGGAAGCTGTTGCTGCTGCTGCTGCTGCTGCTGTGAGAGGAGACCTTTAATTAGCTAATGTCTCCGTGGGATCTGGCCCTGCCCACCGCCTCTCCCTCCCCCCTCCCCCCACGGATGGCTGTAATTAGCCTAATCGACTCAGGGATAATTATACAGTGTGTCAGGGAGGCAGAGAGCAACCTCAGCTCCCTGCCTGCCTGCCTGCCTGCCTGCCTTTTCCCCCAGCGTAGTTTGCAGGCTTCTGGGGGGGAGATGCTGAGAGATGGGGTGGGGTGAGGATGCTTTGAGTGTGTGTTGGGGGGGGTCTTCTTTGCCGAGGGGGTCCCTTCTGGCCAAAGATGATCTCAGAGCCTCTGCTTTCCTGGATCCAGGTGTTGTTGTTTTTTAAAGGAAGCTGCCTTGCGCAGCGTCAGGCGTTGATCCATCTAGTGCAATACATTCTTCACTGGCTGGCAGCTGCTCTCGAGGATTTTAAGCAGAGAGCCTCTCCCAGCCTTACCTGGATTTGAACCCAAGACCTTCTGCTTGCAAAGCAGATGCTCTGAGCTGCGGCCCTGTTGTTGTTCGTTTTATTTTATTTAAAGGGAGTTTGTGCCTGGAGCTATTTTGTGACGACCAAGGGTGCCCTTGAGCAGGTGCAGAGTGCTTCTCCCTCACGGCTGAGCTTGCAGGAATTTGAACCGTGGTTCCCAAAGCACAAGCGATACATGGGGTGACCTAGCAGAATGCTAAGATGCATGTTGGGTGCAAACAATTTTGAGGTGCAAACGATTTCATAAACCTGCTAGCACTGGATCAAGTCCAACTGAATGAATTACTTCAACTGAATAGTTTTCATTGGGCTTTGAATAAGTGTGCAATTAATTGTGGCTGGTCTGGATTTTATGGTGCTGTTGCCTTCCTTGGTGTGCCATGCAAACGGCTATTCTGAAAAATGCTTTTTTATATATAGTTTTAGGGTAGTGCCCACTCGGAGTGAGTCTGTGGAAACCCCAAAAAAGTTAGGGAGCCACTGGTGTGAGAGAGGAAGGAGTTTCCAGGCATGGACAGAGGGTGTGTCTGTGTCTAGGCCTCCCCTTCTCGCCCCTCCATTTCACGAATGCCCTTCTTCTCCGCAGCAAATCATGAAGGACAAGTGGATCAATATTGGCTACGAGGGGGACGAACTAAAGCCCTATAAAGAGCCGGAAGAGGACTTTGCAGACGCCAAGCGCATCGGTAAGGGCGTGTGGTGTGTTTTCACTGGGTATGAAACAGCAGGTGCTGCCACACTCAAAGACGGAGTTCTTGCACATGTGGACCCTGCAACAGAGTCGGTTCTGTTAAGTTGTGGGTGAACATATCAGACGACACAGCGATTCTTCAAACAGCTCTTGTTTATTCACAGCCCAGAACAGAACTGAACTGAAGGGTTCAGCCAGCTTGCTTATATAGAGCTCCACTAGAACACAACAGTAACCATTTTCTGTAACTATCCAATCACTGAACGTCACTTTCGATCCCTTATTTGCATATGTGGACCTGAGTGAAAACTACCTACAGTATCCCCCTGCTGGCCCAGGGTGAGAACTTCAGCACATAACAGGTTCCACACTTTGAAGCAGTTGGGGGACAGGGGGTGGGTGTGTATGGAGGACTCCCTGGTCCTGAATGGGGCAACTGTGTCCCTGAAGGACCAGGTGCGCAGCCTGGGAGTAATTTTGGACTCATAGCTGTCCATGGAGGAGCAGGTCCATTCTGTGTCCAGGGCAGCTCCATCTGGTATGCAGGATGAGACCCTCCCTGCCCGCAGACTGTCTCTCCAGAGTGGTGCATGCTCTAGTTATCTCCCGCTTGGACTACTGCAATGCGCTCTACATGGGACTAACTTTGAAGGTGACTCGGAAACTACAACTATTCCAGAATGTGGCAGCTAGACTGGTGACTGGGGGTGGCCGCCGAGACCACATAACACCGGTCTTGAAAGACCTACATTGGCTCCCAGTACGTTTCCGAGCACAATTCAAAGTGTTGATGCTGGTCTTTAAAGCCCTAAACAGCCTCAAAGGCCCAGTATACCTGAAGGAGCGTCTCCACACCCATCGTTCTGCCCGGACACTGAGGTCCAGCGCTGAGGGCCTTCTGGCGGTTCCCTCATTGCAAGAAGTGAGGTTACAGGGAACCAGGCAGAGGGCCATCTCGGTGGTGACACCCACCCTGAGGAACGTGCTCCTTTCAGATGTCAAGGAAATAAACAACTATCTGACTTTTAAAAGACATCCGAAGGCAGCCCTGTACAGGGAAGTTTTTTATGTTTGATGTTTTATCGTGTTTTTAACGTTCTGTTGGGAGCCGCCCGGCATGGCTGGGGAAACCCAGCCAGGTGGGCGGGGTATAAGTAACTGATGATGATGATGATGATGATGATGATGATGATATTGGGTGAGGTGATTTTGCAAGTAAACTGGTCCCAAATTGTTACGGGCTCTATACACCAGTTCCTATCCCAGGCTACTCTTTGTATAGAAGGTGATAAACAGTCCAAGGTAACCAAAGAGTTTTGCAATGTGAGGGGTGCCCTCTGCTTTGTTTTTTTTTAAAAGCCAGAAACAAAATAAAGTTGTGCCTTTCAGTCCCTGAGGAGTTCTTGTGCTTCAAGCCTTGTGCCGATTTTGTTTCCTTGTTTATTTATTACACCAAGTGCCCTTCGCCCTACCATTTTGCCGGACAACTACCCTTCAAGTTCTTCAAAGGCCTGGTTATCCTCAGCCTGGCCGCTGGGAGAAGAGAACTTACTAGGGACTTAAAGCTGCAAATTTAATATTATCTCCCGTGAAAAGATTGAGGAGAGCTAGCTCCGGGCATTGGGAGACATTTTGTCCAGTAATTAAGCAGTTGGTCCCTTACCTTTCTCACCCTGATCTGGCCACAGTGATCCATGTGACGGTCACCTCCAGGCTTGATTATTGTAATTCACTCTACACGGGGCTGCCCTTGAAGCTGACTCAGAAACTCCAGAGGTTGCAGAATGCGGTGGCGAGACTCCTTACGGGGTCCTTGCCATGGGATCGCATTCATCCAGCGCTTTACCAGCTGCACTGGCTCCCAGTGAAATACAGGGTGCTGGTTTAAGGTGCTGGTTTTGACCTTTAAAGCCCTATGCAGCCTAGGACCCATGTACCTACAGGACCGCCTCTCCTGGTATGCCCCGCGGAGGACCTTAAGGTCCACAAATGACAACACCCTGGAGGTCCCAAGTCGCAAGGTGGTTAGATTGGTCTCAACTAGGGCCAGGGACTTTTCAGTACTGGCCCCAAGTTGGTGGAACGCTCTGTCACAAGAGACTAGAGCCCTGTGGGATTTGACATCTTTCCGCAAGGCCTGCAAGACAGAGCTGTTCTGCCTGGCCTTTGGTTTGGACTCAACCTGACCCTTATGTTTCCCTCCCCTTATGGTTTTGATTTATGGGCTACTATTAAAATGAGGCTGCATTTTAAATTATATTTTAACCTGTATTTTAAATTGGTGTTTATTATTATTATTATTATTATTGTTGTTGTTGTTGTTGTTGTAATTTTACTGGTGTTAGCTGCCTTGAGCCCAACTCTGGCCGGGGAGGGTGGGGTATAAATAAATTTATTATTATTAAATAATAATATATTATTAATAAAGTTTTTTATTATTAAAATAAATTTAATAATAATAGCTTTTTATTTCAACGAACACTTCCTCCCAGAACTCAGAGAGTCATCGAAACATAGGATTGTAGAGTTGGAAGGGGGTATCCAAAGGTCATCCAGCCCAACCCCCTGCGATGGAGAAATCTTAACCAAAGCATGCATAACAGAGGGCCATCCAACCTCTGCCTAAAAGCCTCCAAGGAAGGAGGGTGTGCCAGCTTCTGAGAAGAGCCCATTCCACAGCCAAATGGCTCTAACTAACCCTAAGAAGGTCGGGGCGCGGGTGGTGCTGTGGGTTAAACCACTGAGCCTAGGACTTGCCGATCAGAAGGTCGGCGGTTCGAATCCCCATGACAGGGTGAGCTCCAATTGTTTGGTCCCTGCTCCTGCCCACCTAGCAGTTTGAAAGCACGTCAAAGTGCAAGTAGATAAATAGGTACCACTCCGGCAGGAAGGTAAATGGCGTTTCCGTGCGCTGCTCTGGTTTGCCAGAAGCGGCTTAGTCCTGCGGGCCACATGACCCGGAAGCTGTACGCTGGCTCCCTCGGCCAATAAAGCGAGATGAGCGCCGCCACCCCAGAGTCGGCCACGACAGGACCTAATGGTCAGGGGTCCCTTTACCTTTAACCCTAAGAAAAATCCTTCCTAATGTTTAGTCAGACTCTCCTTCCTTGCCATTTGAATCCGTTGGTTTGGAGCCTGCCCTCTGGAGCAGCAGAAACACCTTCTAACTTCCTCCATCTGAGCCACCTTCTCTTGTGTCACATAAATTGGTGACTTAGAGCCTAACCTTCTTCGCCGTCTCTTTCCTCTCCCTGCCCAGAAGTGATGGTGGGCATGGGCTACACCCGTGAAGAGATCAAGGAAGCCCTGACCAGCCAGAAGTACAACGAGGTCACGGCCACGTACCTCCTGCTGGGCAGGAAGAACGAGGTGAGGCCTGGGCTTACGGGCGGGGTGGGGGGTGTTGCAGGAATTTATGTCTAGGTTGGGGGGGGGGTTGCCCCTCCAGCAGATATCATGTGCATGCAGCCCACTACCAAAACCAGCACAATCGCTTCTGTGACTTCTGTGATTTGTCCCCACAAAACACTTCATCACAGTTTCTTCCTATCTATTCAAAGGGCCTTTGCTGCACGATACCAAATGTAAGAATTCACTGATAAATGCATCTATGTACTGGCTCACTGGGGAAACTTCAGAAATTCATATAGACATGTGAGCTCAGCTACTCAGCAGCCCCTCTGCCCAAGTGATAATTCCTGGCATCCTGATACCTGAGTGCCAGACAGGTAGCCATTCCAGAAAGAACAAACCCAGATGAAGACAAAAGGGTGGGATGAACTTGGCTGGGAAACAGGGAAATGTACATATCTCTTTTGTTACACCTGATGGGTGTTAGGTGGGGAGCAAGGAGAACCATGGGGCAGGGTCCAGGATGCTCAGATTACGGCCACCAGACCTCCCCTTTCATGATGTAACCATGATGTAGTTTGGGGGGGTGTAACATGGGGATTAGCAGCTAATAAAAGTTTGGGTTCTCTTTTGTTCGGGGCTTCCATCTTGTTCCACCTGGTGGCAGGTGGGAGTCCTATTGCGACAGTCTTCAATAAAGACCAAGCCTACTGGTTTTCCTGGCTGGTGTCCTTGTTTTTTGTCCAAGGGAACCCTCAGATTTCTCTGTTAATGGTTTTTGCTGCGACTTCTTCCCCTTTCCATTTTTGGGATAGGTCGTTGTCTCGTTGTGCTGTGCGTAATCTTATAAGCGTCTACCATGTCGCCTCCCTATCTCCCAGCAGGTGGAAGGGGTCGAGTCTCGCACCGGCAGCAGCCTCTCGCTGGCCCGGGTGCGGGCGCCCAGCGAGGTTTCCAACGGCACCAGCAAGTCCTCTTCGTCTCACTCCAAGAGCCAGCGGAGCTCCTCCACTTACCACCGGCAGCGGCGGCACAGCGATTTCTGTGAGTGGCGTGCTCTCCCTGCGCCCCCCCAACCGCTCCGTCCCAGTCTCGTACCACCACCCAAACTGATCAGTGCAGGGCTGAAATGGCTCCTTGCTCCATTTCCCGTGTGAATCCATAGGAGATTGTTCCAGTCCATGGGCATTTCGTGACACCTTGGTTGCCTTGGTTCTTCTCCTTCCTCTTCTTCTTCTTCTTCTTCTTCTTCCTCTTCCTCTTCTTCCTCCTCCTCCTCTTCTTCTTCTTCCTCCTCCTCCTCTTCTTCTTCTTCCTCTTCCTCCTCTTCTTCTTCCTCTTTTTCTTCTTCTTCCTCCTCCTCCTCTTCTTCTTCTTCTTCTTCTTCTTCTTCTTCCTCTTCCTCTTCCTCCTCCTCCTCCTCTTCTTCTTCCTCCACTTTTTCTTCTTCCTCTTCTTCTTCTTCTTCCTCCTCCTCCTCCTCTTCTTCTTCTTCTTCTTCTTCCTCCTCTTCTTCTTCCTCTTTTTCTTCTTCTTCCTCCTCCTCCTCTTCTTCTTCTTCTTCTTCTTCTTCTTCTTCTTCGGCAATCCTTCATAGCTGAGTAAGATTGTCTTCCATAAACACGGTTTTAACAATGAGTCCGCAAGTGACTGTGGAGGCCAATTCTGGATCCACACGTCCTTCCACAGTGGGGACATTGGTTTCTGGGTGGGAGTTGATCACGGTGTGGATTTGCCAAGCATGCCTTCCTCTTAGCGCCTTTCCCCCTTTTGTCCTGAGTTCGAGTGTTTTCAAAGCCCATGACACCTTTGGTCAAGGCTGTTCTCCAACTGGAGCGCTCGCAGGCCAGTGTTTCCCAATTGTTGGTGCTTATACTACATTTTTAAAGATTTGCCTTGAGCCGGTCTTTAAACCTCTTTTGTTGACCACCAGCATTACACTTCCCATTTTTAAGTCCGGAATAGAGTAGTTGCTTTGGAAGATGAACATCAGGCATCCACACAACATGACCAGTCCAACAAAGTTGATGTTGAAGAATCATAGCTTTGACACTGGTGATCTTTGCTTCTTTGAGTACACTGGTTTTAGTTCGCCTGTCTTCCCAAGTGATGTGTAAAATTTTTCGGAGACATTGGAAAATGCTGACAAGGCAATGATCTGGCAAGTGAGAAAAAGGAACCTAAGAAAGGCCAGGCTGGTGGATCAAGCCAAGGGCCCCCCTAGTCCAGCGTCCTCATCTCACAGTGGCCAAATACCCCTGAGAACCTAGAATTCTAGATGGACTGCCCCTATTCATTCATTTTTTTTCCAAAATATAGTCCGGCCCCCCACGAGGTCTGAGGGACAGTGGACCGGCCCCCTGCTGAAAAAGTTTGCTGACCCCTGTGGACCTAGTCCAACCACAGTGGCTCTCACCTTGCTTTCATTTTCCGTGAACTAGAAGTTTCACAGAGACCTGCGTTCGAATTCCTGTTCGGCCAAGGAGCGCTCCTTTGGACCAGCCGCGGATTCTCTTTTTTTTTTTTAAATTTATTAAAGTTTCAAAAGAAGAAAAATCACGTTAATAAAAAGATTAACAATAAAAAGGAAAAATACAAAGTAGAAAAAAGAAAAAACAGTTAAAAACAATTCCATCTTTTCATCACTTCGTTTACATTTACTTGTTTCCCGGACCTCCTCATACCTCCCTCTTTTGTATTCCAGTTCAATTTGTTAATTATTAATACAGTTTATTAATACAATTAACAATTTGTTAATTGTTAATACAGCCGTGGATTCTCTCCTCTCTGTCTCTGATGGCCTCTCTCTCCTGCCCTCTCCAGGCGGCCCATCCCCAGTGCCCATGCACCCCAAGCGCAGCCCCACCAGCACGGGGGACGGGGAGCTGAAAGAGGACCGCATGCCGTCTCGCAAGGCCAGCTGCAGCGTCGTCAGCAGTAGCGGCAGAGGCATCCCGCCCTCCAGCCCCATGGTGAGCAGTGCCAATAACCCCAACAAATCTGAGATCCCCGACCGCCGCAAGGACAGTGCCGTGAACACGGTGAGCAGCAGCGGGCTCCGGGGTCCTGCGGGCGCCCCATCCCAGTGACCCCCACCTGTGGGGAGGAAGGGGTAGGGGCCTGCAGCTCTGGTGTGACTGGAACCCCATCCGCTTCCGAGCTGCGTGGCAGAGGAAACGAAACTTTCCTCCCCTAAACGCACATTTCTTTTTGTGTCCCAGAAGCCCTTGCGGAAGCTGTGCGTCCTTCTGGGCGCTGGTCTGTCCTGTGAGTTATTCCCAGGCAGCGGCTCGAGGTGGGGGGAGGCATGGCTGGGTTCGGGCGAGAGGCAAAAGCCTCAAACTACCCTGGGACGCGGGTGGCGCTGTGGGTTAAACCACAGAGCCTAGGACTTGCCGAACGGAAGGTTGGCGGTTCGAATCCCCGCGACGGGGTGATCTCCCGTTGCTCAGTCCCTGCTCCTGCCAACCTAGCAGCTCGAAAGCACACCAGTGCAAGTAGATCAATAGGTACCACTCCGGCAGGAAGGTAAACGGCATTTCTGTGCGCTGCTCTGGTTCACCAGAAGCGGCTTAGTCATGCTGGCCACATGACCCAGAAGCTGTACGCCGGCTCCCTTGGCCAATAAGCGAGATGAGCGCCGCAACCCCAGAGTCAGCCACGACTGGACCTAATGATCAGAGGTCCCTTTACCTTTACTTTTAACCTGGGACCAGATTCACAGTACCTTGCAGTAGCCATGTCCGGCAGGTCTTGTTATCTACCCTGGGAAGAAAAATCTGTGTCTTGTAATGTGTGGCAACCCCACACGGGCAGCAAGCACGCATGTGCATAGCCGCACATGCACATTCAGACGTGTCCGAAGCCGGAATCTGTCTCAGCAACAGCAAAATCCCTCTTGGACACACAGCCTTGACTTCCACCCCAAATCCCCATTCTGAGACGCCTGGGCGTTCGGCTGCCTGCTTCCCGGTTTGGAGAGCCCTGAGCTGAGCCGGCGAAAAGCTGTTTTGCCGAAACGAGTCCGGCTTCTCAAAAGTTCCGTCTTGGGGGGGTTTTTGCCGCTGTTTCTCTCCCGCCTCCGCCTCTTCAGCCGGGACTCTTCCTCTCTCGTTGCAGAATAACATTCCCTCGAGTATGATGACCCGGAGGAATACCTACGTCTGCACGGATCGGCCTGGCGGAGAACGACACTCCCTGCTCCAGAATGGGAAGGAGAACAGGTATTGCTGCGGTTATTCCCCTAAGGTCCTAGGACAGGCTGCAGCAATCAAAACACGATATTGGGGGGAAATTTCAAAACAACCTGCAAAGGCAAAGCAAGGTGGCTCCTACAAATGTACGCCTCAGCTATGGCGTTCGAAATTTGCCAGGCGCATTTTGCACCAGGCTGTCGGCCGTTTGCGACCGGGTGAAAATGCCCGGTGCCAGGATGACCGCTAACATCTCCCCCATCTGGAGGTGCATTCTGGGAGCCAACTGGCTCAAAAATGGCAACTAGGCATTCCATTTTGGCGGCTGTAACCCTGGTTTCGGGAGCTATCTGGCTTCTATATCTGAATTTCTGACACTGCTTAGCTGTGATTTCTGCATTGCAGGGGCCTAGACTAGATGCTGTCCGTTCTGTAATTCCATTGCTTTCAAACATCTTGAGATCTTTCCGCAGGGCCTGCAAAACAGAGCTGTTCCGCCTGGCATTTGGTTTGGACTCAGTCTAACTCTTATGCTTCCCTCCCCTTATGGCTTTGACTTTTAAAATGAGGCTGCATTTTAAATTGCATTTCAACCTGTATTTTAAATTGTTTTTTTCTTTTTCTTTGTTTCTTATTATGTTTTTACTGAAGTTTTATTGGTGTTAGCTGCCCTGAGCCCGGCTCTGGCTGGAGAGGGCAGGGTATAAATAAAAAATTTTATTATTATTATTATTATTATTAGGAAGATTAGGCTCTCTTGGTTTCCCTGCTCTTCCCGGTTTCTTCTGGCCCGGGAGCTGAGTTCCGGCCTCCCCCCTCTCACCTCTCCATCCCTGTCCCTTCCCACAGACTTCAGCTTGCCGCTGGACGCCTGCCCAGTTTCCAATGGTCTCGTTCTGGCTCAATGCTGCCCTGGCCCCAGGGAATTGCCAGGCCCTGGTCGGTCACCCGTGTGACTGGCTGTGGGAGAATCCAGAACAGTCTCTGGAGACCAGGGTGGGGGTGATGGTGGAAGAGAAGCCTGTCTCTTACAACTTCTAGGAGGGTCCATCTGGACCGCCTCCTCCTCAGCCCAGAGTATGGACCAGAGGAACTCTGAAAACAGATCTTGTGGAAGAACAGAAAGACATTTCTATGTCTCTTTGGGGAGGGCAGGCTGGAGGGGGTCATTTTATCGCTTTCCATTCCTGTTGTTGTTGTTTAGTCGTTTAGTCGTGTCCGGCTCTTCGCGACCCCCTGGACCAGAGCACGCCAGGCACTCCTTTTTTTTTTTTTAATATAATATTTATTGGTTTTACAAAAAAAAAAAAAATACAAAAATTCCAAAGACAAAAAACAACAATAACAATGACAAAAAGAAAACAAAAGATAACAATAACCATAAGAAAGAAAAAACAGAAAAATTTAAAAATTTATACTTTCATTTAACCTTCTTATCTTTCCTTAGTTCTTTGACTTCCCCGCACCTCCCCACTTGTATTTCCATTTAAAAACTCCTTTCAGCAAATCCTTACCCTCCTTCCTTTATCTTAACTCAAAAACTTAATCTATTTATAAATAGATATTTTTACAACCTTATCAATCAAATATTCCATGCTCTTAAACGCAAAGCTTTTGCCAATACCAGTTATTTTCAATCAGACCTCAATTTAACATTCATTAATTTTATAGTATTTCTGTAAATAGTCTTTAAATTTCTTCCAATCTTCTTCCACCGACTCTTCTCCCTGGTCACGGATTCTGCCAGTCATTTCCGCCAATTCCATATAATCGATTACCTTCATCTGCCATTCTTCCAGAGTGGGTAAGTCTTGTGTCTTCCAATACTTTGCGATAAGTATCCTTGCTGCTGCTGTTGCATACATAAAGAAAGTTCTATCTTTCTTTGGCACCAATTGGCCAACAATGCCCAGGAGGAAGGCCTCTGGTTTCTTTAAGAAGGTATACTTAAATACCTTTTTCAACTCATTATATATCATTTCCCAGAAGGCCTTAATCTTTGGGCACGTCCACCAAAGGTGAAAGAATGTACCTTCAGTTTCATTACATTTCCAACATTTATTATCGGGCAGATGGTAGATTTTTGCAAGCTTGACTGGGGTCATGTACCACCTGTACACCATTTTCATTATATTCTCTTTTAAAGCATTACATGCTGTAAACTTCGTACCTGTGGTCCATAACCGTTCCCAGTCAGCAAACATGATGTTATGTCCAACATCCTGTGCCCATTTAATCATAGCAGATTTTACCGTTTCATCCTGAGTATTCCATTTTAGCAGCAAGTTATACATTCTTGAAAGTGTTTTAGTTTTGGGATCTAGCAGTTCTATTTCCAACTTTGATTTTTCCACCTGGAAGCCAATTTTTCTATCCAAATTATAGACCTCTCTTATTTGGTAATAATGCAACCAGTCTCGCACTCTATCTTTTAGTTTCTCAAAACTCTGCAGTTTGAATTTATCTCCTTCTTGTTCCAAGATCTCCCAATATTTTGGCCACTTGGCCTCCATATTGGGCTTTTTCAGAGCCTTTGCCTCCATTGGTGATAGCCACCTTGGGGTTTTATTCTTCAATAAGTCTTTATATCTTATCCAGACATTGAACAATGCTTTCCTGACAATATGGTTTTTAAATACTTTGTGAGCTTTAACCTTGTCATACCACAAATATGCATGCCACCCAAACACATTATTGAAACTTTCTAAGTCCAAAACATCAGTATTTTCCAGAAGTAACCAATCCTTCAACCAGCAGAAAGCTGCTGATTCATAATAAAGTTTAAAGTCTGGCAGGGCAAATCCCCTCTTTCTTTAGCATCAGTCAATATTTTAAGTTTTATCCTGGGCCTCTTGCCCTGCCAGACAAACTTAGAGATATCTCTCTGCCACTTCTTAAAACAATCCATTTTGTCTATTATTTGTATCGATTGAAACAAAAACAGCATTCTTGGCAATACATTCATCTTGATGACAGCAATTCGACCTAACAAGGAAAGCTTCAAATTTGTCCATATTTCTAAATCCTTTTTAATGTCCGACCAACACTTTTCATAATTGTCTTTAAATAAATTCCCATTTTTAGCTGTCATATGAATCCCCAAGTATTTCACTTTTTTTACCACTGTTAAACCTGTCTCATTCTGAAACCTCTCTTTTTCAATCGGTGTTAAATTCTTCTCAAGTACTTTAGTTTTAAACTTATTCAGCTTAAAACCTGCCACCTGACCAAACTCTTGAATCAGTTCTAATGCTCTTTTCGTACTAGATTCTGGCTCCTGTAATGTCAATACAAGGTCATCCGCAAATGCTTTCAGTTTATATTGTTTCGCTCCGACCGTTATACCCTTAATCAAATGGTCCCTTCTTATCATATTTAACAGAACCTCCAGAACAGAAATAAAAGTAATGGGGAAATTGGGCAGCCTTGTCGTGTCCCTTTCTCTATCTTAATTTCCTCTGTTATCACATTATTAACTATTAATTTAGCTTTTTGTTCTGAATAAATTGCATTTATACCATTTTCAAACTCTTGGCCTACCCCCATCCCCTGGAGATTTTTCTTCATAAAACTCCAGGAAATGTTATCAAAGGCTTTCTCTGCATCCACAAAAATCAGAACTGCTTTAGTGTTAATCTCCTCTTGCAGCTTCTCCAGAATATCAATTATATTCCTTGTGTTATCCGAAAGATGTCTATCTGGAAGAAAGCCAGCTTGGTCCTTGTGAATCACTTCTTTTAGCACTTTTTTAAGCCTTTTTGCTAAAATGTCAGCAAAAATTTTGTAATCCACATTTAACAGGGATATGGGCCGATAGTTCTTAAGCTGTGTCTTTTCAGTCTCAGACTTTGGTATAAGTGTAATAAATGCGTCCTTCCACGACTCTGGCGCTCTTTTCCCCTCTAAAATTTCATTGCAAACCTCAGTTAATGGTCGAATTAACCAGTCTTTCAGGGTTCTGTAATATTTTGAGGTTAAACCGTCCGGTCCTGGAGATTTTCCCAGCTGCATATTCTGAATGGCACCTTCAACCTCCTGTTCTGTAATTTTGTAATTCAGCAATATCTTGTTATCCTGAGAAATTTTTTGTAATCCATTGGTTTTCAGAAATTGCTCTATTTCAAATTCCACTGCCTCCCGCAGTTTGGTCAAACTCATGCTGGTACCTTCGAGAACACTGTCCCACCATCTCGTCCTCTGTCGTCCCCTTCTCCTTGTGCCCTCCATCTTTCCCAACATCAGGGTCTTTTCCAGGGAGTCTTCTCTTCTCCTGAGTCTCAAGAGTCTCCTCCAGCACCAGAATTCAAAAGCATCCATTCTTCGGCGATCAGCCTTCTTGATGGTCCAGCTCTCGCTTCCATACATCACTACTGGGAAAACCATAGCTTTAACTATACGGACCTTTGTTGGCAAGGTGATGTCTCTGCTTTTTAAGAAGCTGTCTAGGTTTGTCATTGCTTTTCTCCCAAGAAGCAGGCATCTTTTAATTTCGTGACTGCTGTCACCTTCTGCAGTGATCATGGAGCCGAAGAAAGTAAAATCTCTCACTTCCTCCATTTCTTCCCCTTCTATTTGCAAAGAGGTGATGGGCCCAGTGGTCATGATCCTTGTTTTTTTGATGTTGAGCTTCAGACCATATTTTGCGCTCTCCTCTTTCACCCTCATTAAAAGGTTCTTTAATTCCTCCTCACTTTCTTCCTAGCTTCTAAAAACCTTCTGCCTAGCTTCTAAAAACCCAGGATTGGAGCCAGCCTGGAAAGGCAACCTTTTCACCCCAGAAATACTCACTCCTAATTGCCAGCACGTAACTATTAGCTGTGGTTTCGAGGTGGCTGTAGAAGCGCTCTCTGTACATGGTCAGGATACTCTTTGTCTGACTTCAGGGACTCCCAGCTTCTTGTGTGTGGGAGAGGGTTTCATATTTAATTTCGTAACATTCTATAAAATGGAGAGAACGGTTTTAACAACAGATGACTATTAAAATACGAAAAGCATAAATAGGAAATGAGTACAGTTGCCAAAGTAAAGAATCCTGGTGTTATCGGATTATCAAACTTCTTTCCCAATTTGCCAGGCTCAAGATGAAGGTTGTCTTGGAAATTATGGTTCCGCTGTAAAGGATGCCAAATCATAGAAGAAGCATTTGGGGGTTCGAGTCCTTTTTCAAATCTCAAATTATGTGTAGTTTCCCCCATTATGGCCATATTCCAGAGTGAGTGGTACCAAATGCCCAGTGTCAAGATTTGGGGCTGTTTTCCATTGAGTTGCAATTACTATTTGAGCTGCCAAGATCATATACAAGATCAGTGCTTTTTTTCTAAAAAAGAAAAGTTTAGGGGTGCTCTCATTTTCCTACTCATATTGAAATTGTTGTTGTTTAGTCGTTTAGTCGTGTCCGACTCTTTGTGACCCCCTGGACCAGAGCACGCCAGGCTCTCCTGTCTTGGTCAAACTCATGCTGGTAGCTTCCAGAACACTGTCCCACCATCTCGTCCTCTGTCGTCCCCTTCTCCTCTTTTTTTGCAACTTAAATTTTTATTAGTTTTCATCAAACATACATTCCATTACATTCATTGTATTAATACGTCTCATACATAACATTAGCTCTATTGAGCTTTGGACTTCCTTCCTCCCCTTCGGTAAGTATCATATATTTTCGTCCCCTTCTCCTTGTGCCCTCCATCTTTCCCAACATCAGGGTCTTTTCCAGGGAGTCTTCTCTTCTCCTGAGGTGGCCAAAGTCTTGGAGCCTCAGCTTCAGGATCTGTCCTTCCAGTGAGCACTCAGGGCTTATTTCCTTCAGAATGGAGAGGTTTGATCTTCTTGCAGTCCATGGGACTCTCCTCCAGCACCATAATTCAAAAGCATCAATTCTTCGGCGATCAGCCTTCTTTATGGTCCAGCTCTCACTTCCATATTGAAGTGAGCTCTCACTCATATTAAAATAATGACCTTCAGTGAGGCCAAACTTAGATTCACAAAATGTTTAGGGATATGTGTACCCCCAGAAAAAAAAAGCACTGTACAAGATAATATTCCTACATTGGCACTGTCTATAGTATTCTGCTGTGAAGCCGTCTGGGCCTGGGGCTTTGTGTGGTTACAGGTTTTTGAGGACCACATCTATTTCCTCTGGAGTGATAGGACTGTCCATGAATTCCTGTTCCTCATTAGTTAAGGTAGGCATGGTCAGTTCTGCTAGGAATTTTCTGATTTCCTTCTCTGGTGAGTTATGGGAGGTGTATAGGTTGGAGTAGAACTCTGCAAATTCTGAGGTTATTTCTTTGGGGGAGAATGTTATGTCGCCATCTTTTTTAGTGATGCAGTGTATTCTTGTTTTGAGTGCTTTTTCCCTACATCTATTTGCTAGTAATCTCCTCCATATTCATAGAAATGTTGTTTAGAGTATAGAATATGGATCATTGTTTTGTTGATTTCTAGGGAATCTAGTTCTCTCCTTTTTTGTTCTATGTTTGAGGAGTTTTTTAGATCCTGTTTGTTTGTAGCGTGATGAGAGGGCCGTGGTGTCCTGTTCTAGTTTGCTAATTTTTGAGGAGGTTTGTTTTTAAGGAATGCTTTCTCTTTTATGCAAGCTCTTGGTACAGCAAACTAAATATGACATGATAGGCATCACTGAAACCTGGTGGGATAAGTCCCACGATTGGAATGTAATAATGGGGGGATACAATCTATTTCAGAGAAACAGACCAGACAAGAAAGGAGGAGGAGTGGCGTTATATGTCAGGGATGTGTATACCTGTGAAGAGATCCAAGATCTTAGAACCTCAAAGCCAAAGTGAGAGCATTTGGGTCAAAATTAAGGGAGAGAAGAATAACAGTGACCTCATTGTGGGAGTTTACTATAGATCCCCAAGCCAAACGGAGGACATAGATGATGCCTTCCTGGAACAGATGGCCAAGCATGCAAAAGGAAGGGAGATAGTAGTAATGGGGGACTTCAATTACCCGGATATTTGTTGGATGTCAAACTCAGCCAAGAGCATAAGGTCAAACAGATTCCTCACTGGCCTTGCAGACAACTTCATTGTCCAGAAAGTGGGAGAAGCAACAAGAGGAACAGCCATTTTAGATCTGGTCCTAACCAATGTTGATGACCTGGTTAGTGGGGTAGAAGTGGAAGGATCATTAGGCGCGAGTGATCATGCTCTTCTGAAGTTTACTATACAGCGGAAAGGAGCAGCCAAGCATACTAGGACTCAATTTCTTCACTTTAAGAAAGCCGACTTCATAAAACTTAGGGAAGTGCTGGGTGAGATCCCATGGACAGTAATACTAAAAGGAAAGGGAGTTCATGATGGCTGGGAGTTTGTTAAGAGGGAGATAGTGAAAGCACAACTTCAGGCAATACCAATGAGACGGAAACATGGAAGGTGCCTAAAGAAGCCAGGGTGGCTATCTAAAGAACTTTTAACTGAGTTAAGATTAAAAAAGGATTTGTACAAAAAATGGAAAAGGGGGGAAACCACCAAAGAGGAATTCAAAAAAATAGCCAACACTTGAAAAAACAAAAACAGAAAAGCTAAAGCACAGAATGAAAACATGCTAGATAGAGAGGTTAAAAGCAACAAAAAGGCTTTTATGGGTATGTTCGTAGCAAAAGGAAGAACAAAGAAACAGTGGGGTCACTCAGAGGAGAAGATGGTGAAATGCAAACAGGGGACACAGAAAGAGCTGAACTCCTCAATGCCTTCTTTGCCTCAGTCTTCTCCGATAAAGAAAACAATGCCCGACCTGAAGAATTTGGAGCAAATGATTCAGCAAAGGAAACACAGCCCAGAATAACTAAGGAGATAGTACAAGAATACTTGGCTAGTTTAGATGTATTCAAGTCTCCAGGGCCAGATGAACTGCATCCAAGAGTATTAAAAGAACTGGCAGATGTGATCTCAGAACCACTGGCAGTCATCTTTGAGAATTCCTGGAGAACAGGCGAAGTCCCGGCAGACTGGAGGAGGGCAAATGTTGTCCCTATTTTCAAAAAGGGGAAAAGAGAGGACCCAAATAATTACCGCCCAGTCAGACATCAATACCAAGGAAGATTCTGGAGCAGATCATTAAGCAAACAGTCTGTGAGCACCTAGAAAGGAATGCTGTGATCACCAATAGTCAGCATGGATTTCTGAAAAATAAGTCATGTCAGACTAACCTGATCTCGTTTTTGACAGAATTACAAGCCTGGTAGATGAAGGGAACGCAGTGGATGTAGCCTACCTTGATTTCAGCAAGGCATTTGACAAGGTGCCCCATGATATTCTTGTAAAGAAGCTGGTAAAATGCGGTCTTGACTATGCTACCACTCAGTGGATTTGTAACTGGCTGACTGACCGAACCCAAAGGGTGCTCATCAATGGTTCCTCTTCATCCTGGAGAAGAGTGACTAGTGGAGTGCCACAGGGTTCTGTCTTGGGCCCAGTCTTATTCAACCTCTTTATCAACGACTTGGATGATGGACTCAAGGGCATCCTGATCAAATTTGCAGATGACACCAAACTGGGAGGGGTGGCTAACACCCCAGAGGACAGGATCACACTTCAAAATGACCTTGACAGATTAGAGAACTGGGCCAAAACAAACAAGATGAATTTTAACAGGGAGAAATGTAAAGTATTGCACTTGGGCAAAAAAAATGAGAGGCACAAGTACAAGATGGGTGACACCTGGCTTGAGAGCAGTACATGTGAAAAGGATCTAGGAGTCTTGGTTGACCACAAACTTGACATGAGCCAACAGTGTGACGCGACAGCTAAAAAAGCCAATGCAATTCTGGGCTGCATCAATAGGACTATAGCATCTAGATCAAGGGAAGTAATAGTGCCACTGTATTCTGCTCTGGTCAGACCTCACCTGGAGTACTATGTCCAGTTCTGGGCACCACAGTTCAAGAAGGACACTGACAAACTGGAACATGTCCAGAGGAGGGCAACCAAACTGGTCAAAGGCCTGGAAACGATGCCTTATGAGGAACGGCTAAGGGAGCTGGGCATGTTTAGCCTGGAGAAGAGGAGGTTAAGGGGTGATATGATAGCCATGTTCAAATATATAAAAGGATGTCACATAGAGGAGGGAGAAAGGTTGTTTTCTGCTGCTCCAGAGAAGCGGACACGGAGCAATGGATCCAAACTACAAGAAAGAAGATTCCACCTAAACATTAGGAAGAACTTCCTGACAGTAAGATCTGTTTGACAGTGGAATTTGCTGCCAAGGAGTGTTGTGGAGTCTCCTTCTTTGGAGGTCTTTAAGCAGAGGCTTGACAACCATATGTCAGGAGTGCTCTGATGGTGTTTCCTGCTTGGCAGGGGGTTGGACTCGATGGCCCTTGTGGTCTCTTCCAATTCTATGATTCCTCTGGTGACCGCTTTCATTGCATCCCATAGGAGGGGGGTTGTTATATTGTCTACCACGTTTTCCTTGAAGTAGTTTTGGAGAGTTTTTGTGTGTTGTTGTTGTTTAGTCATTTAGTCGTGTCCGACTCTTTGTGACCCCCTGGACCAGAGCACGCCAGGCCCTCCTGTCTTCCACTGCCTCCCGCAGTTTGGTCAAACTCATGCTGGTAGCTTCGAGAACACTGTCCAGCCATCTCGTCCTCCGTCGTCCCCTTCTCCTTGTGCCCTCCATCTTTCCCAACATCAGGGTCTTTTCCAGGGAGTCTTCTTTTCTCATGAGGTGGCCAAAGTCTTGCAGCCTCAGCTTCAGGATCTGTCCTTCCAGTGAGCACTCAGGGCTGATTTCCTTAAGAATGGATAGGTTTGATCTTCTTGCAGTCCATGGGACTCTCCTCCAGCACCATAATTCAAAAGCATCAATTCTTTGGCGATCAGCCTTCTTTATGGTCCAGCTCTCACTTCCATACATCACTACTGGGAAAACCATAGCTTTTACTATACGGACCTTTGTTGGCAGGGTGATGTCTACTTTTTAAGATGCTGTCTAGGTTTTTGTGATTCTCTGTAATTTGTTTGTTTGCAGTTAGGATGGGACTGAAGGACCGTGATGGGGTGGTTTGTAATATTCGGTGCCGTAAATTACGGACAGCAGGCAATCATTTTATTTAGAAATATTCTATCATTTCTGTCCAAAGGAAACCCCAAAAATGATGGGTGACGCTGACTTCTGTCTCATCTCTCTCTCTCTCTCTCTCTCTCTCTCTCTCTCTCTGTCTGCCACCCTGTCCCATACAGCTCTGCCACCAGTCGTGTGCCCCCCGCCTCCCCCTCCAGCCACAGCATCGCCACCTCCTCCACCTCCTCAGACCGCACCCGGCTGTCTCGCGGCACCAACATCCGCAGCACCTTCCACGGGGGCCAGGTGCGGGACCGGCGGGGGACCGGCGTTCAGAACGGGCCCCCCACCTCGCCCACGCTCTCCCACGAAGCCACCCCTCTGCCTCAGAGCCGCAGCCGCGCCACCTCCAACCTCTTCAGCAAGCTCACGTCGAAACTCACGCGGAGGTGAGCGGGCAGCTACGACAAAGGGGGCAGGCGGGCGGGCGAAGAGGGTAACGAAATCAAAAATGCTGGCTGGGTGGTTGCTGCTCCCCGACTCCTCTTCCTCCTGCCCCGCCCCCAGTTTGATTTACAGCAATGCAGGGTGGATTTGATTTAAATCAAATTGATTTAAATCACGATTTAAATCACTAGTCAATAAGACTTGGTTTAATTCACTGGTCAGTAAGACTTGGTTTAGTTCACTGGCCAGTAAGACTTGGTTTAATTCACTAGTCAGTAAGACTTGGTTTAAATCTTTTTTACAGAAAGACTCATTCTTGCTGGTATAAACTTAATATTTACAACCAGGTGAAGGTTTCATTTTTGGAATAATAAATTTTCAGAGTAGTTTTTACAGTTATATAAAAAGTTACTGATTTGGTTATACTGTTAAAAATACATAGACAGATAATTATGAAATTATTGTGAGGTTTAATAAGTTAACTGTGTGTATTTGGACAACTTTTCTGCTCTATTTTATTGGAAGGAGAAAAATAATCATTTCCTTAATAACAGTTTAAACAACTTATTTAACTGAAACAATAACATTATAGCCTATGTTATAATGTTATAACAAATCCATGTTTGTTAACTGATGTGGTTAAACTTTTTTTGTATATAAACTTAGAGTGAGTTTTAGCACACGTGAAAAAATCAAAAACAAATCCTTATTTCCTGATGAACAGCCTTTGGACTATAACGTAACCTAAATAGAAAACTATCTTTAGAAATATAGTTTCCCCCAAAAGCATTTTATTTTAAAAATCCAATTTAAATTTTTAAAAATCCGATTTTTTTTTTAAAAAAACACTGATTTTTATGCACCCTGATTTCTAAGCAGAAGATGGCTTCCGCGGCAGAATCCGCACTCAGAGTTCGTAAGACGGGGCGATCCTCCTGCAGCTGCCGCTCTCTGTATTGCACAGTGCAATTGCCTCTTCCGCGGGGAACCAGCTCCAAGGTTTCTGGCAGACACTGTGCACACCCAGACCCTTGGAGCTGCCCCATAGCTAGCAGTGGGGAGAAAGAGAGAATTCCTCGTGCCCCCAGAGTCCACACACCACACAGACCTTGTCCAGTGAGCAAGGTGGAGAGCTTAAAAGCTCTTTCCACCCTGCCTTTAGATAGTGCCCTTAGTGGGGCCGGCACGAGCATTGGGCATAGGGAGGCAGCTGCCTCAGGCAGCAAAACGTCTTGAGTCAGCTCTGCAACAGAGGAAGAGGAGAACTTGGAAGCACCAGGCAGTGGCTTTTATTATATACCCGCCTTTTCCCCTGATGGGGACACAAGGCGGCTTCCAGGTACAACGGCTAAAAAAACATCAGGGAGGAATCATTTAAAACAGTTTAAACGTTCAGAGAATTAAAACGGCATACATGCATATGTCTAAAAGCAAACAGATAATTACAGTTATCAAAGCAGTAAAAAGGGCACGGCGTCAGCCCTTTCATTAAAAGCAGTCAGTTCCCCAAAAGCCAGTTGGGAAAAGAAAGGCTTCACCTGAAGGACAGCAAGGAGGGGGCCAGCCTGGCTTCTCTCGGCAGGGAGTTCCAAAGTTGCCTGGAAGCAGCCACCACCGAGAAGGCCCTGCAAAGGTTTTGGGGAAAGGGGTCGTTTCCAATCAGTGCGGACCCTGCAAAACCTGAAATCCCGCAACATCTCTTAGCACAGATGTTCTGGTGTGTGTGTGTGTTTGCTTCCTTGAAGGTTTTTGAGCAGAGGTTGGAAGGCCATCTGTCAGGGATGCTTTAGCTGAGATTCCAAGAAAAAAGCACACCAAGAACTCAGGCCGATGTAAGTTTCAGTAGTGGGAGTGGTCCTTCCTAGCAAATCAATAATCAATAGTAACAAAAACTAATCCATTCAAAAGTATGTGTTCTGACAAGGATTACAAACTCAAATAGAGATTACAAAATCTAACAGAGATTACAAGATCAAACTCATAAAGAAATGTATACAACAATAATTCGTTACAGAATTAGAAATAAGAGTTTGTGGGTAGAGATAAGTTTATGTTAGTCCATAGTTAGATTTGACGTGGAGGTCTTCATAGAGCCGAAGTCAGAAGTCAGTTATAGATTAGAAACCAGGACAGGGCCTTGTTTTGATGTATTCACCTTCATCAGCTGAAAGCATCAAATATTACATGAAAATACATTTACGTTCTAAATTATCATAAAATATAAAACAGTCATAAATTATAAAACAGTATTATATAACATTTGGTTCCTTACCTAATTTTTAAAGGGTCGTGTAAGTTTGAAGACTTTCGGATAAATATATCCTGTTATTTTCTACCGTTTTATAATTTATGATCATTTAGAATTTAAAAGTTTCTAATCTAATAGATTCTCTATTTGAGTTTGTAAACCTTGTCAGAATACAGACTTTTGAATGGATTAGTTTTTGTTACTATTGATTATTGATTTGCGAGGAGGGACCACTCCCACTATTAAAACTTACATTGGCCAGAGTTGGTGTGCTTTTTTCTTGGTATATTTAATAACGAGAACTCCAACTTATTTATCGTTAGCTGAGATTCCTGCATTTCAGGGGGCTAGACTAGATGACTCTTGGGGTCCCTTCCAACTCTGCAACCCTTTGATATTATGATTCCTCTTTTTTGCTGCCTCAAGCCCTCCATACAGCCGTCGTGTCGGTCGAGTCGCAGAACGGCTAGCAAAACGGGCTGAATCTGCCACAAACGCCCCGTTCCTGCGGCCTCGTTCATGGCGGGCGTTTTAAAGCCTCGTTAAACCGCCGCCGCTTCCCCCAAAGAGTTCTGGGAGATGTAGTGTAGCCTTCTTAGACTTTACCGACTGGTGGGGTCTGCGTTGCTCCCGGGAGAGAGAAAGGAAGTCAAATGACACTGAGGTTTGGTTCAGAGAAAGAGTTTATTCTGCTCTCCGGATAGCGGAAGGCTATGTGGTCAGGATGTAAGATAAGACCCAGACGTGCCATCCCTGCTCCACTTGGAACTGGCAAGGCCACCCATTGCCGTCACGGACTGATAAAGGAGAGGGCTTTGAGCACTTGTTTATGCGGCTGGCTTTCTGTTTACACATTGGCTCAAGAGCTCAAGTTAATGCATTTTAGAAATGCTCCCTTGGAGGAGGAAAAATGAGGATTTTGGGTCCCGTTTCAGACTGACTGCACAGAAACCCATTCCTTCAGTAGTTTGTTAAGGGTGACGAGATTTCGTTAGGGGGGTGTCCAAATCCCCTTCCCAGAGCTACCAGCGTGGTTTGATAATCAGATCTGACGAGGAACCCTGGGAATTGAAACTCCGGGACTCGGCTCTCTCGGCCCACGAGACGCCGGTTCCGATTCTTGCACCGCATCGGGGTTCGGCTGGATGACCTTTGGGGGGTCCCAGCTGTACGATCCTGTCCCCTCTGACTCCCCCCACCCCATTTGGTGGCGTTTCTGCTGGAAGGAAGAGATTGCTCTCCCCACTAACCACAGCTGTCAACGTTTCCCTTTTTAAGGGGCATTCCCTTATTCCGAATAGGATTCCTCGCAAGAAAAGGGGAAAGTTGACTCTAACCTCTCTTGCTCCCTTCTCCTCCTCCTGCTGCTGCTGCTATCGCTTTCCCCTCTGTGCTGGTTTCACTTTGCTTTTCTCTGTTTTCAGGGTCACTCTTGACCCCTCTAAGCGCCAGAATTCTAACAGGTGTGTCTCAGGTTCTCCAATGCCTCAAGGATCTAAAATCAGTAAGTCCGGCTGCCTTTTCTTCTTCCCTGGGGGTGCCGGGGGGAAGCCTTGCCTGCCTGCCTCCAGCCCCTTCCCCTCCTGCCTCCTCCCCACTTGCTCCCGCCCCCAAAAATCCCATAAAAGCTTTTGCTTTCTTCTCGCTTGACTAGAAATCTAGAGATTCCCCCCAAAAAAGTGTGTTGTTCGGGGCTTAGCTTCTAACACGAGTGCTTGGCGGGGTAGAAGGGGCTCCCCCACTCCACCCCCCACCCCCCGCTTCCAATCCCGGAAGCCCCTCGGCCCCCTCGATCCCGGATGGCTGCGGAAAGGCGCTCTGCACGTTCTCAAAAGCACTCTCTCCCTTACATTCCAGGTCTGAGCTAAGCTCTATGGCTCCACCCCCTCCCCGGGAGCTCTTAAGCAAGGCTGGGTAAGAGCCAGGCCAGGAGGATAGCTGGGCTAGCCGAGAGGTAGCGTGGCGTAGTGGTTAGAGCGGCGGGGAGAGAGAGACCAGGGTTTGATTCCCCTGCCCGGCCCCGCTTGGCGATGAAGCTCAGGGCATGACCCGGGGCCCAGTCGCTGCTAGCCTGCCTCCCAGGGTGGTTGTGGTGGGGGTTAAATGAGGAGGCGGGAAACAATGGGGTTGCCGCCTTGAGAAAAAGCCACGCAAGAAATAAAACAATAAATGAATAATAGTTTGCACCACACCATATCTAAGCAGCGCAGAGGGGCTTGTGAGACTGACCAAATGCCCCTTTACATTGTCGACACAAGTTCCGGGCTGGGGAGAAGGCCCTTCTCCCTGATGCACTGGCTTTCTCCTTGCGGTGCGTTCCCCTCCCCAAGCCCCACCTCGCCTCGCCCCCCCAAAAAATGCAGTTGGAAGGGATACAGCCCACACGCAGGAAGAAGAGCCCCCCCCTCCCCGGGGAAGGTCTCTGATGCAGCCTCACCCCAGCCTTGCAAGGGGGTTGGGCTGGATGACCTTTGGGGGTCCCAACTCCACAGTTCTGTGGCTCAGCCAGGGAAGGTTTGAGGGTGGGGCTCTTGGTCCCTCCACCTCTCTTCCGGCCCGGGGTTCAAGGCTCCTCCGGCAGCTGGGAAGGAAGAAAGAGCCTGCCCACTCTTTGGTCCACCTCCCCACCCTCGGCCGTGCCTTCTTCATCGCTCTCCTCTTCTTCCTCTTTCCAGGGTCGCAGACGAACCTGAGAGAATCAGGGGACCTGCGCTCACAAGGTGGGTACCCAGCTCCCTCACCGTCAGGGCCATTCATTCTTTATTATTATTATTTTTTTAGAGCACAATTTTTATTAATTTAAAAAGGCTACCAGCTTTTAGTACACAGGTGTACAGCAACAGACAATCTCATAAAGTTTAGTCAGTTAAAGAGAAAGACTGCAGGGGAGGGTTGTGGGGTTTTCTGAAAGAGTAAGAAGAAAGCAAGATGAACTAGGAATGTATCAAGTTGTTTAAATCACAGTTCTCCAGAGCTTTTGCTTCAGTTTAAGCAAAACTTATGCAACTATACATTGTGACATTATGTTAGGGAAAATAGGGGAAAACACTATGGAAAACACTTGTTGCGAATTCTGACTGGAAGTCAGGGTCATTCATTTTTTCGCAGGAATATTTGAAGGCCTCTGTGTCAGGGGAAAATATATATATATATCAACGCAGCTTACAGCAATGAGAATATAAAACCATGCAATGAAAACCAAATTTAAAAAGCTAGAATCTGAAATCAGTTACCCAGAGTAGAGGGTATTCTTCATTGCCTTGCGTAGGCCTGGCGGAATAGAGAAAAATTTCAGCAGGCGTTAGAAATTTGGCACAGAGAAACTATTTTCTTCTTTTCTTCTCCTTTTCCTTCTCTTCCTTTTCTCTTCCTTTATTTTCTTCTCTTCCTTCTGCTTGATTCTCTTCTGTTTATCTCCTTTAGTTTGGTTTTCATTGTATCTTATGTTAAAGATTCTCAATAGAATTGATTTTTAAAGAAAGTTGGCCCGCAAGGCGCCTTCCAAATCTCTAGTAGCAGAGAGTTCCACAGAACCCGGGCCAGCTCCAAAGCGCAGCTGCCAGCCCACTAAAAAAAAAAGTCAATTTCCTACAAGTGCAGAACGTGTTAGGCAGCACCTGCCAAACACAGAGGCCAAGCGGGCACATGTGTGTGTGCCCTAAACTTCTCTCCCTCTGTCATCAGTGTGCTGATGACACCCAACTCTATCTGTTGATGGATGGCCATCCTGACTCGGCCCCAGACACACTGACCAGATGTTTGGAAGCTGTGACTGGATGGTTACGTGGGAGCCGGTTGAAGTTAAATCCTTCCAAGACAGAGGTCCTGTGGCTGGGTCGGGACGATATGGGATTGGGGGGGCAACTCCCATCTCTTGCGGGGGTGCAATTAGTGCCAGCACCATCCGTTAAGAGTTTGGGTGTAATCTTCGACACCTCCCTTTCCATGGAGGCTCAGATTGCAGCTATAACAAAGGCGGCATTTTTCCATCTCCGCCAAGCTAAGCAGTTGGCTCCTCACCTCTCTCACCCTGACCTTGCCACTGTGATCCACGCGACGGTCACCTCCAGACTGGATTATTGTAACTCGCTCTTCGTGGTGCTGCCCTTGAGACTGACCCAGAAACTCCAGCGGGTGCAGAATGCCGCGGCGAGACTCCTTACGGGGTCCTCGCTGCGAGATCACATTCACCCGGTGCTATACCAGCTGCACTGGCTCCCGGTGGAGTACAGGATCAAGTTTAAGGTGCTGGTTTTAACCTTTAAAGCCCTATACGGCCTAGGACCCTTGTACCTACGGGACCGCGTCTCCTGGTATGTCCCATGGAGGACCTTACGGTCTTCAAATAAAAACATCTTGGAGATCCTGGGCCACAGGGAGGTTAGGCTGGCCTTGACCAGAGCCAGGGCTTTTTCGGCCGTGGCCCCGATCTGGTGGAACGCTCTGTCCCAAGAGACTAGGGCCCTACGGGACTTGACATCTTTCCACAGGGCCTGCAAGACGGAGCTGTTCCACCAGGCCTTTGGCCAAGGCACAGTCTGACCCCCTCCTTTGGTCACCCACACAGAGGTCTGGCCCAATGGTTGCCATTAATTTGATTTTGAATTGATTTTTAGAATGAATTGACTTTAGAATCCTGTGTAATTTTTATTGTTGTTAGCCGCTCTGAGCCCGGCTTCGGCTGGGGAGGGCGGGATATACCGTATTTTTTGCTCTATAAGACTCACTTTTTCCCTCCTAAAAAGTAAGGGGAAATGTGTGTGCGTCTTATGGAGCGAATGCAGGCTGCGCAGCTATCCCAGAAGCCAGAACAGCAAGAGGGATCGCTGCTTTCACTGCGCAGCGATCCCTCTTGCTGTTCTGGCTTCTGAGATTCAGAATATTTTTTTCCTTGTTTTCCTCCTCCAAAAACTAGGTGCGTCTTGTGGTCTGGTGCGTCTTATAGAGCGAAAAATACGGTAAATAAAATTTTGTTATTATTTATTATTATTCTTTCCCCTGCGCAGTTGCAATCTACCTTGGCATCAAAAGGAAGCAGAACCCCGGCTGCTCCGATTTACCTGGAATGTGAAGCTGACCAGTACCCGCTCGGCCGAGGCCATTCTTGCTGCCCTCCGCCAGGCCACGGACTCTGCCAGCTGCTGCTGCCGCCAGACGGAGCCCTTCGTCCTCTCCTGCACCCACGAGAAGAGCCCCAGCGAGCACTTCTGCTCCTTTGAGGTGGAGGTGTGTCGCCTGCAGCGCCTGGGCGGCCTCCACGGCGTCCTCTTCCGGCGCCAGGCGGGCACCTCCCTGGCCTTCCGCACCCTGGTGGCTAAAATCTCGGACCAGCTGCAACTCTAGGCCAGCGGCAGGGGCACAGCGCTGGCTGGTAGGGCTTCCTCCTTCCGCGCCAACCCCACGGGCTGTTGGGGGGCCAGAGAGGGGGCGTGGCCCTCGGACACCCTCTCTGTTGCGTCACCCTGGGGGCTTTCATCTGGGGCCTGATCCTGCTGCCTGATAGGACGAGGAGCTGCTCTTGGGGGTCTCCCACCGGCCTGCCCGCTGCGCTAGGGGCTGTGGGGTTGGGGGAGGGAAAAGAGGGGGGGCGTTGAGGAAAGGGGGTCATGCTACCACCACCACCGGGGCCGGCCTCACCCTTGCCACCATACCTGGCCCAAGGATCGCCTTTAGGGGGGTCCCCGGATCGCCCCAGGGGGGTCCTCAGCTGCTGCGGGAATCTAAAAGGGGGAGCTCTCTCTCTCTCGGCCTGCCTCCCTTCCTAAGTTTTTTTGGGGGGGCTTTACTCAGTTAACTAGCAGACGCATGGCATGGGGAGCCTTGAAAGCAAAAGGGGGGGTCTTTGGCAAATTGTGGTGTTGCAGACCCCTCTCCTACCCAGTTTGCCCATTGCAGGAGAGAGTGTAGGAACTGGGATCCATGCAAAGCAGGTCTCTGTCAGAGACCCTTGAGACCTGCCCCCCCCCCCGGGTATAGGGCAGTATATAAATTCAATAAAATAATAATAATAATTTTGGTCCCCCCCTCCCCGGCTCCCCGCTTCCATCCATTGTCAAATGCTACACCCAGAAGTTGCAAACTTTCCCTCTGGCAAACCACTTTTTTGGATGGGTGTCTGAATTCCAGCTCCATTTTAGTATTTGGGACACAATTATGTCTCTGGCTGATGCGAATCCCAGTTCTTTGCGGGGGGGGGGGGGGCGGCTGTTCGATTGCCAGAGAAGCCAGTGGCCACAAAGCAAAATCTGCCAAAGTCTTTCTGGAGCAGGGAGGGGGGACCCCGGCCTTTAGCCAAACTTGGGGGGCAATGTTGCCAAAAGAGGATATCCTCTTGCCCAGGCAGTGGTGGTGAGAAACGGGGAGAGTTGGGAGGTCCTGGGGATGGTGTGACCCCGTCTTGCCGAGGGGCTGGCTTGGCCTACGAGGGCAGTTTTGGGTCCCGGTCGGTGCTCAGCCCCCTGGCTGCAGGATACGGCGGCAGCCATTCAACTGGTGCAGCAGCCGGGGTGGTAGAAGGCCGCTGAGCTTCTTCTCCTCTCGGGGAGGGTGGGTTGGGGGTTTGAGTTTTGGCTTCTCCTGTTGAACTTCCCCCGCAGCGCACCAAGGCCTTGAGTGGCGGGCCGGCCCCCTCACCGCCATTCCCCACCAGCCCCACATCGCTAGACTAAAAACAACAACAACAACACACAAACACACACACACACTCGCAAACCAGAACCCCGGTGCTGAGACGGCCTTCTGGAGAGGAGGCTGGCACTCCCGGCGGTCGCTTCAAGGGCTCAGATCCATCGTCCTGACAGCTGGGGCCCCCGCCAGAGCTGGTGCAACGTTGGGGGGGTTGCGGCTCCCCTCAGGAGGGGAGGGGGCAGCGTCCACCCCCCTCCCCAAAAAGAAAAGTCTGTTTCTCGCACACCGGACAAACTGGCATTGCACACTGGTTCGGGCACGGCCGCCATGCTCCCTGCCTTCTCTTCCTCGCCTGGGAAATGGGCTCAGCGGTGTGGAGGGGGCCTTGCGGCCAGCACCCCCCACATCCCGGGGCGGAGGAGAGGGGCAGCCTGGTCTCTGGTGGTGGGGCAGCTTGGAGGAGGGGGGTCCCGGCGGAGCTCACGGGCGACAGTGGCGACGCGAAATCCGGCAGCTCTGGCGGGGAGAAATATTGAGTGGGTTTCCTTCCTCCTGCCCCCTTTCCCCCCTTGCTCCTTTCGCCTCACCCCACTTCTTTACACTGGGTCCCCCTGCTGTGACCTCTCCCCCTTCCTCCCGGACCCTGCCTCTTTGGGCGCACACCCCTCCCCATCTGTACAGACTCCCCTGTAAATAATTGTCCGGTTAGCCCCCGTTATCATTGGGTTAGCGATATTATTAAATGAGCCCACCCTTTAGCCTTGGGACGATTGTAAGTTATTCCGGACCCAGAGCGACAGTTCTGTACCAAACCCTTAATAAACGTAGAAAGCCTCCGCCCGTCGTCTTCTCTGCCTCGTCCACTCCTGAGCCGCTTCTCTCATCCGTGGGGGTGGAATGGGGCTCGAAACGGCCCTTCGTGGAAACTGAAGGGAAACCCAAAGGTCATCCAGCCCAACCCCACTTCTCAACGGAGAGGTAGAATCCGTGGAACTCGTACCCTGTGTGTGCCTGAGGAGGTGTGTCTCTCTGTGTGTTTGTGTGTTGGGATCACTCGGTTTTGAGAGCAGCCCTCTGCCCATGTTCAGAGGTGCTCTGCTTCCTTCTCGTATTTGGCGTGGGGGGGTTTGAAACAGAACTCTGATTCCAAGGAGTGCCTGAGAAGGACCTAGATAGGCTTCTCTTTTTGCCCTTCTATGTCGGGGTACACTGCTCCTCTCAGTGGAGGCTCCACTGAACCATTGCAGCTACAATAACCCCCAAGAGGCGGATGTGTGTTAAAACCACTTCTAAAGATGTCTCAGCCGGTGCCCAAAATCGCCCCCCATGGCAGCAAACTCCACAAATAGGTGCTGTGTTGCGTGGAGAAAGGCCCGTTTTTGAATCTCGTTTTTGGGGTTTGCTGACCTGGCCTCCAGCGGGGTTACAAGACTTGCGGAGAGCTCCTCCAGTACGTTTGTGGGTACTGGGTTGAGTGTGGGGTTGCCATTGGGGTTCCTTTGACACTTTGGGGACAGCTGGTGTGTGACAGGGAAGAGCTGAACTGAGACAAGGGACACACGCTGCAAGCTCTCTGGCTCATAGCCTAGTAACCCTTCCTAAACGTCAGGACGTCAAAAGCCCAGCCCTGTGAAACTCTTGACGCTGGTGATGGCAGGGAACGTCTGTAGGATCCTGACACTCACACCTTCATAATCTCTTCTCTCCAAGCTGGGCTACCCAGTGGCCCATCTGCCCCAGAATCCTCAGCCAAATGTCCCTAAGGACCTAGGCACCTATTTATCTACTTGCACTTTGACGTGCTTTCGAACTGATAGGTGGGCAGGAGCAGGGACAGAGCAACGGGAGCTCACCCCGTCGCGGGGATTCGAACCGCCGACCTTCTGATCGGCAAAGTCCTAGGCTCTGTGGTTTAACCCACAGCGCCACCCGCGTCCCGCAGGCAATTCATAGCCCTTATAGCTAGTAGTAATCAGTGGCCTTCTCTAATTCCCAGATGTGCTTTTGGCCTGATTGAGCAGGCCTCTTCTTATTTACTTATGAGGAGCATTCTGGATCAGGCCCAGGGACCATCACGCCCAGCCTCCTGCTCCTTCTGTTGTCAAATACTACTACCACTATGAACCCAGGAATCAGATAGACTGCCTCTGGGCCTGGAGGTTCCATCAGAAGAGCCCATTGGCCCATCTAGTCTTCCATCCTGTTCTCACAGTGGCCCAAAGTGAAGCCCAAAGGCAAGACCTGGGTGCGAGAGCCCATTATGGGAAACATGCAATCGGGATCAGAGCACAAGAGCAGCTCACTGCACACAGCTTTCCTTTCAGACCTCATCGGCTTTTCTCCCTCCCAGGGGAAGAAAAGCTGCAAATGCAACTGTACAGTGGTACCTCGGGTTAAGTACTTAATTCGTTCCGGAGGTCCGTTCTTAACCTGAAACTTCTTAACCTGAAGCATCACTTTAGCTAATGGGGCCTCCAGCTGTTCTGTTCTCATCCGGAAGCAAAGTTCTTAAGCCGAGGTACTATTTCTGGGTTAGCGGAGTCTGTAAACTGAAGCGTCTATAACCCAAGGTAAAGGTAAAGGGACCCATGACCATTAGGTCCAGTCATGACCAGCATGACTAAGCCGCTTCTGGCGAACCAGAGCAGCGCACGGAAACGCCGTTTACCTTCCCGCCGGAGCGGTACCTATTTATCTACTTGCACTTTGACGTGCTTTCAAACTGCTAGGTTGGCAGGAGCAGGGACCGAGCAACAGGAGCTCACCCCGTCGCAGGGATTCGAACTGCCAACCTTCTGATCGGCAAGACCAAGAGGCTCGGTGGTTTAGGCCACCCGCATCCCATTTGCCTTCACTGTACCCTTTCTTAAAAAAGATAAAGGTAAAGGACCCCTGACAGTTAAGTCCAGTCGCAGACCACTCTGGGGTTGTGGTGCTCATCATAGAATCATAGAGTTGGGTCCCAGGGGTCATCTAGACCAACCCCCTGCGATGCTTACTAAAAAATACCTTTTTTTTAAAAAAGCACAAGAGACTCCTTTTGGGAGGAGGCAAGGCTCTGGGGGCCATAATTCGCTTTATTAACTCCATCCACTAGGACTCAGGTGTCACGAGCGTCCCAGCTGCCCCGCCCCACCCCAGGCGGCCCTCCGCCCTCCTTTGCAAGAGAAGGGAGGGCGCCTAGGGACAGGGCGGTGGGTGGCCGGGAGTGGCAGGGTTGGGGTCACCCCCCCGGAGTCCAAGCCCCAGTCCACACGGGGTCAGCAGGACGGCGGCCGCGGGAAACCTCTCACTTCTGCGCAGGGACCATGTCGTCGATGGCCTGGCCCTTCTCCAGTTTCTTCTCCATCTCCACCATCAGCTTCACGCCGTCCACCACCAGCTGCACCTGTTCCACCTCAGAGGAGCCCAGGCGGTCAGCGTTGGAGATGTCGAAAACGGCGCCCACGGCCTCTGTGTCCACACCACCTGCGGGGTTTTTTTGAGGTGGGGGGGAGAGTAGCCGTTACTTGGATCGCCCCCTCCAGACCCTCCAGAAACTGGAAGTGGGTTGCAGAGCCCATAGGGCGCGTTTCGTTTTGCAACTTTCAGTTTCCAAGAAGTGCTTGTAAGTCGCAACAAGCGACTCGGCCATTCGAAATATATTTTCGTTAAATTAATAGGATTTCGTTTTTGATTGGTAAGCAGAATAATAATATAATAATAATAATAATAATAATTTATTTATACTCCGCACATCTGGCTGAGTTTCCCCAGCCACTCTGGGCAGCTTCCAATCAAGTATTAAAAACAATACAGCGTTAAATATTAAAAACTTCCCTGAACAAGGCTGCCTTCAGATGTCTTTTAAAGATAGGATAGCTACTTATTTCCTTCATATCTGAAGGGAGGGTGTTCCACAGGGCGGGCGCCACTACCGAGAAGGCCCTCTGTCTGGTTCCCAGAATGTGTGTGTGCGATGACGTAGCGGTTGTTGCTTGTCGTTGCGCTATATATTAACATTTTTTATTAGTATTTAGCATTACGCGACATTTTCAGAAGGTAAAGCTAAAACAATTCGGCTTTCTGGTTTATGCGCTTTGTCGTTAAACCATAGACTTACCAGGCTAAATGGTGCCTGCGCTGCCACAGAAATAATAGATGGTTGGAATTCCTCACGCCCCCAAAATGTGTTTTTTAAGCCTGCTCGCTGGATAAAATTGCAAACATTTAGGTTCACCCCCTAAAATTGCACACCCTACTGAGCCAGGAATCCGTTTCGTAGAATCATTGGAAGGGACCCCCAAGGGTCATCTAGTCCAGCCCCTTGCAATGCAGGAATCACAGCTAAAGAATCCCTGAGATGTAGCCACCCAATGAAGGAGAGTCCATCACCTTCAGAGGAAGTCCATTCCATTTGCCCATGGACACCTTTTGTATCATGTTGCTAAGTTTCCCCAAGGGCGCAATGCACACAAATGGGCCTAGGACCCTCGTACCTACGGGACCGCCTCTCCCGATATGCCCCGCGGAGGACCTTAAGGTCCATAAATAGCAACACCCTAGAGGTCCCGGGTCCTAAGGAAGTCAGATTAGCCTGAACCAGAGCCAGGGCCTTCTCAGTGATGGCCCCGGCCTGGTGGAACGCTCTGCCTCATGAGACCAGGGCCCTGTGGGATCTGATTTCTTTCCACAGGGCCTGTAAGACAGAGTTGTTCCGCCTGGCCTTTGGCTTGGAATCAACTTGATCCCCTTCCCCTCTTTCCTCTTGTGATGGAACTCCTATTTGGGGACTTCCCTGGCTTTTTTCTGGCCCACGTAGGACCAGTCTGGATAGTTGGCCTTGGTGAAGACTTGAGGTTTTCATCCCCAAAAAGTTTTTGATTTGAGTTTCTACTGAAATGAGGCTGCATTTTAACGTTGTATTTTAATCAATTGTTTTTATACCTGGTGTTAGCCGCCCTGAGCCCAGTCTTGGCTGGGGAGGGCGGGGTATAAATAAAAATAAATAAAAATGTATACCCACAGTTTTGGGAGGCAGGTGGTGGAAGATATTTAAAAATAAGCATCTGCCCGGGTTATTTTTTCCTTGTAGTGTGGATTTCATAAAATCGTAGGGACCCCCAAGGCTCGTCGAGCTCAAAACCCTTGCAATTCAGTTTTAGCAAAGCATCCCTGAGTGTTGGCCATCTAAACTCCGCTCATAAACTTTCAAGGAAGGTGGGAGACTACTTGAAGGAATCTCCTTCCTGGTCGTCCGGAATCTATCGCTTCGGGCCCTGCTGGCTCCCTCCTTGTTGCAATAATAATAATAATAATAATAATAATAATAATAATTTATTATTTGTACCCCGCCCATCTGGCTGGGTTTCCCCAGCCACTCTGGGCGGCTTCCACAGAGACCAAAAATACACTAAAATGTCACACATTAAAAACTTCCCTGAACAGGGCTGCCTTCAGATGTCTTCTAAATGTCAGATAGTTGTTTATCGCTTTGACATCTGGTGGGAGGGCGTTCCACAGGGCAGGAGCCACTACCGAGAAGGCCCTCTGCCTGGTTCCCTGTAACTTGGCTTCCCGCAATGAGGGAACCGCCAGAAGGCCCTTGGAGCTGGACCTCAGCGTCCGGGCTGAATAATGGGCGTGGAGACGCTCCTTCAGGTATACTGGGCCGAGGCCGTTTAGGACTTTAAAGGTCAACATCAACACTTTGAATTGTGCTCAGAAACGTACTGGGAGCCAATGTAGGTCTTTCAAGACCGGTGTTATGTGGTCTCGGCTGCCACTCCCAGTCACCAGTCTAGCTGCCGCATTCTGGATTAGTTGTAGTTTCCAGGTCACCTTCAAAGGTAGCCCCATGTAGAGCGCATTGCAGTAGTCCAAGCGGGAGATAACTAGAGCATGCACCACTCTGGCAAGACTGTCTGCGGGCAGAGAGGGTCTCAGCCTGCGTACCAGATGGAGCTGGCAGACAGCTGCCCTGGACACAGAATGCAACAGCCCTTCAGATATTTGAAGAGGGTCATTGTATCAGCTCTCGGCCATCTCTTCTCCAGTCTAAAAATACCCAGCTCCCTCGAGCATCCCTCATAAGGATTGGATTCCAGACCAAAGATTTATCTCTGCAAAGAAGCGCATTCCCCAGCCCCTTCCCCTCACCCCTCTGCCTAATTCAACATGCAGTCATTGAACTGTAAAGCTGGAGGGGGACACCCAGAGGTCATCTACCCCAACCCCCTGCAATGCAGCAACCACCAGTCAATTGCATGGCACGAGATGGGCAAGGGGGCCCCACAAATAACAGCACGAGCCTAACCCTGTCTACTCAGAAGTGCAGGGACTGAATCCCCGCCCCCCCAGGGCTCGCTCCCAGGTAAGTGGGGCCAAGGGAGCGATTAAAAATAAATTCAAGTCCCTAGTCCCTTTGAGGTGCCACCAGATTGTCTTATTTCTGGAAATAAGGATGGAAATCCCCTCCTGCCCTCTCACCTGTGCCACGTTTCTGCAGACGGAGACGCGTGAGGATTTCCTCAAACTTGGCATGCTTGCTGAGATGGGGCAGTTTGACGTGGACACCCCCACGCAGCCCAGTGCCCAGGTTAGAGGGGCAGGTCAGGATATAGCCCAAGTGCTCGTTCCAGCTGAAGGGGTGGCCAGCTTTCTTGAAGATCTCCTCAATCTTCCCCAAGAAAAAGGAAAAGATGAGCAGGATGAGAGATTATTATTATTATTATTATTATTATTTATTATTATTATTATTTATACCCCACCCATCTGGCTGAGTTTCCCCAGCCACACTGGGCGGCTTCCAATTGAGTGTTAAAAACAATACAGCATTAAATATTAAAAACTTCCCTAAACAGGGCTACCTTCAGATGTCTTTTAAAGAAGCTCCTTCAGTCTTTTATCTGCAAAACTGGGAATGTCCACTGTAGGACCTTGTAGGGAGTTGGCAGTGCCCAGGACTTGGAGTTCTCATTCATTTATTTCATGAGTAGGCAGACTAAGGCCCAAGGGTCAGATCCGGCCCAATCGCCTTCTAAATCCGGCCCGCGGACGGTCCGGGAATCCGCGTGTTTTTATATAAATAGAATGTGTCCTTTTATTTAAAATGCATCTCTGGGTTATTTGTGGGTGGGGCTTAGGAATTCGTTCATTATTTTTTTCACAATATAGTCTGGCCCCCCACAAGGTCTGAGGGACAGTGGACCGGCCCCCTGCTGAAAAAGTTTGCCGACCTCTGGTTTTATTTCATGAAATTTATACCACCAATTGATTGGCAGGAGGGAGAACACCTCAAAGCTGTTTGCAGAAAAGATGGAATCAAATAGGAAAAATCAACAAGGACACTTTGAAACTTTCAAGAAGTTGATCGAAACTTGCGCCAACCTTCTAAGGCTCTGGGTTCTTTAGGCAGGAATGTTTTTAGGAGGTGCCGATAAAGTACAGCAAAGGCCCTGATGTCAACAGGCAGGGAGTTCCAAAGTGTAGGTGGAGCCACACTAAATGATCGATTGCTAACCAGTGTTAAATGGGTCTTACATGGCACCTGTGATAGTGCCAGTTCCATCGATTGAAGCGGGCACATATGCATAGCTGTCAACTTACAGATTTGAAAATAAGGGACCAGCAGCCTCGAAAATAAGGGATCAGCAACCAAAATAAGGGATTTTGCTTAGCTTATGCAGAAATCCGCTACTCATGGAGCCATACTACTTTGGCTGCCACTGACGGTGTTTTGCAGGGGGGTTGGACTAGGTCATAGAATCATAGAATCATAGAGTTGGAAGAGACCACAAGGGCCATCGAGTCCAACCCCCTGCCAAGCAGGAAACACCATCAGAGCACTCCTGACATATGGTTGTCAAGCCTCTGCTTAAAGACCTCCAAAGAAGGAGACTCCACCACACTCCTTGGCAGCAAATTCCACTGTGATGATCCTAAGGGTCTACAACTCCCACCAAAGAAGACCGGCAGACAAAACTGATGAACGACGTCGAGATGGCAAAGCTTACAGGCAGAATTTGAAACCAGGAAGAGGACCTCTTTAATAAAGAATGGGGAAAGTTTATAATTTAGTTGAAAAGCTATTGTAAAGAGTTACATACATTGGTAGGATTGACAGAAAACTTTGAACTGTGGATGGACAAATGATTTATAAAAATAGAGGTATGAAAGGGATGCAGAGGGGGAAATCACTACATTAAGATGCTGCACTGGTTGGAGGGGATGCTAAGCAGCACGTCGGGGCTGCTGTCTTCCTGGTGCGAGGAGTTCCATCTGCCCTTCCCCGCCCGAGAGAGAGGGAGGGAGGGAGACTCTCGCCCACGCCACCCGTGAGCCCGGCATGAGGTGGTTGCGACACCGCGGCAGCCCTGAAGCGCCGCCCTTCTGCGTCCCTCCCCATCCCCTCCTCTTCCTCCTCCCTCAGGCCGCCTCCTCAGCCGCCGCTGCCGCCTCCGGCTTCCCCTAGCAGCATGGCAGAAGTCTTGCAAGAGAGGGGCTGCCTACCCGCCCGCCACCACCCATCTCCTCAGGACACGCCACTGAGGGGGAAAAGGGAGAGACGGAGACGCGGCAGCTCGTGCGCACGCTCGCGTGCGTGGCAGAGAACCCTGAGCCGCTGCTTCCCTCCCGAGCCGGGCGAGCATGAAACCCAGGAAATTTAAGGGACATCATCCACAAGGGACAGCAGCGGGACACAGCGCTGGGATAAGGGAGTTTCCTGCCAAATAAGGGACGGTTGACAGCTATGCACATATGGGGCGAGGCACATTTGGAGTGAGGTAAATGGGCTTCAAGTGGTTATGAACTGCAAGAACATTAACTCAGCCCAAAGGGACCTCGGCAGCTGGCGCAGATCTTTGAGCACAGGTGCTTTGGGCTGCCAGGGCCTCACTCCTGCTAGCAATCGTGGCAAGCATCCCGGACCTCAAACCCAGCTCAGCCAGTGAAGAGGCAGAACTGCAGGTGGTACCATCTCGGACACTGTCAACTGACCGCAGCCTGCCTGAGTCACCTGTGAGCCTGTCAGGTGCCTCCCACGAATCTTGGAATTGTAATAAATAGTTGTTGGCAATGAGAATTGTAGAATTGGAAGGGACCCCCAGAGGTCCTCTAGTCTAACCTCCTGCGATGCGGGAATCATGCATCACATGATGCTCCTCTGCCTGCCAGGGACTTTCTCTCTGGGCTACCGTTCTCTGCCAGCCCAAAACCCCACAGCTCTCCCCACGTGGCCTCTGAGACAGCCAGGTGCCTCTCTCCCCCCCCCCTTCAAAGCAGCCCCTCTGCAAAGCTCACCTTCTGCAGCCCGACGCAGAAGCGCCGGAAAACCTCCTTCATGTTGCCGCCCTTCTGCATGGAGATGACGCGGAGATGGTCCTCCTCGTTCACCCAGACCAGGAAGGTTTTGTTGTCATTGTGCCTGGGGGGGGGGGGAGGCAGAGGGGAGAGTGTGAACGCCGCAGGCCTGAGGGCCTCAAACCTCTCGAGTGCATTGGAGGTACTGTGACAGCACAAAAGGGCATTGAAGCGCACCAGGAATGTAATTATTATCATTTACACATAACACCGGTCCTGAGAGATCTGCATTGGCTCCCACTACGTTTGTGTTGGTGCTGACCTCTAAAGCCCTAAACGGCCTCGGTCCAGTATACCTGAAGGAGCGTCTCCACCCCCATCGTTCTGCCTGGACACTGAGATCCAGCACTGAGGGCCTTCTGGCGGTTCCCTCATTGCGAGAAGTGAGGTTACAGGGAACCAGGCAGAGGGCCTTCTCGGTAGTGGCGCCCGCCCTGTGGAACGCCCTCCCTTCAGGTGTGAAGGAAATAAGCAGCTATCTTCTTTTTAAAAGACATCTGAAGGCAGCCCTGTTTAGGGAAGTTTTTAATATTTAATGCTGTATTGTTTTTAACACTTGATTGGAAGCCGCCCAGAGTGGCTGGGAAAACTCAGCCAGATGGGTGGGGTATAAATAATAAATTATTATTATTATTATTATTATTATTATTATTATTATTAATTATTAGCATCTTTATCATGATCATTTCTATCCAACCTTTCTACCAGGGTGTTCGAGGCAGCTTTCAACAGAAGATAGAAACCATATGGTATGAATGCATTTTGCACAGGGGGTATGTTGTAGGGTGGTGCATATATGCAAAAATGCACATAGCCGAACCACCCCCTGAACGACCATCCTTACTTCACAAGCAAGGTGAATCTGGGATGCTCTCGCGAGATTTCGTGGGCCCTCCAAATTCCCAGCAGAGCAAGGCTTTGAAGCTCTTCCCATGTCAGGAAAACCTGGTGCAAAAGGGGCTTTTAAGCTCACGGCCTTGCATGCAATTAATCTGCAGGATCTCAACCAGTGTAAGGTTGAAACCGCATAAGATAATTGCACACATGACGTGATCGGGTGGTACAATGCAGATACGCACTGCAACGCTTTCAAAAAAAGGGGAGGACACGTAGAACAGGGAGCAAAATGTTTGTATCGTTTGCAGAAAAAACGTATCTATGCTATATTTTTGCAAGCCGCACAATGCAGTTTGGGTGGCCCCTGCTCCATTGAACATTTTGCAAGCTGCGAAGGAAGGGCGTGAGAGGTTGGGTGGAGCTGGACGTGCCCAGAGTGGCTGGGGCAAACCAATCAGATGGACAGGGTATAAACAATAAAATTGTTCTTGTTGTTGTCACTGAATGAAAAAGGTAAAGAACCCCTGACAGTTAAGTCCAGTTGCGAACGACTCTGGGGTTGTGGCTCTCATCTCGCTTTATTGGCCGAGGGAGCCGGCGTACAGCTTCCGGGTCATGTGGCCAGCATGACTGAGCCGCTTCTGGCGAACCAGAGCAGCGCACGGAAACGCCCTTTACCTTCCTGCCGGAGCGGTACCTATTGATCTACTTGCACTTTGACGTGCTTTCGAACTGCTAGGTTGGCAGGAGCTGGGACCGAGCAACGGGAGCTCACCCCGTCGCGGGGATTCGAACCGCCGACCTTCTGATCGGCACGCCCTCGGCTCTGTGGTTTAACCCACAGCGCCACCCGCATCCCTCTGTCACTGAACAGGATGTCCCTATTTTCATCAGAAAAACGTTGCAGGGTATCAATGTGTTGCTGCTTACCAGATGCCTCTGGCGTCGGGCCAGTCCCGGGCCATGCCTGAGGCGAGCAGGAGAGGAGAGACGGGCTTGTCAAAGAGGAAGTGGTCATCAATGAGCTGCTGCTGTTCTGCGTCGGTCATGTTCTTCAGAGGATAGTACTTGCCCTTGAACTCTCCGGTCAAGCTGTTCAAGGCTGTGGAACAGGGGGAAAGGCAGGGAGGTGAGCTGGGGAGAGACACCAAGTGGAGGAGGCCACGCCTAGGCGCTGACCATTTCGTAGAACCATAGAGTTGCAGAATTGGGAGGGACCCCCAAAGGTCATCTAGCCCAACCCGCTGCGATGGAGGACCATTTGGACACAGCCTGCATGGCCCGCTATGGTGCATGGGAGTGTGGACCAGAGAGGCCTTGCAGCCACGACTGCCTATCTCTAGCAGTCACTGTCTGGATGTGTGGCTCACTATTTCATCCTGTGACACCCACACATTTTGGCACTGTCGTTTATTTCCCGTTTTGCTTCCCCCCCCCCCAAGGTTCTACACTCAGGTAGGAATATAAGATGGGGGACGCCTCGCTTGCCAGCAGTACATGTGGAAAGCATCTATGGGACTTTGTGGACCACAAGCCAAACATGAGTTGACTGTGTGATGCAGCAGCAAAAAAGGCTAACGCTAGACATCACCTAGCCTACAAAGGTCTGTATAGTTCAAGCTCTGGTTTTCCCAGTAGCGATGTATGGAAGTGAGAGCTGGACCATAAAGAAGGCTGATCGCCGAAGAATGGATGCTTTTGAATTCTGGTGCTGGAGGAGACTCTTGAGAGTCCCATGGACTGCAAGAAGATCAAACCTCTCCATTCTGAAGGAAATCAGCCCTGAGTGCTCACTGGAAGGACAGATCCTGAAGCTGAGGCTCCAAGACTTTGGCCACCTCATGAGAAGAGAAGACTCCCTGGAAAAGACCCTGATGTTGGGAAAGATGGAGGGCACAAGGAGAAGGGGACGACAGAGGACGAGATGGTGGGACAGTGTTCTCGAAGCTACAAACGTGAGTCTGACCAAACTGCGGGAGGCAGTGGAAGACAGGAGGGCCTGGCGTGCTCTGGTCCAGGGGGACACGAAGAGTCGGACACGACTAAACGACTAAACAACAACAATGAAAGCGAGGAGTGAGAGGAGTTCACCATAGGGTGCCCCATCCCACCTATGTTGGCTCGTCCTGTAGGGGGTCGTTCCCAGCCCAGCTGCCAGCCAAGGCCAGAAGGTGCAGAAAGTGATGGTGCAGCCCATCACCCTCATCTTCAGCTACCTACAGAATAGGTCCAGAATTCAGGTGTGCTGTATGAACAGGTGGACATGAGGCTAGAAGGCTGTATTATTGGATTTGATGAGTATATGAACTTGGTTCTGTAAGATGCTGAGGAGATTCACTCCAAGACAAAATCAAGGAAACAGCTGAGTCGAATCATGTTAAAAGGAGACAATATTACTCTTCTACAGAGTGTTTCTGACTAGAAATAGCTATTGAGTCTGTTTTGCTTATTATTTTAATCTTTAAATCTATAGAAGAAAATATGCAGTGGTTTCATGGTATCACTCCCAATTCTACCGTTGGTGTCTGAAGAGCGAAGAATGAAGCCAGTTACTTAATTTGTGCTTGCATAATTTTCAAAAACTTTTCTACATTGGTGTTGAATTGTAGTTCTTTATAAATAAAACTTTTTGTTAGTAAAAAAACAAAACAAAAAAACCCACCACGGTCTTAATATGCTCCCCATATTGCCAAATAAAAGCATATTTCGTCTATCTGTGTACGTACACAGCACATTCTGAATAGGGGGCGTCTCTCCCAACTTTGAATTTTGGGTGTGCTTTGTAGCAGAGGGCATTCTCCCTCATTCTTTTGATTTGGGTCATATGTCAAATTTGAAGCTTCATGAACTGACATCTGTTAAAGACTGGATTCCATTGCCTGCTATTTACTAAACACAGAAGTAAACATCATCAGACCTTTGCCAAATACCTCATGCCACTGCATGTCAGCTCTCGAACAATTCAGAGACTGAAATCAAATGCTGCCCAGAGTCAGCAGATATTTGGCGAACGTCTGATGGATTTTCATCCCAAAAGAGATCCTGAGCAGATTGTTCCCTCTTGATTCTAGAGGCTGCAAAAAGCCCTCTTTAACTGCACTTCAAACTTAGAATTTCTTCTTCTTGTAATCTAGTTTGGCCCTGCAAAGGCTTTTCAAAAAAGACACCCTAAACCTACAGTTCCCAGGCCTCCTTAGGAAGAAGGAATGACTTAAATTAGTGTGAATAGTGCAGAAATGGCCCAAAATCAGGGGGGATGCACTGATCTTTCAAAGAGAGAGCCCTTAAGACATTCCTGGTTCCTCTTGTCACCTTAAGAACATAAGGAAAGCTGGCTGGATCAGGCGAAGGGAGTGCAAATACTCCACCATCCTGTTTCCCCCCACAGGAAACCTACCAGCAGGATTCGAACACAAGATCACGCTTCCCTCTTGCGGTTTCCAGCCACTGGTGTTTAGGAGCACAGCTGCCTCCAGCTGCGGAGCCCAGAGCCCAGCCATCGTGGCTAACAGCCCTCTCCTTCTCCCTGAATTTGTCTAATTGTTTTTCGAAGCCATCCTGTGGCAGGGAGTTCCGCAGTTCAACTCTTGCGCTACCCAAAGAAGGAATCTGTTTTGCGATTCTTCCAGCCTTACCAGTGATGGAGAGGTTCTCAACAGCCCGGCGCTCTCCGCGGCTGCAGTGGGGGGGCAGGGTGTACCCCTTGATGCTGCGCCCAGTCCTCACGCGGCTGCTGAGGACATAGTTCGGGTCCAGGTCATCTCCACCCTGTGGGGAACAGAGAGGCAGAGGCCTGCCGTGAGTTGGCCAGGCAAGCCCCTGACACACTTCCCTTTCTCACAAGCACGGCGGTCCCTCCCCGTTCCGTGCGAGCGTCTGGACCTGCCCCCCTCCCAAGTCAAATCACGAATCTGTCAAGCACAGTGCCGTCTCTTCCAGCCTTTGCCAACCTGGCGCCCTCCAGATGTTTGGGGTAGCAGGTTGGCAAAGGCGGGTCTACTCTGACTGGCAAGAAGAGCCTGGCTGCTGGATTGGGGCCCATCAAGTTTTGGTGGCCATCCCTGACTCTTGTGGGAGGGAGTTCCACAGGCTAACTTGGACTCTGTCCTTCTTTTTATCTGTCCTGAATCCAGGTTGATAGTTGTCGCTGCCTCCTGTGCAGGTGAGTTCTCTTGTTCAGGGAACCAGGCACTGGGGGGGGGGGGTTAAAATTTGCGTGTCCAAAGCATGGGCGCCCCTATAGAACTACGGCTCAGCCCTCCAGCCCCTCAGCCCTGGCCAGTCCTGGTTCCTACCTTCAGGTTCTCGTGGTTCAGGTCGGTCTTATGCTTGTCAGTTGGCTTGTAGCCGCAATGACGGTCCCGGATGACAGGGTCAAAGAGTCCGCTGAATACGGTATAGCTCTCTTCATCACCAGCCACACAGCCCACGGTCATGATGAAGGGGTGGCCTGTGTGTGAACGAGGGAGGAGGCGTTAGATTAGGAGAAGGGCACCTGAAGCAGCGTTCTTCATTGATGGCCATCTGCCAGGGATTATTTTAGCTGTGATTCTCTTGTTGCAGGAGGCTGGAGTACATGACCCTTGGGGGGGGGAGCGAGTCCCTTCAAACTTTACAATTCTATAATTCATAAATAATATGATCAGGGACATATTGCCCTGCCCCTTAAAAAACGGATGACTCCCAGAGGCCTGGGGGAATGGGATTAGAGTGTTCAAAGTGGGAGATTGCCAGGTACGACCACTGGGGTGCTCTCTTTGGCAAGCCTTGTTGAAAAGGAACAGCCACTGCACGTGAGATCTCACTCTGCAGGGTCAGGGAATCATAGAATTGTAGGCCCCTGTGTTAAGCGCTCCAGCTCATTTTGCTTATTTCCCATGCTCTGGGCATTAGTATAGAGACAACCAAAACCACAAGTATTTCCCTCCAGTGTCTTTTCCAGGCTATGATGCAATTGTTTTCATAACGTTGTTTTCTTTCTTGTAAGCCGCTTTGAGCATGATTTTTGCTGTGTGTGTGTGTGTGTTTGTGGAAAAATTGCATACAAATGAATGAATGAAGCCTGTGTCTCTGCTGGAGACATGCAGAACTATGCGCAGGGTTTTATGTGCATCCCCCACAAATTGAACCCAGCAAGGGGGCTTGGCTATTTAATCCAGGAGTGGTCAGCTGGTAGCCTCCGAAGAAACCACTTCCTGTGGTTGGCTGGAAGTCAACACTCCCAGTAATATTTGCAACTTGCAAGAGGTTTGTTTGGGCTTTTGTATGTAATATGTGGGTCCTTGTATTTATACTACAGCTGGGGACCTGATTTGGTAAATTGTTATGGTCTAATCTATTCTCAAGGGACGCAGGTGGCTCTGTGGGAGCCTAGGGCTTGCTGATCAGAAGATCAGCGGTTCGAATCCCCGCGACGGGGTGAGCTCCCGTTGCTCGGTCCCTGCTCCTGCCAACCTAGCAGTTCAAAAGCACAACAAAGTGCAAGTAGATAAATAGGCACCGCTCCGGCAGGAAGGTAATTGGCATTTCCGTGCGCTGCTCTGGTTCGCCAGAAGCGGCTTAGTCATGCTGGCCACATGACCCGGAAGCTGTACGCCGGCTCCCTCGGCCAGTAAAGCAAGATGAGCGCCGCAACCCCAGAGTCGGCCACAAATGGACCTAATGGTCAGGGGTCCCTTTACCTTTAATCTTTTCTCAGTTAGGAACCTAGGAAGCTGTCTTATGTCAAGTCAGACCCACTGGCCCATTGAGCCAAGTGTTCCCCACACTGACTGGCAGCTCAGCTCTCCAGGGTTTCAGAAGGGTGACATTGCCAGGGCCATAGCTGTCAAGCTTCCCTTATTTGGTGGGACAGTCCCTTATCCCAGCGCCATGTCCCGCTGCTGTCCCTTATTGATGATGTCCCTTAAATTTCCCTGGTTTCAAAGGAAGCAGCTCCTCTCCCTCCTTCCCTGCCGGCCAGGGAGGAGGGAGGCTCCAACTGTGTTGCTTGGCTGCGTTGCTCACCCAATAAGGAGTCTAAGAACGACTGGGGGGTGGAGCTTGCATGCCTTGTGCCGATCAAATCGGCCATGTTGCCTGGGGACTCGCCTTTGCTCAGCGCTTCCCAGTGGAGAGGTGACGGTGGTTTTCCTTGCTGCATCCCCTTTGCCAGGTTGCTGCGCTGTGGGAACCACCGCTTGAGGCTTCATTTGGCTGCTGGTTGACTAAAACCCCTTATTTTGGCTGCTGATCCCTTATTTTCGAGGCTGCTGGTCCCTTATTTTCAAATCTGTAAGTTGACAGCTATGGCCAGGGCTCCCAGGCAGATGTTCTGCCACAGGGACCTTCCAATTAAATCTCCACGGGAAAAGGGGTTGTTCTGAATTACAGGTGCTATTCCTCCATTGCAACGGGTTGGACCAGATGACCTTGGGATCCCTTCCAGACCTGCCCTCCTGCGATTCTCATGCCTTGTTACTCTTTCTAGCTGCTGGGGCTCAAAGCAGGCTGGACTCTGGACTCTTTTGTTTCCTCCCCTTTCCCCGCCCCCCCCCCGGCCTCCACCCCCCACCCCCCACCCCCCGCACTGTGTGGCAAATGCATGTAAAAGTATGCAAACTGGCCACCAGAGGGAGATGGCAAGCCGGACTGGGGAGAAATTGCATGCCTGGCTTTGGGCGACCTCTTTGCCCGCAAAGCAAAGAGAGATGCTCAGTGTGGCTTTAGCATTTGGTTTGTCCAAGAGGGACCACCCACCTGGGTTGTCCACACCGGTCTGGATGCAGTCGTCCAGGGTGAAGCCGCTGGGAGTCTCCTTGCCACGCAGCTGTTCATAAAGCTCCTTGGTGAGGACCTTGGCCATGTGGTTGTTGTGTTTAGAGAGGTCAGGGAACTCCTCATCGCACTTGTAGTTCAGCTTGTACTTGTTGTGGGTGTTTCCGAAAGGCATGGTGGCGGGTGGCGGGGAGAGTCCTGTGGCAAGAAAGCAGGGCACAGCGTTGAGGGCTTTTAAAGTTTGCAGGTAGGTGCAATAGGGCTTTATAAAAATTACCGTATTTTTTGCTCTATAAGATTCACTTTCTCCCTTCTAATAAGTAAGGGGAAATGTGTGTGCGTCTTATGGAGCGAATGCAGGCTGCGCAGCTATCCCAGAAGCCAGAACAGCAAGGGGGATTGCTGCTTTCACTGCGCAGCGATCCCTCTTGCTGTTCTGGCTTCTGAGATTCAGAATATTTTTTTTTCTTGTTTTCCTTCTCCAAAAACTAGGTGCGTCTTGTGGTCTGGTGCGTCTTATAGAGCGAAAAATATGCTATGTTTGGCATGGAGATAGCAGAGAGAGAGAAGTTTTTCCACCCCGTAAGGTAAAGGTAAAGGGACCCCTGACCATTAGGTCCAGTCACGAACGACTCTGGGGTTGCGGTGCTCATCTCGCTTTCTTGGCCGAGGGAGCCGGCGTACAGCTTCCGGGTCATGTGGCCAGCATGACTAAGCCGCTTCTGGCGAACTAGAGCAGCGCATGGAAACGCCGTTTACCTTCCCACCGGAGCGCTACCTATTTATCTACTTGCACTTTGCCGTGCTTTCGAACTGCTAGGTTGGCAGGAGCAGGGACTGAGCAAAGGGAGCTCACCCCGTTGCGGGGATTCGAACCGCCAGCCTTCTGATCGGCAAGCCCTAGGCTCTGTGGCTTAGACCACAGTGCCATCTGCATCCTCTCTCCATAACGCAATGAGACTGAGCGTTGGATGATTTGGGATGGAGGAAAGAAAGTCGTCCTTCGTACAGCACATAGTTAAACTATGGAACTCGCTGCTGAAGGAAACAGCGACAGCCACGAACCTGGATGGCATTAAAAGAGGATGGGGAAAATTCATGGAGGAGGAGATGACTATTGTTATCTATTAGCCATAACGGTTATTGCTCTGCCTCCACCGTTGGAGGCAGCAGTGCTCCTGAATCCCAGCTGCTGGAAACCACAGGAGAGGAGGAGAGGGCTCTGTGTTCAAATCCTGTTTGCAGGTTCCCCAGAAGAAGCATCTGGGATGCTGGGCTTGTTGGGCCGTTGGCCTGAACCAGCAGCCAGGCTCCTCCGAGGTTCTCAATGAGGGGCCTATCCACTTTCTCCACCTCCTTCTTAATTTGCCCAGCCGTTTTTCTTGAGGTCTGGGAACTTGAAGCGTGCAAAGCACACCGGCAGCCCCTGTGGCAAGGGCCGTTCCATGGGTCAGTGCTTATTCTAGATATGCATTATTAATTATTATTATTATTATTATTATTTATTCCCCTTGCGCCCAGCCTCTCTGCTGGGGAGTGGAGAGTTCCCAAGGTGGCGAGGAATCCCATTCCCAGCTCTGCGGCCTGTCTGTATGGAACCCATATGGAGAGGTCAAGAGGGGCCCCCCTGGGTGCCAAGTGGGTGGGGAGGTGTGGGGCAGGGGGCGTGCAGGCTCCAGCACTCCTATCTAGTTGCCGCCGGTGGAGAGCCAGGGATAATTTTAGCCCTCAGCCCCTCGGAAACCGGTTTATTTATAGCCGACTTTCTTGTCCACAAAAGGGCCCCCAATGGCGTGGAGGAACATTTTGGCTGCCAGCTCAGCTTGCATTCCAGCGGCTACTTTTGCAAAGTGTCAGCGGTCCCTGGATCCAAGTGCCCAGCGAGGAATCCAATCTCCAGGCGGGGTGAGGGGGTTGGGGAGGGAAGCGGGGAAAGGAGAGAGGGGGAGAGTTTGGCAGGGGCTTGCAGGAGGGCTGGCCAGTGAGCGCATGCCAGGGTCTTCTTGGACCTCCTCTCCAGCTCACAAGCAGCAAGGACGCCCGTCTAGGGCACTCAGCAAGGTCATTGCAAGGTTTGGGGTCACTGGCGCCATTTGGGGCCGTACGAAAAGAAGGGCAGCTCTAGGAGCCTGGCAACCCTATACTTGGCCATTCTAGGGGGCGAAGCACCGAAGCAGATTGCTGGAGTAGGGGGTCCCTGCTGGCGCCCCAAATGCCCTGGACTGCCACCCACGCTCCCCATCCACTTGATAGATCAAATTCCAGATTTTAAAAAATCTGGCCTGCTTTGCAGGCGACGCACCTGCAGCTGTTGCTGCCCGTTTCTCTGTCCTCCCTTCTCCCACCCCACGCGCCCAAATCTGGGAACCAGAGACAGCTGTTACCTGACAGGGAGAATCAAATCCTGCAAAATCCCCAGGGGCTTGGCGCTGCCTTGTCTCACTCCAGCACAACAGGTGACCCGAAAGCCTGGCTCAAGGACCTAGACATATATACCCTGTGCCCCGCTGCCATTGGCCGAACACTGACAAGCAGCCAGCCTCTGATTGGGCGTTGCTTCCCCGTCCACGCTTGAAATTTGGGTCGGGAGCTTTCTTCGCCTCCGTCCCCTGATGGAGCACAAGCGTCTCCTGCAGGGCTCTCCTTTCCCCCCCAGAGGCAAAGCTCAGCCCCAGGTTCTGCTTCCGCAATGCAGGGCCCAAAAATACGTGAAGCGAGTGGATTGGAGCATGTGCAGAGTGCTCCTTCACAATGTGTCGGGACCAGGAGCTGGCTCGTCTTATGTAATTAAAGTGCAAAAGAAGAGGTTGCTGGATCAGGCCCATCTAGTCCTCCAGAATCCTGTTCTCACATAATACCCCTAAGAACCTGGGAATCTGGGTAGACGCTCTCTGGAGCTGGAGGTTATAATAATAATAATTTATTATTTATACCCCGCCCATCTGGCTGAGTTTCCCCAGCCACTCTGGGCGGCTTCCAACCAAGTGTTAAAAACAATACAGCATTAAATATTAAAAACTTCCCTAAACAGGGCTGCCTTCAGATGTCTTTTAAAAAGAAGATAGCTGCTTATTTCCTTCACATCTGAAGGGGGGGTTGTTCTACAGGGCGGGCGCCACTACCAAGAAGGCCCTCTGTCTGGTTCCCTGTAACCTCACTTCTCGCAATGAGGGAATCACCAGAAGGCCCTTGGCGCTGGATCTCAGTGTCCGGGCTGAACGATGGGGGTGGAGACGCTCCTTCAGATATACTGGACCGAGGCTGTTCAGGGCTTTAAAGGTCAACACCAACACTTTGAATTGTGCTCGGAAACGTACTGGGAGCCAATGTAGGTCTTTCAAGACCAGTGTTATGTGGTCTCGGCGGCTGCTCCCAGTCACCAGTCTAGCTGCCGCATTCTGGATTAGTTGTAATTTCCGTGTCACCTTCAAAGGTAGCCCCACGTAGAGCACATTGCAGTAGTCCAAGCGGGAGATGCAGAGCATGCACCACTCTGGCGAGACAGTCTGCGGGCAGGAAGGGTCTCAGCCTGCGTACCAGATGGAGCAGGTAAACAGCTGCCCGGGACACAGAATGGACCTGGGTCTCCATGGACAGCTGTGAGTCCAGAATGACTCCCAGGCTGCGCACCTGGTCCTTCAGGGGCACAGTTACCCCATTCAGGACTAGGGAGTCCTCCACACCCACCCGCCCCCTGTCCCCCAAAACAGTACTTCAGTCTTGTCAGGATTCAACCTCAATCTGTTAGCCGCCATCCATAAGAACATAGGATGAGCCTGGTTGCTGGATCAGGCCAATGGCCCATCTTGTCCAGCATCCTGTTCTCTCAGGGGCCACCCAGATGCCTGGATCCTCGTGAGCAGGATTCAAGCACAAGAGCCCTCTCCCCTGGCCAAACTCTGCTGAATCAGACAAATGGATTCATCCTGGCGTCCTGCTTCTGCTATCCAGATGCTTCTATGAAGTTCAGAACACGATGGTGACAAGAGCCCACCCATCCCTAGGAACTGGTATTCAGAGCTAGACTGCCTCTGAGCATGCAAAGAGGCCTGCGTCTGATCCTGCACCCTGTTCTCACAGTGGCCGGCCAGATATTCCAACGGGAAGTCCACCAAGGGGGTCTGAGTGGATCTGAAGCCTTCTCCCCACTTCTGAGACCCCTAAGTGGGTATTCAGAGGCGTGCCTTCTCTGAACACAGCCATCCTGCCTAGTAGCCCTTTTCTCCGCCATAAATTGGTCCAATCATCTTTTAAAGCCATACACGCTCCTGCAGCAGGGAGTTCCACCGTTTAACTCTGCACTGTGCGATTTCTAACAGTTATGAACAAGTTGAAATGAGGTTGAGTCGAGGATAATTTTTTGTAAAGTGTTTTTTTAAAAAAAGTTTGGCAGTCTTTTATTTTTTTACGTAAACGACGTCAAGAACATCCAAAGTGTTCCGGTGAGAGATGCCAGCTCAGCTCCTGCCAATGAGCGCTGGCGGTTGAGGACGAACCTTTGGATCCTGGAAACGGAAGCTGTGAATGCACAGAACTGGGCAAGTTTTATTTTAAGGCCATGGCAGAGTTTCTGTGGCAGGTTGCTACCGTATTTTCCGCTCTATAAGACGCACCAGACCACAAGACGCACCTAGTTTTGGAGGAGGAAAACAAGAAAAAAAATATTCTGAATCTCAGAAGCCAGAACAGCAAGAGGGATTGCTACGCAGTGAAAGCAGCAATCCCTCTTGCTGTTCTGGCTTCTGGGATAGCTGCGCAGCCTACATTCGCTCCATAAGACGCACACACATTTCCCCTTACTTTTTAGGAGGGAAAAAGTGAGTCTTATAGAGCAAAAAATACGGTATCTTACCTCTTTTCCTTCTCCTTTCACTTGAATTTCTTTACTGCCTTCTTTAAGTTACAAACATGTCTGTGTACCTTATTGAAAATGAAATGGAAATACGTATATTTAAAGACAAAACTCTGCTGCAAGAAGAAAAACTGTCTTTGTCCTGAACCTCCCAACATTCACCTTATTTGGGGGTCCATGGGTTCTGGTGTTAGGCGAGACAGAGAAAGGCGTTTCTCTCTCCAATTTCTCCATGGCATGCCTAATTTTATAAACTTCTATCACGCTGCCTCTTCCTCAGCTTTCCCCTAAACTGCAGGCTCCATCCCTCTGATGCTTTTCGTGGCCCCTTTCTGACCCTTTCCTAACTGTAAAGGTAAAGGTAAAGGGACCCCTGACCATTAGGTCCAGTCGTGGCAGATTCTGGGGTTGCGGCGCTCATCTCGCTTTATTGGCCGAGGGAGCCGGTGTACAGCTTCTGGGTCATGTGGCCAGCATGACTAAGCCGCTTAGTGGAGAACCAGAGCAGTGCACGGAAATGCCGTTTACCTTCCCGCTGGAGTGGTACCTATTTATCTACTTGCACTTTGACGTGCTTTCGAACTGCTATGTTGGCAGGAGCAGGGACCGAGCAACAGGAGCTCACCCCGTCGTGGGGATTTGAACCGCCAACCTTCTGATCGGCAAGCCCTAGGCTCTGTGGTTTTACCCACAGTGCCACCCATGTTCCTAACTGTACAGCATCCTTTTTGAGGTGAGGCAGCCAGAACGCTACGCAGTGCATTGCAAAGGGTTGAACCAGATGACTCTTTAGTTCCCTTCCAGTTCGACAATGCTATGATTCGATGATTCCCTGTTTGTAGAGCAGCCTTACGTTAATTGGCAGTTTTGTTTTCAGTTTCTTCCCTAATGATTCCTGGCAGAGCATGTGCCTTTTCGCACAGCTGCTGCGCCTGGGTAGCCCTTTGAGCTGCCCTGGCAAAGATGTCCAGACCAGACCCCTTCTGCCTCCATCCAATCGCTCTCACCCTCCCTGAGGACCCTCTGAGTCAGAGACCATTATCACCCTCTGCGCCAGCAGGTGCCAAGCATTTGTCGTGGGCAGAAGGACCTTCTGTTTTCGGCTGTCCTTTGGCAAGCAGTTGCAAAACCGCCTATCATTTGTTTTTGTTTTTAATTTATTTAACATAATTATTACAAAATATAAGCAAAATATTGCAAATACATGCATACATATATATTTCAGATAAGCACACACATATAAAAAAGAACAAAAAAAGGAAGAAAAGAAAAAAGGAGAAAAAGAAGAAGAAGAAAAGTTGGAAGAATTTCTTCCCAATTTATTCCACAGATATCTCAATAATAAAATTTCATTGATTGACTTCCATTGCTTACACTGCACTTCCTATATACATTTTAAGCAAAATCGTATCTGTTATTCCGTATTTTCCCCATACAATCTCATACAAATATTCCAACCGATAAGTTTTCTAAATCTTTCATAAACCTATTCTAAACACAACCAATACTTTACGTTTAATCTTTGTCTACATAAATAATCATTTAAGCATTTCCATTGTTTCTGGATTGTATTTTTTTGGTGCAAAACCATCTTATCATTTGCATAAGGTTGAGCCATCGCTGGGTGTCGGGGGCAGCCTGCTAATTGCTCTCCCCGCCCCCTAAATCCAGTGGGTCTCATCCAGCGGGCAGAGAGGGGGGCGGTTTGGCCCTGAAAAATGCCCGCCCAGCTTGGCAGCAAAAGCTGGTGGAAGCTGTAGAAATTCTTGCCCTTCCTGGAGTCGCAGGCCTGGGAGAGCCACAAGGCGTTTCTTCCCCAGGGTCTTTCCTTTTGGCCGTGCCAAAGGGGCCCCCCATCCCCGAACATCCCAGCCCCCAACTAGACAGCCTCCACCCCGCCCCTAAGTGGCATGTTGCACCTGCTGGGGGCTGCAAGATGCTCAACACACAAAGACCCTTCCAGGACTGGAATGCGCTGCAGATGGACCCTCTCGGCTTTATCCAAATGGAGGAGACCCCCTCTGCGCTGCTGACAGCTGCAGAGAAAGTGGGGCCCCAGCCACAGATGACACTGGTGGTAACTGGAACCCTGACAGATGCATCTGGGGGGGGGCAAGGTTTGATCTCCTGCCGCCCCCTCCCTTCTTGGGCATGAGGGAATCCCCCCAGGGTATGTCTGTTGGATTAGAACAGTGGAGTGGATGAATTCATGGAGGGCAAAGCTATTTGACACCTGCCATTTTTAATTTGCAGCTACTGCTCTCATCATAGCATCAACAGGCGAGAGGAGGCAGTGGGACGTAGTGGTTAGAGCAGCGGTTCTCAAACTTTTGTCCCTGGGCCACACTTTCAGAAGAATAAAATGCTGCCGTCACGCCAGTTCATTTTACTGATAAGAAATGCGTTGGGAAACGCAACAGGGATTGTCCTCTGTATAACGCAGAATCGTAGAATTGTGGAGTCAGAAGGGATTGCAAGGATCATCTAAGTCCAACCGCACAGCAATGCAGGTATCCTTTGTCCAACGTGGGGCTCGAACCCACAAGAGTCTCGTGCTCTACCAATGCTCTCATTTTGAGAAGCTATCTCTCCATATTCTGCAAATAACAAAAAATATTTTGATAAAATACTGTACTGTTTAAATGTTTCTTTTATCATCCTGGAGTCTTCCTGCCACATTTTAGCCTCCTCTCCTGCCCCAATCTTTGAGAACCTCTGGGTCGGACTAGGACCTGGGCGAGACCTGGGTTCAAATCCCCCCTTCAGACATGGAATTCACATGTGACCTTGGGGACCAGTCTCTCTCTCTCTCTCTCTCTCTCTCTCTCTCTCTCTCTCTGCCTAACCTTATCTCACAGGGTTTTGCTGTGGGGATTAAATAAGGAAGGGGAGAATCATGCAAGCCACCTAGGACGCCTTGGAGAAATTAGGTGGGATATAAGTTCAGTAAAAGGAACACGGGTGGTGCTGTGGGTTAAACCACAGATCCTAGGACTTGCCGAACAGAAGGTGGGCGGTTCAAATCCCCACGACGGGGTGAGCTCCCGTTGCTCGGTCCCTGCTCCTGCCAACCTAGCAGTTCGAAAGCACGTCAAAGTGCAAGTAGATAAATAGGTCCTGCTCCGGCGGGGAGGTAAACAGTGTTTCTGTGCGCTGCTCTGGTTTGCCAGAAGCGACTTAGTCCTGCTGGCCACATGACCCGGAAGCTGTACTCCGGCTCCCTCGGCCAGTAAAGCGAGATGAGCACCGCAACCCCAGAGTCGGCCACGACTGGACCTAATGCTCAGGGGTCCCTTTATCTTTACCTTAAGTTCAGTAAACACAAAGTAAATAAATAACATGGCAGAAAATTGAGACCCTAACTGGAGCTTGGTGGCCTTTCTAGTCCAGAATCCTGTTCTCATAGTGGCCGCCCAGATGCCTCCATTGGGAACCCACAAGCCACATTCAAGCACAATAACCGCCTCCCCTCCTGCCATTTCCTGCAACTGGTATTCAGAAGCATTGCTGTCTCTGACTGTGGAGACAGAGCATAGCCATTGCGGTTAGTAGCAGCCACTGATAGCTCTCTCCTCCTCTGTGAATTTCTCCAGGCCTCTTCTAAAGCCTTCTGAGTCGGTGGCTACTGCTGCCTAAAGTGGCAGGGAGTTCCACAGTCTTAACTCTGCGCCGCATGAAGAAAAGCGGGTCCTTGCAGGGCAGTAGAGCACCACCAGCTGCCCACAGATGCTTGGTGCTGATGCCAGCCTTGGGAGATAATAATAATAATAATAATAATAATAATAATAATAAATTTTATTCATATCCCGCCCTCCCCAGTCGAAGCTGGGCTCAGAGCGGCTAACAACAATAAAAGTAACACAGTTTACATAAAATCACAATCAATTAATTGAAATATATGATGGCAGAGGAAGGAGGGTGGGATGTGGTGGCAAGCAGGAACAGGTGAAGGATATCATCCTTCAATCTGAACACAGCTGGGGAATTGCAAGGGGTGGGACGAGGGGGGACTGAGGGCTTGTGCTCCAGGTGCCCCTCCGTCTTATTTGACATCTGCCCCCCCCCAAAGACTGGATGCCTCTTGGGCTGCCCTCTTAGATTATTGGGGGGGGCAGAGGGAAGACACCTCCTGCATGTAATTTGACATCCACAAAACCTTCCAGGGCGCGGGGTCATCTTCCTTGCTGCCACCGCCACCCCCCAGGCGCACATTTCTAAGCTCAGGGCTTTATATAGGCTGCAATTTCTCACCTGGCCCCCTTCCCAACCACTGCACCCTGGGGGCCCCAAACAGCCGGGCGATTGGGTTTCGCCCGCCCAGCCCCCTTTATAAAGGGGCAGCGAAAGGAGGACGGGGGGGGGGAGCCTGACAGCAGCTGCTTCTCAACAGTGATTTGTGGGAACCTGATCTCATCATCTCACGCAGCCCCCACCCCCAGGCTGGCATGCCCGCTGTCTCCTGGCGAAGGACTGCCCACTCAACTGACCTTGAGGCCTGCGAAGGAAGGGAGAGGCCTCAGGGGGGTGGCACGGAGAGATTAGAGGTGTGGGCTTTGGAGGGTGAAAGCATTTTGCAGAGCTGATATGGGGGGGGGTCATAGAATCAGAGAACTGTAGCGTGACCGGAAGGGATCCCAGAGGCCATCCATCCCAACCCCTTGCAACGCAGCAGGATCAAGGGTCATCTAGGGAGAGGCCGTTACTCAGAGGGCAGAATGTCTGCTTTGCATGCAGAATGGCACAGGGTTCAATCCCTGAACGGCTTCTCCAGGTAAGGCTGGGAATCTTCCCCTTCACTGCCTGAAAACCCAGAGAGCAGTGTAGACCAGGGGTCAGCAAGCTTTTTCAGCAGGGGGCCGGTCCACTGTCCCTCAAACCTTGTGGGGGGCCGGACTACATTTTGGAAAAAAAAAAAGAATGAATTCCTGTGCCCCACAAATAACCCAGAGATGCATTTTCAATAAAAAGGCACATTCTACTCATGTAAAAACATGCTGGTTCCTGGACCGTCCACAGGCGGATCTAGAAGGCAGTTGGGCCGGATCCGGCCCCCGGGCCTTAGTTTGCCTATCCATGGTGTGTAGACAGCACTGCGCTAGATGGGCCAATAGGTTTGGCTCAGGATAAGGCAAGGTTCCTGCATTCCCCTGTCCCTGACTTGTTTGCTACTACAGTGGTACCTCGGGTTAAGTACTTAATTCATTCCGGAGGTCCGTACTTAACCTGAAACTGTTCTTAACCTGAAGCACCACTTTAGCTAATGGGGCCTCCCGCTGCCGCCACACGATTTCTGTTCTCATCCTGAAGCAAAGTTCTTAACCTGAAGCACTATTGCTGGGTTAGCGGAGTATGTAACCTGAAGCATCTTTAACTTGAAGCATTTGTAACCTGAGGCACCACTGTAGTTAGAGCACAGTCCCCAATCCTTTCGTAACACTAGGAACCTGTGGATGTCCATTGATCCTGAACGCTGCTGGAAGATCGAGGACAGAGAAAAGAAAGTCCTTTTTTTAATTATCTGAAGCTCAACATCAAAAAAATGAAGATCATGGCCACTGGTCCCATTACCTCCTGGCAAATAGAAGGGGAAGAAATGGAGGCAGTGAGAGATTCTACTTTCTTGGGCTCCATGATCACTGCAGATGGTGACAGCAGTCACGAAATTAAAAGACCCCTGCTTCTTGGGAGAAAAGCGATGACAAACCTAGACAGCATCCTAAAAAGCAGAGACATCACCTTGCCGACAAAGGTCCGTATAGTTAAAGCTATGGTTTTCCCAGAAGTGATGTACGGAAGTGAGAGCTGGACCATAAAGAAGGCTGATTGCCGAAGAATTGATGCTTTTGAATTATGATGCTGGAGGAGACTCTTGAGAGTCCCATGGACTGCAAGAAGATCATACCTCTCCATTCCTAAGGAAATCAGCCCTGAGTGCTCACTGGAAGGACAGATTGTGAAGCTGAGGCTCCAATACTTTAGCCACCTCATGAGAAGAGAAGACTCCCTGGAAAAGACCCTGATGTTGGGAAAGATGGAGGGCCCAAGGAGAAGGGGACGACAGAGGACGAGATGGTGGGACAGTGTTCCCGAAGCTACCAGCATGGGTTTGACCAAACTGTGGGAGGCAGTGGAAGACAGGAGTGCCTGGCATGCTCTGGTCCAGGGGGTCACGAAGAGGCGGACACAACTAAACGACTAAACAACAACAACAAAAAGATCTCAGGGTGGTTTGCAACATAAAAATACAAGGAGAAGAAAAACACAAAATACGGCTCAGAGTTGAACTATGGAACTCCCTGCCACAGGAAGCAGTGACGGCCACCAATCCAGATGGCTTTAAAAGAGAATTAGACAAATTCATGGAGGAGAGGGCTGTCGGTGGCTGTGCTCCATGGTCAGAGGCCGAAATGTTCAAGAGATCAAATGTTCTTTGACCTGTCTTGCATCTTCCAGTGAATCCCAGTGTTTTGAGAGAGGATGCAAGCTTTTCCCAAGCCACACGCTCCATGCCATTGTATAAATTCCTATCATGTCAGTTCTCCCTCTGCTTTTCTCTAAACTGGAAGTCCCAAACGCTGCAGCCTCCATCCCTTCGACCATCTTGTTTGCCCTTCTCTGAACTGTACAATATCCTTCCTGAGTTGACGCGACTCTGCCCTCTGGCTGGCCGCTGACCAGCAGGTCGAGAAGCAAAGAGGTGGTGAGATTGGGGCAGAGCCAGCTAGGCGCTCCATAGACGCTGGGTTTGCACCTTTCTGCCCTCGCCTCACCCCTCTCCCTGCCAGCAAGAGTTCAGGTGAGAAGACCTCATCCAAGCCAGGACCCTCTAAGTGTCCCTATTTTCCATGCAGACTCCCGGATTTGGTCCCAGAATGCCCCACTTTTCCTTAGGACAACATCCCTGCTTTCATCCGAGAAAAGTAAGGGGAAATGGGTGTGCGTCTTATGGAGCGAATGCAAGCTGCGCAGCTATCCCAGAAGCCAGAACAGCAAGAGGGATCGCTGCTTTCGCTGCGCAGCAACCCCTCTTGTTGTTCTTGTCAAGTTGTGGGCGAACATATCAGACGACACAGTGATTCTTCCAAAGCAGCTCTTTATTTGTAAGCTGGAACAGAACTGAACTGAGGAGCTCAGTCAGCCTGCTTATATAGAGCTCCAGAACAATGTAACTGTTGCCATTTTCTAAAACTATCCAATCACTGAACGTCACTTTCGATCCTTCATTTGCATACAAACTATCCAATCACTGAACGTCACTTTCAATCCTTCATTTGCATAACTATCTACAGTATCCCCCTGCTGGCCCAAGGTGAGAACTTCAGTACATAACAGTTCTGGCTTCTGAGATTCAGAATATTTTGTTTCTTGTTTTCCTCCTCCAAAAACTAGGTGCATCTTATGGTCTGGTGCGTCTTATAGAGCGAAAAATACGGTAAGTTTTTTAAACATATAATTTTCAACAGTAATTAAACATACTTTTACATCTTATACGATTTTTTTGACTTCCATCGATCACATCTGAAAATTTTCCAATCTGATCACTTAATATACATTTCTTGTGGATTAAACCACTGAGCCTAGGGCTTGCCGATCAGAAGGTCGGTGGTTCGAATCCCTGCGATGGGGTGAGCTCCCATTGTTCGGTCCCTGCTTCTGCCAACCTAGCAGTTTGAAAGCACGTCAAAGTGCAAGTAGATAAATAGGTACCGCTCCGGCAGGAAGGTAAATGGTGTTTCCGTGCGCTGCTCTGGTTCGCCAGAAGCGGCTTAGTCATGCTGGCCACATGACCCGGAAGCTGTACGCCGGCTCCCTCAGCCAGTAAAGCAAGATGAACGCCGCAACCCCAGAGTCGTCCGTGACTGGACCTAACGGTCAGGAGTCCCTTTACCTTTACCTATACATTTCTTACTTTCACTATTACATTGAAATCTCATAACTGATATCTCTATCCTTTTTCTACTTTGCAATGTTTCATATATTCCTCCTAACAAAACTTCTTTGTAGTCCTACTAAAGTAATTTGTTGATTACAGCTGCTCTTCAAATAGTTCATATATTTCTTCCAATCTTCTGTGAATCTCTGGTCCCGCAGGTTTCGTAACCTTTTATCCAATTCTGCATAGTCCATTAATTTTGCCTGCCATTCTTCTTTCGTCGGAATTTCTTCCTGCTTCCATTTCTGGGCTAACAATACAGTGGTACCTCAGGATGCGAACAGGATCCATTTCGGAGCCCCGTTCGCATCCCGAACGGAACGCAAGACACGACGGCGCATCTGCGCATTCGTGGGTCGTGTTTCGCCGCTTCCGCGCATGCGCATGACGTCGTTTTGAGTGCGCATGCGCGAGCGGCGAAACCTGGAAGTAACGCGCTCCGTTCCTTCCGGATTGCCGCAGAGCACAACTTGAACACGCTCAACCTGAAGCACATTCAACTCGAGGTATGACTGTACTTTCATCCAAGAAATGTTGGAGCATTTGGCAATCTCGCTGGCTGCTGCCTGGGGCCCAGGGACGCTGCCCCATCTTGTCTTTCTCCTCTTGGCCAGCCTTGGCGACCCAGTGGCCAGCTCCCAGCAGCCTTTGTGTCCCGAGCAGATGGAGACCGGGAAGAGAACACCAGCCCTGGGACCCGTTCTTTGGCTCTGGTTTGCTTGCAGAGGGAGGAAAGGGAGTCCCTGAGCACACGCAGAGCGAAACAAACGCCCTACATGGGAACATGGGGAGGCACTTTCCAGGCCGCTGGGCCCCTGAAGCTTTGGGGAAGGAAGTGCTTCCGTGCACATGAAGAATTTGGGCCTGAGCTCTGCACTGGATGGGGGGTTGGACTGGATGACCTTTGGGTACCCTTCCAAGTTCAGTGATTCTTTCCCTCCAGAAAGAGCATATCTGGCCTCAAGCCTTTTTGCTGAGCGGGTGGGGTGGGGAAATGGATGCTTTAGCGCAGGCCGGAATATGGATCAGGACCAAGAGAAAGGTGAAAGCGTTTGGCTGAAGCGCGTAACGGGACCTCACACTCCTTTTTAAGAAGACGCACAAACCGCTGATTAGTATCTTCATCGCGGCAGCGGCCCACCAGGCCTGTAGTGGGGCTCCCTTGCTTCTGGGTTCACACGCATCACAGAGAGAGCAAAATTGGCAAGATCCACTGTATTCTCCCCTGTATTCGGATTTTAAAAAGTAATGCAGTATCGGGAGAGAGATACACGGGAATGCAGAACCCCATAGGGACGTGGGCACTCGGCATATGCTCAGAGGAACCCTCCGCCAAACATACCCTCTTTGCATTTTTCAGGATTTGATTCTTTTGGGAAAATCCGCGTTTGGCGTTTCTCTCTCTCTCTCCCCGCCTCTCGGCCTGACGTATGACTTGGTTGGAACAAACTGTCCCGGGGACATCGGATCAGTTTCGGTTCCTCGTATTTGATAGCTGAGGCGGCAGAAATCTAGACCTCGAGCTGCGTCTCCTTGCGGGGCAGGGGGCGAGCGAGAAGCATGTCAAATCAGACATTTTGGAAACTGAGGCCCAGGTGAATTGGGGAGGGGGAGTTGGACACACATATCTGCAGCGTCAGGGCAAAAAAACCCCAGAACAACAACCTCTACACAGTCTCTCTGGCAGAAAAATAAAAACCCCAAATCCAGATTCCAGGCCACCGTTAATTTCCCCAATTAGCCCTTTCGCTAACACAGGATCCCTGGGGTTAGAGGTTTGGGAGTTGTCTCTCTACATATTTTGCAAGGAGAGTGAAGGACTGGGTGCCTTGTG